AATAAATTCTTAAAAAATTCTACAATGTGAATTCCTGTATTTTTTTTTCACATTCTGTCTCTCACAGTTGAAGTGCACCTATGATGAAAATTACAGACCTCCGCCATTATTTTAAGTGTGACAACTTGCACAATCGGTTGCTGACTAAATACTTTTTTGCCCCACTGTAAATAACCCAGTCTAAACTTCTAATTAATTTGACAACTGTGCAATATTTCAGCGGATATGTACAATAAACAGCTTTGTGGATGAAAGAGGAGGACAAAGAAATATGCCATAAATTCTTCAAAGTTGATTTGGCATAATAACATGTACATTTCTTTCATAATTTGCAGCGGCCAAAGCTTAGTGCTTTTCAAAACATTCAGAGACCAGCCCAGTTCAATAAAGCCTTGATTAAAATACAGACAACAGAAAATTATACCTTTTATATTATCAAGAACTGCTTTAACAACATCTGCACAGCAAAGAGGTTTTTTCCCATCACATGTGGAAAAGGCTCTTATAAGAATTTGTATTTATCTTACACTGTTTAATTGGCACCGCAATGGTTTCAGAGAGGTCAGAGGTAATGTAATTGAATAGAAACGTATTTGTCCATTTATAATTTTATAACCGTCCCAAATCATTTGATGAGACGTTAAGTCCCCGTCACAGAAGTAATGAATTAGTCATTAGTAACAGAGATGAAAGTTGTGAGTATTGAGTCTGTGTTCTCTGCTGTTGTAACAGTTTAAAAGTATAGATTAACATTGATATGAAACTGGAAAAAGCAAAACATTGCAGTAACAATAAATAGTAATGTGATAAAATTTTGCAAAGGTTAATAAGCTTTTCCACAACTTTTAAAATATTTTTCATAGGTTACGATGATTTTTTTCATCTCTGAGCTGCTCTTTTTGTCCCACAGACTTTGGAAACTCAATCTGCAGGTAAAGCAGCGGCCGACAAAGCTAAAATCTCATTGGACTGTTCTCATTGAAGTCACTGAAAAACTGACCAGTCTCTGCCCCAAGCACTGATGCCGACAGCTGTCAATTGTTCACAGATTAGAATAAAAGTATTTTAACAGTTTTCAAACATTCTCCTTTTAATAAATGTAACATTTCAACAATCTCTTTATATCAGAAGAAATGTCTCAGCCCAAGAACATAAAGTCTAAAACATTTGGACAGGGAAAGTGGAAATCTTTTATATATTTACTTAAAGCTATAATTTTAGATCAGTGAGGACTTCCTACACAGAGGTCAAATGGTAAGACTTTAGAGTAAACATGTGTTGTGTGTGATCTGCATGTAGAGGTGTCTAACTAATGGGTGGTGTGTGTGTTCTACGGCCTCGCTCTCAGTCTGAACCCTGTTCAAGGCTGCGCTGCTGAAAAGGGGCTGTTCAACATGTCACACGCACAGAGGGACAATTATCTGGGAGTGAAGACACTATTTTAAACCAGCGTCTTCAGCCTCCTCATCCCAGAAGTCTGGGGCAACTCCTATAAATTCAAAAACATAAACTTCTAACTAACTAAATGTTAATTTGTAAACTTGTTGGATATCTTTTCTTCTGTTATAACTTGTATCAGAAACAATGTTAGCACAGAGCAGACTGTTGGCCACTGATGTGTTGGAGACGTCAGTGAAATGGAAAGAACTGTGTTGAACCACATCAACATCAGCCTGAGTTTGTGTACAAATACTCAATGACCTCTCAATCATGTCAATGAAAGATTCTCCTGGCCACACGGCTGCAAACGAATATGGTTGCTACCTGATGGAAGTCATATACTCAAAGTGGATTGAAAGAGGATGATAAGAGTAAGCTCAAGAAATCAGGAACGCATCTCCAAAACATGTTTACGCACACAAAAGTTACATACAAGTCAAGTTTGTGATTTAAGAAAAAACTACTTAGAAATTATTGACATGATCAAAACATTTATCTTATTTTGCTTTATCATCGATCTTTTACATACTGAGAGCTGATTGGCTGAGTCAGGGCTGTTAACGTGGATGTGACAGAGGCCACAAACACAAGCTGTGAAAACTAGTGATAGAATTGATCAATTTTGGGAGAAATAAACTTAATACATGAAGTTTATGACAGCCATTTTTTGTAGTTTCAAAGTTAGGCACTCGAGCTCTGCAACACATAGACCTTTCAGAGTTTCTCACTTTTCCCACTGGGTTTAGAGTTTTGCCTTGCCGATGCAGGAGGGTCTGTTAGTCTTGGGAGGTCTAACTAAAAGGACAGTGGTGAGGATCCAGGACACTCAACATTCATGGACATTTATCAACACCTGGACATTGGTCATCTGCCGCTTATGGACCAATACCAATGTGTTTTCTGTTTTATTTCTTGTGTTTGAACTGATTCTCTGATCTGTGTTCATGTGTGTAAAGTCCTCAGAGATAACCACTGTTGTGATTTAGGGCTATACAAGAATACATAGAATTGAAGAGAAGTCTTTCATTGTATCATTAATATAGAGCACACTTTTGCTTCAGTACTGCTTTTCTACTGCAGTATTGGGCTTCAAACACGGCCATAGTGACTTGAAACAGAAGTTGCTGCGAGCGGTAGTGATATAGCTGTTGAAAGTTCACCTGGGTGCAGCAGGTAGTGCCCTCGGAGCTGACGACACTCCCTGTCATCTCCGCTGAAGCCAAATGAAAGACAGCCTCCTGCCAGCCACGTTGGCATGCTCCATCCTTTCAGGGACTTTCAGAGCAGATTGGTTCCCTCTCCCAAGTGTCTCCATTTTGCGGTTGAGACGTGTGCTTAGACAGAGATCCTGTAAATTTAAAAGGTGAAAAAAAAAAAAAGAGTTCAGTCATCTTCTCTGGTATAAGAAGAAATGACAGATCATCACTATCGTTCGTTATCGCACTGCAGTCTCCAGGCTTGACTCTTGGGTCAATAGAAATATATCACACCGACAGGGATAAGAGTGTGCAGCTAAAATAATCATTGTTTTTATATGTGTTAAAATGACAAATGAATGTAATAATATATCTAAACAAGTACTAAATGTTTCATAAATGCCACAGCAACCACATCTAGATGCAAGGTATGATGACCAACTAAACACACAAGATTTAGCTGTATATGTTTAGACTTTTAAAGAGGTGTTGTGGTCGTGCTTTATTGGCCAAAAACATTGCACTGGGACTCAAAGAACGTTTTAAAACTATTTTGCGAGCACTTTTCTCCATTAAGAAACTCTATTATGTTTATCTTGAGATCTTGATCATGAAGGAAAAGAGCGAGAAAGGCCAGGACTGTGCAGTGATATTCAGGGACTGGAATTTTGTCTTGATTTTAGATCAGGTTTTTATGATGAAACCAGATTTTCAGTGGTTTTGATGGTCCACTCCCAGAGCTGATTATAACAAAAAACCACAAGTTTAGTGAATTAGCAAAATTAAGCAGAATTAGACAAATGATCTTGTTCTGAGGATATTTTAACTGTATAAAATGAAGATATAGCAATGGTACAAGTATCTTAAGGCTTATACTAAAACTAATACTACAATACTTCACCACCCGGTTTTCTCATTTAAAATAAAATGAAAAATAATGTTCATATTAAAGACATCGTAGGCTTCTTCCAGTGCCATGTCAGCTTAAAAAGCGTTGAAATGTCCTCAAATAAAGTCAAATGCTACAATGTAAGTGTTCATATATGATTTTTTTTGCAGTGAATTTGTTTTTATCACTGAAAACATGTTGCTTTACTATAGTTAAAACCACATTCTGAAATCTATCTTATTTTGAATGTAAGTCTAGTTGTCTCATACATGTATATGCAGCATGTACTATTTTCTCTCACATATTGTAAAGGTTTTGGTTATTGTCAGAAACATTTCAATTCGTTGTTTTGCCAAAAATCCTTCAGTCATTTCCATTGAGCCTCCAGATTGTGGATGCTATGTGCAGAAACAAGGGAGGGAAGATTACACAGTCACATTAGACAATATTAGATTACCCAGAATCCACAGAGAGGCCTGCTTCCCCACTTCTGGCACCTGTATCACATCTGAACAGGAGTGAGCAGGGAGACACATCTGGGGTTCCAGTCTGTAACTAAAACAAATGGCCTCTCTGAAAAATCAAAGTCAGCGTTATCCAAATGCCTTTCACTTTCCCATAAGCAACTGTGTAATGCAGCGTTTTGCTTTGGGAAATAATGCTGGTCGTGCTGACAAAGCAGCCCATCCGTGCACCACACCTGGGCGCCACCACACTCTGGGAGTAATGCATCCTCAGGCCCATGTGCAAGGATTTATGCCAGATTAAACACGATTGACAGAGATTTTGTCTATGTTCAAATACTGAATACTGTTACATTCACTAACTGTAGTGGAATAGTCAGAAAAGCAAGTACCTCAAACTGTTAACAGAAATACAACGTGTTAAAGTTATATCTAAACCCACACTTTCAACTTTGAAGAAAATGAACGCAATTCAACAGTGACACCTTGTGGATGTTGCAATGTATCACACATTAATATCTTTGGGCTACAGAAATAAAATAATTTCTTGTACTTATTTTTGTCGTGAACTGAGTGACATGTGAAAGGATTATTTCAGTTCTGATTTTTTAGAAACAAGTCAGCAAACTTAAAAGCACTTGAGTCTTGAGCCCTAAAATAATATCACAGGCTTAAGGTTAGAAGCACTTTATTTTTTTTAAGAATATTTTGAAGTTAACTGGAAATTAGTGATGGAAAAGGCCCTTGTTTCACTAATTTGGAATTTGAGTATCTTAATTGAGTATATAGATTTCGCAGAGTAAACGCGTGCAAAGATATAGTAGCCTATATCTAAACATTATCATTCAACACATTTACTGTTAATGTTCAAAAACGGTGTATGAGTGCCCTGCAGGGCCTTTGCAGTGGCCCCTGAGAGCCTTCGCCGGAGTCCTGCCCATGCGCTGATTCTACAGGTGTGAGCCCGGACTCGTGTGACACTGGCTGCCAACACGAACCAGCGGAGGAAACATGGATTACACACGGAGCCAGGTGAAAACACTCACACACGTGTCTGCGGAGGTCTGTGGGGGTCCGTGGGGGTCTGTGGGGGTCCGTGGGGGTCCGTGGGGGTCTGTGGGGGTCCGTGGGGGTCCACTGCCTTCATCCACATCGTGCATGACTTTGTCAGACGCTCCAAAGTCTTCAAAGCCACGAGCTGCAGCGATGGCGCCCACTCCACACTGGTTATTTTGTAACAAGCTGTGAACTTGTAGACGTTGGAAAAGTAGTAACATTCATGTAAACAAACTCTTCTTTGGAGAAAAAATAATGGGTTGTTGTTCACATTGTTAAATAAATGATTGTTTTTGTTTTTGTTTTTGGCGAGCGATAAAGCGAAAGCGTGTCTGTCATGATAGGCTTTGGCGTATTTGCTGCAAATGGGACGCAGATATTTTGAAATCCATACCTGTTCATACAAACATGCTTTAGTTGATTACTTTTTTCATGGTGCTACAATATCAAGTATCCATCTGCTTCATTTCATGAAATTTTTCATTTTCGAGACTTGTAACACCAACCTGCCCATGGATTACAAATGAGCTGTTTTGCTATAACTTGGTAAAGGTTATCTTTCCTTTTTAGTCTATATAACATTGCTACTGAACTTGGGGTTTCGACAGAACTTTAACTACTTATGGTAGACTTGGGTGCATTCACACTGGTTGTGGTTTGCTTTAACTGGACTGAGTCTGGTTCCCTTGGGGGAACTGTTTCTAAAATTCAATCTGTTTCAAAATATATAACCAAGTTACGAGTGGACAGTAAACAGTGGATGTAAAACCATCAATGTTTGAAAACGAATTGGTCCAGATAAAGCGAACCAGGGCAGCAAATGTGACTGCGCCACAATCCCTCTTTGGCTCTTATTAGTAAGATGAATTGTAAGTGACAAACTGTATTACACTATGGATAAGGATTTATATAATCTAGATTTTATTTCCTTGGTGTGTATATTAATAGTGCATGTCTCTCTGCAGGTGCTGAACCCTGTGCGTGTGCAGGCTCTGGAGACTTGGGTGAAACAAACCAACATCCAGCTGAAACAGGTGAACGGTCAGCGGCGGTATGGAGGGCCACCTGAGGGTGAGTAACTCTTTTGTTTCAGATACATCTGAAAGATGGTCACTTAAATGACAAGACTATAGACTGTATATCTTGTGTTTCAGGCTGGGAGGGCCCCATGCCTGGTGCTCGCTGTGAAGTGTTCATCAGCCAAATTCCTCGAGACACATATGAGGACCTGCTCATCCCTCTGTTCAGCTCAGTGGGACCACTGTGGGAGTTCCGCCTCATGATGAACTTTAGCGGACAGAACCGTGGATTTGCTTATGCAAAGTATGGATCTGCAGCTGTAGCCTCCGAGGCCATCCGCACCCTGAATGGGCACATGCTGGAGCCAGGATACTGCCTGTCCGTCAGACGCAGCACTGAGAAGAGGCAGCTGTGCATCGGAGGTCTGCCCCTGGTCACTCAGCAAGAGCAGCTTCTGCAGGTACTGAACGTTCATCCCACTCTAGAATCCTGCTAATGTTAGTATTGACTCATTGGTCTGGTATTTTGGGGAAGGTGCTCCGGAAACTTGTGGAAGGTGTGGAGAGAGTCTCTCTGAAAGCTGGGCCTGGTATTGAAGGTGTGTCTGCCATTGTGGTTTTCACCTCGCATCATGCCGCCTCAATGGCCAAAAAAGTGATAGTAGAAGGTAAGTTCATTTAAAGTAAATCATTGTTCATGTAAAAACAGAACCTGTGATATAAAATACTACTGGACACATGTTCACTTATTTAATAGTGGATGTAAAACCACCAAATATTTTTAGCCCCAACTGACTCAGAATTGGTCCTAAGTGGGGCTGCACGATATATCGAAAAAAACATCGATATTGCAATATTAGCGCGTGCAATATCCATACTGAAAATATGCGCGATTACAAAAATAATTCCTTTATTAAAGACAACAAAACAGACGGACACATCAACATTCAACAAAAACAATAAACAGAAAGTATATAAATATATGCATTTGAAGGTCATTGTTTTTGTCGTTTGCGTTTCAATGCAGATTGCAATTTTAGGTGAAAGAAAAAAATATCGCAACAATATCGTTATTGCAATACTAAACAGTCATATCGATTATCGCTCTAATTTCCAATATCGTGCAGCCCTAGTCCTAAGTGACAAACTGAATTACTCGATAAGACTGCAGTTCATGTTAGAAAACCACACCAGAACATTGTCATTATCGATGCATTGATCACAGCACGCCTTCCCTGTACCTTACTCTTGTTCCAGCTTTCAAGAAGCATTTTGCTCTGTCTGTTTCCATCAAGTGGCAGTCATCAGGAAAGCCAGGTCCAGAAGAGCACATGCCTGCTCAAAAGGCCTTCTTACCCTCTCCCACAAAGCCTCGTCGTCTGCTGGCCCCGCCGCGGCACACTTTGCCCCCGTTCTTGCGGACGTCCTCCATCCCCCCAGGCTTCTGCCGGACAGTCGGGGGTCCAGCTGCCCAGCTGCAGATCCCACTGCCCCCAGGGTTCTTCTCTCTGCCCCCTCTCCCACTCTCAGACCACCCGCCTCACTACTTCTGAAGGACCTTTTTCATGAGCTGATTACAGCTTTGTGTTCATTGTTTAAAAAAAAAAAAATTTAGCTGTTTTTATGAATATGTTGTGTTTTTAAGAATACTTTGTCGTTTGCCTTATGCATGGTTTTACTGTGTTTGCTGGTTTGATTGTTTTTTCTACTTTGCATGATTTGTGTGTTCTTTTGCATGATTTGTGTGTTCCTTTGCATGATTTTCATTGTTTTCCTTTGTATTAAACACTTGTAATGGCGCACTGTTTTGTGTTAGACTTTCTTGACAAGTTACCTTTAAGTTTGTACTATATTTGAAATGAACGTGTAGTGGCTCAATGCTTTGAGATGTAGTTAAAGGTTCTGTTTGAAGAATAAACACTAAATGGTTCCTCATTCTTTTTTTAAGGAAAATGTTCTGTTCAATCATAACTGAATCTTGCAATAGCTAAAAGCTCAACTAAAATGTTGAGCCTGAAGCAAGCAGTCACAACCAGCCTCTGACTGGAGCAGACATCGGCCATGACAGCACCAAGAACCTCAGTCTTAAACAACTTATCTACAAAAAAGATATTGTATTCTCCCAAATAAAAAGAGCTTACCTTTAACATAGCACAGACCTCTGCCAAGAGGCGCATTGACATTCCTTAAAGATATCTGGATGAAAAAATCCAAAAGCATTAGGTAGACTTTACACTCAAACCCAAAATTAACTGGAGGAAATGTTTTTATTTGGACATTGTCTCTGCTTGTACTGTTTTTTTTATTCAAAGTGGCCATTCATTACATCGACTAATTTGTCTGTCTGGTCCTGTAAAATTTGCCCCAAATACAGAATTTGTTCTTCCCTTTAGCTGATAAAATAGGAACTATTGTGTTTTACTTTTTGTTTGCATTTGATAATGTGCGTCTCACTTAATCACAATAATAGTTCTGGTGACAGCATTGTGTATTAGACATGCCCTACGGAGAACTGCAATTATTTGCAGAATGTCTCTTAGATTGCGCTCAGAGCACAGCATCATGAATAGTATTATGAGGTCCTTCTTCTAACTTCTTCCACGAGGTCACCTCTGGAGATGTCCACCTGCAGATTGTGTTTCACAGTGTTAGAATAAAGGTATATGTATACATTAGTGAAGAAATTGGTGCACTGGTAAAGAAAGTACCTCTTCTCTGTTGGCAACGACTCGGAGTTTGACCACTCCGTCCTTGAGCTCCTGTTCTCCCAGTATGGCCACTAGGGGGATGCCAGACTCCTCACAGTGCTGCAGCTGACTCAGCAGCTTGGGATTCTTCTTGTACATCACCTCTGCCTGTTTGCAAAGACAGGACATAGTTTGAGTTATATGAAATTAAAACTGAAGGAACGCCAGGCCATCCAACACCGTTTTCTGAGAGTCGAATGACAGGAAGAATAAACTTCAGTTATGTGATTAATTTGCATCAGTTGTGTCAAAACAAACTATAGAAAAGTTTGTTTTTATAAAAACATTCAGATCAGAACTTTACAATACACCAGTATTCTGAGAATATAATGTTTTACAACTCGTGACGCAGCAGATTATCAGATTACCAAACTGAGTTACATCATTTTTCACATTCAACCCCAAAGTTTAATGGCAAAAGAAAGCTAAAGTAATCATGACTCTGAATGTTTACAACGCACATCTCCAGATACTGGTTTGAATGCAAAACATAGCAGAAAAACACCTAAATAAGACAATTGTTTGTATTTGTAGTTCAAATAAAGTTATCTTTGTGCTATGTGTCAAATTGCAAAGCAAAGGCATAGACTTAATTAACCGTAATCTTTTGTTTAATATTGGATTTTATTAGATTGAATTAGATTATTAGATTTTGGAACCCAAATAAAGAATTAAAAAAGTCTATGATGATTAAATTTACAATGATAGTATACATTAATAATTCTAAGTCGAATTAGGTTACACTTTTTTGCCTTGAATCCAGAATGATAATTCAGTGACACTTTGTCCTCTGCATCTCATCCTTCCATGCCACCAGAGGAGTCCTTCTCAAATAGTGGAGCAGGCCCCCCTCAGGAGGCACGATGTGATACCAGGAGGATGCGTGACCCTGGGGCCCAGTTTTGGCTGCATGTACTAGAACAGGATTCTACATCCTCTGTCTATGTCCATGTGTGTCAGATCAACCCCACAGTTCAGATTGCACCAAATAGGAAGAGCTACTAGGAAAATATCCCAGATTACAAAGTAAATGCAGTCGGTGAGGATATAATATCAGATCACTGAAGTAAGTAGTAGTAGTAGTAATCTTTATTTATATACCGCCTTTTCACTGCAGATTTGAGTCTCAAAGCGGTTTACAATTGTTAATTGAAGATTGGTATTTAATGCAGTGTGGCTTACGGAAAAGCCCAGAACGACTGCTTTGATAACAGTGCCACAAGTGCACAGCCGTAACACGGCCATGTTGTGACCAGCGCGAAATGGCCCATTCCCAGGACAGCTCCATGAAAGTGTGCGTCTTTGCGCAGCCTGATACGCAACAAATGCACAGCTACAACAAATGCCTCTCAATTGACTCTATAGTCAATGGAGAGGCAATCAGGCGCTATCTAGTGGATTAAAATTAAATTACATGAGTTGACCTTCACTGCTGCTGAGATAATTGTGTGGATTAGATTCAGGTGTGTAGCTCTACCATTATCTTAGTGTGTAAACAATGGTGGAATGAGACTTTCTGGTGTGCAAACTATTGCTTTAAGCAGCAATGACAACTGTCATTGCCACGCCCAACTCTAAGCCCCCCTTCTTGTCCCTTGGTCCTCCAGGCAACTCCCTTTTAAGAGAAAATTTTCAAATGTTCATGTGGGCGGAGTAAGGCTGGTCACAGGTGTTTAGTCGCTCTTTAAGTTTGTACTATATTTGAAATGAAAGTCAGTGGTGTAGTGGATCAATGCTTTGAGATGTAGAGTTAAAGGTTCTGTTTGAAGAATTAACACTAAATGGTTCCCTATCATTTTCTTTTTTTGAGGAAAATGTGTTCTGTTCAAACAAATGCACTGCTGTAAGTAACAGACGAGGATTATGGAAGCCTCCGGAAGTTTCTATGTCATCCCCTATGTCTCCTCCTGTAGATCATCTAAGGGGGGTCGGGGGCTGGCAGAAAATAATTGATCAGAAGCAGTGGTCACTACAGTGACATCACAAACTGTACCTTAATGCCTGCATTCCAGAGCTCAGTGACAAGTTTGAGTCTTTCCTCCAGCAGGTTCTTCTGTGCAGATGCCACCATGATCTGCACCTCTGTGGTACGAACCTTCTCTGCACAGGCCTGAAACATAATCAAAGTATATTACAGCCAAGTTATAAAGGAAATAATGGTGGGTGATAAGGTAAAAGCACGAATATCACACATTTCTAGGAGTCAGATGGTAATATTTCATAACATTTATTTATTTATTGTTTATTTGGTTGGGACAGTACTAGGGGTGCAACGGTTTGAAAAAAATCACGGTTCGGTTCGTACCTCGGTTCAAAGGCCACGGTTCGGTTCATTTTTCGGTTCATTTTTCTAAAAAAAAGTTTTGTCTTTTTAATAAACACAGCTCATGTGGACTCTGCACCTGCTCTGACTGCCCCCCCTGACCTAGAAATGAATTAAGGGGAAGGAAATGGATGGATGGTAGGAAGGCATATTCCATCCATCCAATTATGTCTATTTAACATAATTAATTAAAAACAACACAAAGTGCAACATAAGAAGACACTTTATGAGGATATTTACCCTCATATATTACACCACCTTCCTGATTCTCCCGAGGAGGGGGTCCATTCTGGGCCCAGCCTCATTCACTGCATTTATTTAATTTTTGGCATTATCAGTTGTGACTGGGATATTAGTACTGGGCCTTTGTCTTCCATTCCTCCGCTGCTTGTGTCAGTACCTGCGCTGGGTGACTGTGTGACAGTGTGACTGTCGTAGAGGGGGCGTGTCTGCAGCGCCAGACTTTTCATCTCCCAGTCTGCGGTGATGAAGTGAGCGGTTCCGCTCATGGATCTATTATAGGTTCCGTGGGACGTCCAAGCGTCAGTCGTGGCCGCAGCTGAGGATGCGCGGGAGAGTTGACTTTAGCCCGGTCTGACTGTGCGTAAAGGAGCTGCTTAAATGCCGCGACAATAAGCGGTCGTTGAGACGCTTTTTTCACTCATGTCTTTCTTGTGCCACAGTGCTTACACATCGTGACAGTTTTGTCGAATATTAATTATCAGTGTAGTTACAGTGAAGCCAAAATGCTCTCATACTGGGGATTTAAATGACGCAGGGCTTTCAAGCTCCTCCGTTCCTCTGCTCGCAATGACCACGCTGTGTGTGGACTGAATAACGTGCGCACAACTTTTTTTTCATAAATCAAACCGCGGATCACGTCTGTACCGAACCGAAGACGTTGAACCGAACGGATCACGGATCAGTGATGAACCGTTGCACCTCTAGACAGTACATGTTAATGAACACATCACTCCTGATTGTAGCCTTTGGCTAATTTGCATCCGTTGTCCCACATTCGCACTCACAAACACACACCATTCATTCACCCTGAACTATTGCACATGTTTTTAGTGGTAGGGGAAACCGGAGTACCCGGAGGAAACCTACGCAGACACGGGAAGAACATGCAAACTCCACTCAGAAAGGCCCTGTTCCGACCGGGATTCGAACCCAGAACCTTCTTCCAAGTTCTGGACTTACTTTACTTGGAGTAAATGTAGTGTATTTAAGCTGGGGTACCCAACTAATAACAAAAAATTAACAATTTACAAGCTTTCAGCCCAGGGCGGCAAATATTGAGTTGGGTACCCAGCTTTGATATGCTTTAAATTAATTTACTGTTCTTTTTTTTACGGTTTTAAATAATTGCAGAAACTTACAGAAGCAGACTTACAAGATTACAAAGGCAACTCGGTCCATGTTTGAGTATATGTGCTGGATTCAATAGAACATTTATGAAATATAATGTACCACTCTGAAGATTTCACAAAGAATACCTATTGTCACTGGAATCCATCTCACAATATAATATACTTCAGCAAATTTCCCAACCAAACCATAAATAGAAGAAAGCACAAGTTCAGAACACGACTCTGCATTACCTCAGCTTTCTGTTCCATGATGGAGAAGATCCTCTCTATGCCGATGCTGACGCCCACACACGGCACTTTCCTTCCCTTCGGGTCAAACATGCCGACCAGTCCGTCATACCGCCCTCCTCCAGCCACACTGCCCACGCTCACACTCTCCTCTGTGGACCCCGGGGCCCCGTTCTGGGCCTCTACCACTGGGGCCACTCCTGCCTGTGTCAGTAATGCTTCATAAATGATCCCTGTGTAATAGTCCAAGCCTCTGGCCAGACTCAGGTCAAACACAACCTGAAACCAACAAGTTTGTAGTTTAGGTTAGAAGTATAGAAATAACAATACATTGATTTAATTGGCTCTTTTTCAATTCTGATATCTTTTGCTATCACATGTCTTTAGTCAAAGTTATTCAGCCAAAATTGTTAATCAGATTTATATGTAACTCTGCAGGTCTCACTTTGTCGGTGATCTGGAATAGCTGAAGATAACTGAAGAGTAGCTTTATGTCGGTCAGACCAGCACAGGCCTGCTTGCTCTGGGACATTTTGGGATCCTGAAGAAGTCTCTCTGCAAGGTCCATCCCTCCTATAACGCAGAAATAATGTTCATTATTCTCCCTAGAGAGATACCACCACTTTCTAAAACAGGTGAGCTCGCATGCCTACCCTGCATACTGACATAAGCCCCAATCTGGTCCGCAGCCTCTTCAGACAAGCCCTTTTCATTCACCATCTCCTTTTTCACATCGTCCCAAGGCATCTGCAGAAGGAAATGTCAGGAAAAAGTCAGCCTTTATTTCGGTTCACAATGATCGGATGACCAAGCGTTCTGATGCATAATGTTGTTCATAATCTTCAACATGTTATAAAAATGAAAAAACAAAAAAACAGAACAGCATTTTTTTTCTAAATCAGAAACAGCTTTGAATTCGAATCATCCCTAATGTTTGGAAATGTGTGATTCTCCTTTAAGTAGGAGCAATGAGTTGATGAGAAATATTTCACAGCAGAGAAACTACAGTAAAATGTCATTGACTGCATCACTACTACTTGGGTCCAAAACAGGATTAGCCACACACCTTGTCCAGTTTGTCCACCGTCGAACAGATTGTGCGAAATTTATCATCTGGCACACCACATACTGCAAACATCCCGTCCAGGATCCGTCTGTCATTCACCTAAAATACAAAAATATTGAAGGAAACATTTACGTAAAAAACACGTCAAAGCATGTATATGACAAACTTGATTTTATTCACCTTAATACGAAAGTCGCCAAGGCCGAGTTCACTAAGAATTTCATAGACAATTTTAAGGCATTCAGCATCTGGAATCATAGCGTCATACTGCCCCGCTATGTCAAAATCCTGTGATGGCATGGAAATGATAAGTAATTTGGATTAAATTCTACTAAGACTGAAGAAGATTTTCTGATGGAACGTACACACTGGTAAAACTCCCTGTAGCGCCCACGGGTCATGGCGGGGTTGTCCCGACGATAGACTTTTGCTATGTGATAACGTTTAATGTTAGTTATTTTGTTCATGGCTAAATAACGAGCAAAAGGTACCTGAGAAAATAACAGTCAAGGATATTACCGAAAAGGAATTTTAACTAACTAGGGGCGACAGTAGCTCAGTTGGTAGAGCAGTGGCCTTTGAGCCTGGAGGTTGTGAGTTCGATGCTAGGTCCACCATGGGACCTACTCCAACTGCTCCCACTGATGTCTACTGTCGTTGTGTCCTTGGGAAAGACACTTAACCCCACGTTCCCTGAAGCCCCCGCTGAAAGACCAAGGCTGTTTCACCACTGACGGAGCAGCCATCTTCCTGTGGACTCACCCCCTGCAGAAGATCAGCGAGGGACTGGTGCTGTGAGCATTGGGTAGCAGCTCTCATTGCCACCCCCCTGACCCAGAAATGGACAATAAAGGGCTTGAAAATGAATGAATGAATTTTAACTAATCCATCAACATGGTAAGTTTTAGGCTGTGTTCCCACTGGATCATGCGTTGTGGCGGGTTTCAATGCAAAGTCATTGGCGACGTCCGCCCATGCGAGAAATTGCATGTACGTCGCAGCATGCACGTTTGTCCCACGCGGCAGACGGTTTGTTGCAACGAGGCAGAGGCGATGGGTACGGCGGCTAGATGCATGCAGCAAAAGCAGGAGATGAGATTCACGGAACATCCTTGCTCCACCCAAGTGCAGCAACCAATCAGAGAGCAGCAAAGTGCTCACAGGGACATAAGCCGGTCAAGAACAGGAAGATGAGGACACTTGAATACAACCAAAACATGAGCTTAACTAGGATTAAACTAGGGCTGACAATGGGGGACGCAGTGCTTGAAAACATACGTCTTCACCCTGAGTTAACATTCTACCGCTTCCGCCCTGCATTTTTTCCCACAGGGCAGGACCTCAGATTGACTAAACTCATGCAGCTGATATTTAGTGAACATGCATCCATGCCTCCATCAACGCACGTCCATGCATCGGCAGTGGGAACACATCTTTAGACAAACACTGCAAATGAGGAAAGGATACAGTGAGATCATATCTGAGGGACAGCAGTTCTCCTCCCTGGTCTTTTAGGTCATAGATCAGCTTTGAATCTTCTCCATATTTTCCAGTTAATGTTTCCTGCACATAAAGACAATTTTGAAATTGTATCACATTTCTCTCACACAAAAAACAATGCACTAATAAATGACCTTCAGTTCAAAAACAGGTGTGTCAATGGTCTCAGCTCCATGGCGCTTGAAACAGTGGACGATGGTGTTAAAGACCTTCTCCCTGATGGCCATCTGTTTGGGATTGTAATCTCGTGTTCCCTGGTAAAGGAAAGTAGTCAGTAACTTGATTATGAAGTGTGCCCACAATATCAAATATTTTTTCTCTATTATGAAGATGCCTATTCCATTTCAGACATAATGTGTGTATACATTTTCTATTTTCATGTACTGAATGTTTAATGTTTGAATAAATCAACCTGAATCTGATTCACCCCCAAACATAAATGACCCATGTGAAGATTTAAATCCAGTTGTTTTTGAAACATTGGCTGCATTGTGATTGTTTACCTTTGGTGTCTTAAGTACAAACTGATGTTTGCCATCATCTCCTCCTAATTTCGCTTTCAGCTGCAGGAGTTTTGCGACTTCTTCATCAATCTGAAATGCAGGGGAAATGTGTAATCAATGTGTAAATGAAGTCTGCCTTATAAAAGTAAGAGAGTGAATAAATTGACCAACCTGAGCCACAGACATGCCGGAGAGAGAGCGCAGGAGTTGAACCCGAGATACAGTCCATGAAGCCCATAGGGTAGAGCAGGAACGGAGAGTAAACATGGCCAGCATGTTCACAGCACAAGCAGACACGGTTTAAACAAGGAGCCAGTCAATATCCATTTGTATCAGAGTCGTAAGCAGAACGTCCAGGTTCAGATCCCACAGGAGGAGAGGACGTGATGGCGATCCCCCGAGGGTCAATCGAATCAGGCAGGAAGAACAGGAGAAAAGTGGTAAGCAACCCTAGCACTAGGGAAGGTCGAGGCATGATGCGCCACCAGCACAGCGTGGAGGATAGAACATAAATTGTACCAAGTCAATCAAGGCAGGCCTCAAAGACAAAACACTGACTTTTAATCAATATGTTCTAATTATTAAGATACTATATTCTATTATTAACGGATATAGCAGAAAACATTGGAATTGATATGACTTAACAGTATGGTAACGCAATACTAAACACAGCTTAACATATGGGGCCTTTACTGGTTGTAGGCTGCTTTTAATCAGGATACTTTTGTTATTTTGTTGTAAATGTTCTCTCTGGATCTTAAATCAATAATGAAACTATAATAGAAATTACAAACTCATAACCAAGCCATTATCAGTTGAAAGTGACCACCATCCTACTCAATATCACAGGGATAATGGTGCTTTAACATCAGCTCCTCTTGCCTCTACCAGCAAATTTGGATCATTGTCCCCAAATAAATGACAAAGCAAAGGCCTAGTTATCGGAAAAAAACATATGTTATGATTAAACCTAAATGAATGACGCAGAGCTAGCTAGCAGTCCTTCATATTTGCAGTAGCACATGTTTATAAATGTCCCCCGACCTGGTCTTTGCTCGCCTTCTCGGTCTTCAGCTTTCGCACCACTTCACCCTGAGATTTGATGGCCTCCTGTATCTGCGCCTTGTCTTCCATGTTTTATTTTATGTTGAGAAAAAGCGAAGTTCTTGCACTACAGTTTCAGCATTACCACTGTCAGCCGGGAAAGAGCGGAAACGGAAGTTAAATCAGACAGACCCGCAATAACTTTCAAAATAAAAGCCATTAAAACGATTACTTTTTTTAAAATTACTTTTATTTTCCACATGAATTCCAAAACGCTTTGATCAAGGCTTCATTCAAATATTTGGTTATTGACATTATTCATGTTTAAAGCAAATGTTTGAAATATTTTATTTTTTTCTTGAGCTCCACATGACATATTTGTTTTCATACCAAAGTCCAACAATTTCGGGGGGGAAAGAAAGCTTGGAAAACATCATGCCCGTGAGTATTAGAGCTTGCATTTTAAGCTTACAAATCTACTATGTAAAATGTATTAAAATGCATTCTGTGTTTACCATAACATGCTATGATAACATACTATAAAGAAATAGACATTTGTATCTTAAGGATTTCAACTGAATTGCAAACTCTGCTCTTGCTCTATTTGAGTTTTGTTTTCATTAATTACTCCAGATAGGCTGAATAAAAACTGTATTCCTCCATTTTGATAATGTGTTGAAATGCTGTTTTGCAGGGTCATTCTGGTCTTGAGCTGTGTCCACCTCCTCCTGGTTTGGAAGCAGAATTTGAGACACTTTTCACCTCTGAATGCCTCACTTTCCTCCATGAGTTAATCTCCACATTTGAGGGGGAAGTTGATAATGTACACTTTGCCAATTATAGTACATCAACAACATTGTCAATCTTTACTCCTTTTTCACTGTACTGCTTTATTTGGCCTGACAGGTCCTTTGTTTGCGAGTGTCTAAACAAGCACACTTGGACCACACAGGAGAACTGCCTGGTTTCAGACCGGACACAGCAAACATTAGGAATGACCCGAGCTGGACTGTGCTCCCTGTCCCAGCTCGGCTTCAAAAAAGACACGTGGACATTGGAGATTTAGCCCCCTGTGACAGCCAGCGTTTCATTAAGGCTCTGCAGTCTACGGCACAAGGCATACAGGCAGGAAAAATTATCTGGGACTATAATAAGTAATTCCAAATAAATTATGCAAAAATAAAAGATAATGTGTGTCATATGGTTCAAAATAATTGAATTATGGCTTGAAAAAAATCACACATTTGGCAAATTTCCAAATTGTTTCTTACTGTGCAGTTATTTTTTATTAATATTATTATTATTACAGGTTGATTTTGACGATGGAAACTGCCCAACTTTCCACAACCAGATCAAAGGCATTTACAATGTGTGGAAGGCAGTGAAAAACCAGTTCCCCAGTGAGTATGTTTTTCCTCAAGGGATGCGCCGTTCACAATCCTACAACAGTATTACCAACAGAATGCAATTCAATACTCGATTTGGTATGAGATATATTCTGCCAAAATCCTAGTAATCCCCAATTGCTAACCCTTAAGGTAAATGTACAAAGGCAGATTACAGCCCTGTTCTCATGTTTCTTGCATAAATAACAGTTACATAATACAATTGGTCGTTTTGAAAAATATGTGGTTCTTGGTTATGATGTGGGATCCGCTTACATTGAAAGCCAAAATTGTTTTCTGGATCTGGATTTGTAATTTTTGGTTTCTGTTGTTTCTCTTCAAACACTGATGCTTGTATTGATGAACTTTTTTCAGATGTTCCTCATATATCAAAGGCCCCAGTCTTGATGCTCCGCCCACGCGCCTGGAATATGGTGGAGCATAATATGATGGTATTTTAATTAGACATTTTTAAGCAACACGCACTAACACAAAAGTTTGATGCCATTTTGTCTACAAATCCCCAGGGAAAGCTATATTGTCTGTCAGTGATATTAGGAGGACACGGGCCACCCTAATTTGAACTTATTCTTTTATCAGGTGGAGGGAAAGCAAGTCCCAGGGCCTCTTTTTGACTTCGGACTCCTTATGTTTCATTGTGGGATGGAACTTTTCAAAACCAGAAGTGGACCATTTTTCTATTTATCCAAAGTAAAATATACTCATCAAATCGAGTAGAACCATGAGTTGCAAAGAGTTAAGGGTGTCTTTTACAGGTGGAGAGTTTTATGGAAGCAAGACTGTGGAATAAGATATTTCTTTGGACACAGCACAAGGTTTGACTTTAGAGACATTTTTCATAAGTCAAATTTATTGAATATTGTTGGTTTTCTGTGCAGTTAGGACTTCCAGTGGGGACCATCAAAGCAACAGTCCTCATCGAGAATGTACTAGCAGCTTTTGAAATGGAGGAGATCCTGTTTGAGCTCCGAGAGCATTCGGCAGGTCTTAACTGTGGGATCTGGGACTATTCTGCATCTTTTGTCAACAAGTTCGGTACGAGAACAACTTCACATGTGTCCATGTTTATCTGTGTATTAATAGACTACAGTTCTATGTTATTGTATGTATTGTTTGCGAAGCGATATTGCACAATGTTTATTTGCATTACAGATGTGTCAATTACGGGGGGGGGGAACTTTATAGTTGTAAACAAAAAAACAGTAGAACGTGCACCGGGAGAGGGCTTACCGCGCCCACATCAGGAATCATCTCACACCAAATTTCAGCTCAATCCGTCCGTATTTGCACAATCCTGCCTACAGACAAACTTTTACCCCACTGTGGTAAAATAACTGGAATAGTGAGAGGAAGACTATTTAGCCATTAAATGTTCCCTTGTATGTTTTTATCTATCTAGTAATTTCAACCTTTACTATTTCAAGATGAATTTGAGCTGATTTAGTCCAGAGATACTAGAGTCTCCACTGATCTGACCAGTGCTGTTTTAGTTCTACTTTCATTACATCAATGTGATTGGGTTTGTAGGTCACCGAGGCGCGTTCTTGTTGCCAGACCGCAGTAAGTATGTGAACATGGAGAAGCGTTTTCTGCGGAGCTACATGGACTTGCTGGTCCAGACGTGTCATAAACGTGGAGCTCTGGCCACAGGGGGGATGGCTGCTCTGCTGCTGCCCCTTGACACATGCAGCCAGACTTACCAGACAGTGTTGGCTTCGGTCACAAGGTGCGAATCAGGCTTCAATATGTGTCCATCAAATAAGCATCTTACGGTTTCTGTTTTATTTCTCAGACTGAAACTCCTGGAAATCAAAGCTGGTGTGGATGGTTTCATGGTGTATGACCTAAACCTGATCAAACCTATGCAAGAAGTATGTATACTATACTACGTTTACTACAAGTTGCTTGACTCAACAAAAAAAAAGTATATACAATATAAAAATGTAACGAATAAATAAAAAACTCAAACTCATAAAAGCCCATCATAAAATTAACAGTATCTGGTGGCGGCACACTTGCAGAGTGGATGAAACCTACGTAGACACTGATTTTCTCCAGGTGCTCCGGTTTTCCCGACATTTGGGCTGCAATACACTCCTCCCTTATGGGGAAGGAGGAGCAGAACTATTTTGGTTAAATGAGTAGTAGAGCACACACACAGCTTCTATCATGTGGGACTGATCAGCAGTAGCACAGATAGTAAATGAATCTCAATGCTTTCAAAATTGGATAATCTGTGTATATAAAATTCATTTATTAAAGTGGCCAGTGTATGAAAAAATGTTTCCATGTAATCAACGTTATTATATACTTAAGTCATTAATATAATTGTTATTGCAGCTCTTTCAAATGCAAACCAAAAGTGAAAACCAACTTCACCAACTTCGCAAGGACATTGTGGTGACGCCAACTGACCTACTGTCCATGCCATCTGTGTGTAATGCACTCACTTTCTACAACATAGAAGTATGCTTACTTTTGCTGATAAAACAAATTGCATGTGTTTATGCATTTAGGGCGGAGTCACTTTAAACGGGTTAAAATACAATATTGCTGTTGGTGTCCTGTTTATAAATGCATGGCTCTCTGGTACAGTATATTGCACATTTCTCCAATCCCTTCACTTTTCACGACAATCTGCTTTGTTTACCAGGTAAAGGTCATTTTTTCTACCGAGGCCAAGTGGAAGACTCAGCCACAGCAGAGATCTCAAGATCACAGGTAAGGGCATTTTAAACCCATTATTATTGAAAAATGCTCTAGCTAATTCCTTGGAAAACATTATGTAAGGTTTGGCAGTGGATTCGCCATCAAACTCGACTGGAGGATGACGGCCGAGTGGTGAACAGACAAATGGTGGAGGCCTTCGTTACAGCGGTTACTAAGGAGCTAAGTGCCCACTGCAAATCAGATCGGTAAGAACACTTTATATACACAACATGCTTAGTGATTTTAAAAAAAGGTTTGAATAAGTCATCTTTATCTTGATTTGAGGATATTCTGAAATGCGATGGAAAAACTTGTCATTAGAACAACGGTGTGATTTAAGAAGCCATTTCCCTCTTGAAATTAGGAACCAAAAATACCTTTGCACTGAAAAAAAAGAGACCATTATTGTTAAATGAAATCAGGATACTGCTGAATTATATTTCATTAATTGGCTGAGTGAGGATGTTCCCCCTTTTTTGCTTTTCAGTCTGATAATGCTAAAAATGCTAACTAGTGATGGAGAAAAATCTGTTGAGGTTTTTTACATGCATGGGTGGGAATAAAAAGTGTAATTTTAATATAAATAATCTCTCTAAATATGATCTTTATGTTCCAGAGCCAAACAGCAGCTACAAACTGCAGCAGACATGTTTTTAGAGGTGGTTCTAAAGAGAGATTTCCCCGCATTTATCACAACTCATCTATCGGAAGATCACACTTTTTTAAACACGCACAAATCCAGACTCGACAATTCCCCTCGTTCTAAACTGTGACGGGTCTGATGAAGTCTATGTAAAAGCCGCAGTGTCAAATGTTGAAAGGATCATTACAAAAAGAATGTTGTCAACCCAGTTTTATTCAGAATTCCTTGCAGGTTAATAAACTTCCATAAATGAAAACCCAAGCAGCAGAAAGACTGGTGTGTTTATGTTAAACCTTATTGCGTTTTCAGCCCAAAGTCAAAGCGCTCAGTCCTGTCCCGTGTGCTTCTCACAGTTGACTTGGGGTGCAGCAAAGCCCTCCGGTGGCACAGTTTGGGTGTAACTACAAGTTCTATATAAAATCATGCCTTTTGGGAAGTTGTTTGTTTGGCAAACAGCGGCTCACATTCTGAACAATGCATTGCCAGCCACCAGCATGGGCACTGTCACTTTATTAACCCACTTGTCGGTTTGTCGCATATAAATTACTTACAGAACAGCAGTGAGTTTGTTTGAATGGGAGAAATAGGTCCTATCCTGGTGGCGATTGTCCCTCGATCAGTGCATTGTCTGGGCGCTTTCCCCTTTGTTCAGTGCTCACATCTCGTTAGTCATCTCCTCGTGCTCGCCTGCCGACAGGTCACCGTTGACATTGAGCTTTGTGTTGTTGTCCTGGTAACCGGGAGGCATGAAGGCCAGGCAGTACGGGAAGATCTTATGGCAGGCAGTGCGGTATGATTCCTCCGCTTTCTGCTGGTTCTCCCCCAGCTGCCCATTTCGCAGTGCCTCCAAGACTTCGATGCAGATCTGTATGATGCAAACGTGTTTCACAAGGTACAAATTAAAATAACACTATCAGTCTTTGTGTGGCGACTACTTCAATATGATATGTACACAATTTACATGTACAGGTACAGCACCAACATTGAGAGATGTGGGTAGTTTTTACTGCCACAATTTGTTGTGTATGCAACAAATTTAATCAAAACTGAATATTCAATGTAAACTCTCTAGGCACTAATGTTAAGTGAATTAGACAAGGAATCCAAAGCCTTTGCATCGCAAGTACATGGTAGTCTTGTGAGCTATGATGTAAACTGAAGAATTGTTTTTTAAATTTGTTACAGAATATTATGTGCGATATATTGATTATCATGTGTGATCCATGTAATATTGCCTAAAATATAATACTAAATTGACCCTGTGAATTCTAGCTCTACTCTCATGTATGACATTGTTCACTGACCTGAATGCTTCTTCCAGTCAGTGACTCATCCAGTGCTGTGGCGATCTCACAGGCCATCTTATCAGCGGAGGGCTCCAGATACACCATCATTTTAGCAGCTGAGAACGGGATAGAAAAATAGTTAAATCATACCAACTTCACACTGTCCCAAGAAAGTAGTAGTATATACCGGCCAGTCGATGTGGGACGGAGTTGGAGTTTTCACTCAGGAAGTTCTTGTTGAAACTCTGCGGATTGCTCTCTCCAAAGAGTCTGGTGGTCTCTTGTCTCAGAACTGTTCTCACTGCCTCTGCCAGGTGACCGTTGTTATTAACTGTGCACAAACACATTTTCATCATAGACCTTAAAAATAGCACAACACTCCACAATTGACCATCAGGACTGCACTCACCCCCTGCAAAGAACCGGACCAAGCACTGGTGCAGCCAGGGGTTACTGGGTTCAATAGCTACAGCTCGTTTTATAGACTGCAGCATTAACAGGTACTTTTCTGAGGGTCAGAGATTGACAAAAATAAAATGACAAAATATGCAAGGAAAATCACACCTTAAAGTGATAGTCTGTAACTCTAAATGAATTACAAATTTTAGGAAATGTTTTAAATTGACCTCCTGGCCTTAAATGTTGATATAAAATAAGTCATTTTATTAATTCTAATATTACGGGCAAGTCCTGCCTTCCCTGCTCTTAGCTATAGTTCAGAATCCACGGTGCCGTCGAGGTTAACCAATGGAGTCATGCCAAGGGCTGTCAATCATCTGCGCTGATGCTCGCAGCTGCGCGCATGCGCAGTTGTTTGTTTTCGCGGAGCCTCTATTAGGCTCTGGAACAACATGAAAACTGAACAAAGAATTCTGAACATCCGCGCTGAGGTACTTATGTATATTCTGAACCTATATCCATAATCAGATCCTCTGCAGATGTGTCCTATAATGTGCAATTAATGATAATAGCACTTCCTGGTTTGCCGCGATCGCTTTTTTGTGTGCATAAAAACATATTTTTTTTCATTAAAACGTTCACAAATAATTCTGAAAACCTCCGTGCATGTGTATTTATAATGTATATGTATAATATGTTCTCCCATTAACATTTCAAAGTGTTACGGAAACGTAGGTGTAGACCAATCAGAAAGGAAGGGGGAGGGAGCTTGCGTCGTTTTTTTCAAATCAAGTACCTCTCTGTCTCTCTTTCTGACAAACTCCAGACAATCACTTTAAAGAATATCCTTTTTACTACCCTCCCCCATCCCAAACATCCTACTTGGTGTATAAGCCTTATACAACATATTATACTTCCTATTTTCTCCAAATAAATCACTGTAATTTGACGCTGAACAGACAGTGTAAAAACATTTTTAGCATTTTTAACAAGACCTTTTCTGAAGTATATTTCGAAAGCGAGCAGGTGCGTTTCAATCTTATTCCTCACAAGGTTCTTCAGAGGCATCAGGAACTTCACAGCCTCCTCCAGGGGGTACTCAGTCTGTTGGTAAACAGATATATATATATATATATATATATATATATATGAACCCGAGCGAACAGGATATTGTATTTAAACAAGAGCTGAGGCGTGAGGTGTACACACCTTAATCAGTTTATCTGGTATTAGCTCTTCCTTAGGTCCGATCTCCTCATCATCGTCCTCTTTCTTCTTCTTCTGGTTCTTAAGCTGTTTCTCCTTCTCAGCGTTCTTCTTTTCCTCCTCCAACTGAGCTTTTTTCTGAGCTCTGCGCTGTTTATTACGCAACTTCTTGAGCTCTTTGTCAGTCAAATTTTCTAGGTGATAGAAATAATATATAGTTTTTCTATTTGAGTGGGATAGTGTGTATTAATGCATGTATCTACTTCCATTAGCCAATTGAAACTGAACACAACCATCTAACGATTTCTGGCAATTGGAGGGAACCTTTCAACGGTTCAGTATCAACCCTGTTTTGAATGTAAGCTAGTCCAGTACTCAAAAGGGTCAGTGCATTAGGGTCCAGCTCAGAGAAGAGCTAAAGGGGGCCACATTGTCACAAATGTCCATGGGACACATACCTGTGTCGGCCTCGCTCTCTTTGTTGTCGTCGGCCAGAGGTTTGTCATGCAGGGCCAGATAGATCTGAATGGCTGTGCGTGCAGCTTTGTAATAAAAGGGATGCTGCCGCAGGACATCCTCCAGCTTCAACAGGTCCACATAGGATCGCAAGGTCATCTTCCTCATACAGTAAGTGTGGAAATCAAATTGGTCGTCCGTGATTTCAACAAAATGCTGAAAAGTGCAAAATTATGTCAATATGACAGTTATTTTAAAAGATTGCTTTAAGTTTTATCAAATATTTGTTAACTTTCTCCAATGTTATATAATCAGTTGCATAATGAATAGGCAACTTATTAATCTTATTTAGAAGATGAAATAAGGAATATATAAAACAACTCAATGTCACTATATACCGTGTACTGTTCTCATTTGTAGTGTTTGAAACACATCACAGTAAGATCAGCACAAACTTACTCTTTCAATCTCATGACACTTCTTTAAAGCTTCTCCATATTTGTTCATGGCCTTAAAGGCCAAAGCACATTCCGTCTGGAACCACATACACTGCATCTCATTCAGATTATCGATCGCAGATGTTCCCTCCTGTCAAAAGATGCACATTTACAAATAGCATCCAGTGATTAGACTTTGAACCACAATGTGGTGTATTCTGTTTTACCCTTGTGAATTTTGAGCACATATCTTCTGCTTCTTTCACCAGGCTGGCCTTCAGCATGTACTTGGCACACTTTGAGTTGATGAAGCGGTCAGCTGTGTCCAGAGCCTGTGCCTCATCCATCCATCGAGCTGCTTCCTTGATGTTTCCTGCGTGCTGATGTTAGAAAACGAGATGATGACGCATCTAATGTAAAAGAACAATCTATATAAAGTTAGTGTACCTTGTAAATCTTGGCTTTGATGGAAAACAACTCAATAAGTGTAGGTGTGCTGTCAATGGCTGCGTTTATGTATTCTAAAGCTACAGTGGACTTTCCCACAAAGTCAAAGTGCTGAGCCAGAAAATATTGTACCCACAACAAAGTGGTTGGAGGTTCCTCTTTACCGTCATCTGTAACACAATAAGAGTTTGGGCTGATCATTTGAAGATGTTTTAAATTAATATTATTTTTTAAATCTTTGTTCATTAAAACAAGACTCACCATTTTCACAAAACATTCTGAAGCCTTTTAAAGATTTTTCATAACCGACCACAAGTTCTTCAATAATTGAAACCTGCAACAACAAAACAATATTTTTTTTTTTAAATAAACAAAAAACCTAACGTGACATAGGTCAATACATTACCTTGTCTTTATCAGCATAAAGGGATTTGAGAGTAGTGAAGACAGGTGGACAGCCTTTACTGAAGTTCATTCTAAGGTAACTGTCTAAACATTCACAGAACTTCTCACCTAGATTAATTAAAACAACCAAAATAAAATGAAACAACCAAAAAAATAATTTAAAATAACATTTAGTTACTTACCATTGAGGAAGCTAAGAGGAAGTCTTCTGGGAATCAATCCTTTCGGAAATGTTACCCAAGCTTCTTCGTAAATTTTAAATCGGTCTTCTATACTACCTGTGTAGCACAAGATTTAAAAAGTGCCTTGTGTCATCATAAATCAACGAGTTTGAACTCACTTGGATTTAATGATTTTTCTATTCCTTGGTAATAAGCCCAATTCTCAGGGTTCCTCTCCTGAAGTTTCTTGTACACTTCTAAAGCCTCTTCAGTTCTGTCAAGCTTCAACAGGAGCTCTCCTGTTCACATAGGAATACTTGTATTTAATCAGAGAAAAGTAATATCCATGCATGAAACAAAAGGAAATCAAATTAAAAGAATAATAAGAAATGCTCACCTCTGGTTTCTTCCACAGCCAGTTTGTCACAAATCTGTTTCTCATAATTGTTGAGGTGATCAAGAGCTTCCTTGTACAAACCAGCCTCCCTCAGAACTTGGTTCTGATATAGCAGCAATTCACTGTATTCATAGTCAACTTTGTCTGGAGACGTCTGAACAAAGAAACATTTGGTTTTCTGTCATTCTATTTGTGATTTGATTTGTTTTCTGTTGAAAGCTCTGTTTTCTTTCAGAATTGTAAAGCGCTGAATAAATAAACATGGGGTTTTCCTTTTTTAATAACCTGTTGTGTTTTCCTGAACTCTTCCACTATTTTAGCAGCCATCTCAAAGTCCTCAAGCAGATGATAGGCGACTGCATAACCAATCCATGAAGCTCTTTGGGCAGGACGCAGCTGAAGCAGCTGATACCGAGTCTCCTGTTAAGGCAAAGCAAAAGACTTAGAAATATGTCAGAACCTGGTAAAAGGTATTGTGGTCTGCTCACTCTATATCCCTCCAAGTCCCGCATCTGGATCTGCAGCAAGGACAAGTCTCTAAGGATCTGTAAATTGTCCTTATCCCACTTAAGAGCATTTCGGTAACATTTGATAGCCTCATCATACTTTTTATCCGAGCGCTGTAGTAAGCCGTACACATGCCAACCTAATATTCAATTTAGTTTAGGAATATAACAGGTCAAGCATGTGAAAAACAACATAAAAATAGGTAAGAATATACAATTCAGTGAGTACAAAGGATACAGACATGGCTCTTGAGGTCATTGCGTAGACCTCGTCGCACCAAATCATAAGCTTCTTCTTTCTTTCCTAAACAGTTTAGAGTTAAACCTTTCATCGCCAGCGTCTCTGAAACACAAGTAAGTATACATTAGAATATTCTGTTTGTTGTAACCACAAACAGAGAAGTTTCTAACTGCTTGGACAAGTTATTTCAAAAATAGATTTTAAAATGAAATGTATGTGACATATGTGCCTGACAGCAAAGTTAATCCATGTCCAAACAAAGAATCCTAAATTACCTCCATGTTCTGCATACTTTGGGTTGATCAGAATTTGCTTGCAGAATTTCAGCCCATTTCTGTACTGTTTGTGCTCATAACATCTCTGAAGATGAAAGAATTGTTAGTCCCAGGTAAGTGTGATTGAATATCGCTGAACAAGTCAAAAAACAGTTTGCCATACGCAAATACCATTCATAACAAAATATATATCAACATTTACAGACAATTGAGCACTTAAATTAACATCTCGATCCCTCACATAATTATCACATTGTGGCCAATCAACAATGTTGAATTCTAGAAACCAGCATCATGTAGGTTTTTTCTTGAGGACAGACAATAACTTCTTATAATATCAGGCAACATTGCTGCCACTATGAAAGTGAGTGAGAGAGTAGAAGAGAACACTCAATAGTTTCAACATATTTTATTTCTATCACCCCAAGAGCTCAGCCTGATAGCTGTCATGTGTCAGGTAGCACTGACACCCATTGTGAGGAGAAGGCAGAATCCTTTCCATAAAGTAAACAGCATGTCTACTAAATCAAGAGTACAAGGATAACGTCTAAACGACAGTCTTGGTGACAGTATAGTTATTTCATTCGCTTACAAGTTTCTTTAACAGTTAAATGGTTTACTTCCAGCCTCTGTGACTGCCTGAGAGGTTGCTACAGACTAGCATTAGCTTACAAGCTAACGTCATGAACATAATTGCGTTTCCTACCAATATTCTCTTAAAGAGGGAATTCTCCTTCTGCGGTAGGATAATTGCGGGCATTGTTGACTTCCTATGGCTCTGTTGGTCAACACATGAATAATATCCACAGAGGCAGAGAGGCTGAACTGTTTGAGAACTCCAGTCTCACGTGTTGAGCCGAGGCCCCTTCAGAGCAAAATGGCAGCGGGCTCTTCTCCTCCGGGTCAGCCGCATGTGGCAGGGGGAGAGAGGGGCAGTGTGTACAGTTAGCACAACAGTCAAGGCAAAACAAAAATACATGTGCTTCCATACGCGTGTGATCATCAAAAGTAACATGTTAACTTGTGTATTTTATTTGCTTAAACTTCTGCCACCGTTCAGTCCGGTGTATAACACAGGGGGCGCTAGAGTTTACTTTTCTGTCAGTCCAACTACAGAGACTCACACACAGAGCTGTGTTGTTTTGTCCGAGCGCGGAGGAAAGAGGATAAAATGACATTTAACCGGGTTTTATCACGGTCTTTACTGAGCAGCAGAGGTAACACTGCTCCACACAAAGGCACTGACTGCACAACCTTTGCTGATACGTGATGTTTGTGGCGTTATGGTGGCTTTGAAGCTTGACCTTAGCTTAGCATTAGCATTCGTCACTCAGATTTTACTAGAATGTATTTTTTATGAGGGGACATCGTAACTTGCTTCTGTGATAACTCAGTTCGTATCGTAAATCTTCTCAAATGTGCGTCTGTGTATTACTGTATATGTTTTAATTGATTCCTGCATCATTGAGTAACAGTCAAAATCCATGTGTTCATCATATTTGCTTTTTTAAAATTCTTATTGATTTCATGGGCTCGCAGGGTTCTTATATGTTCACATTTTGTTATTTAATTTAGTGTTGACGATTATTGTCCTATTTTGTAATACTTTAGACAACCCAAGTTTGTCATGTAGACTCCTGTCCTAGGGATAAAATGTCTTTTTTTTTAAAAAACTATGTAAAGTCGGGATTTTCAGTTTTCAGACAAATATATAGTCCTATATTATCAACATAAAAAAGTAATTAGATATGGACACTTCATTTATTCAAAACCTGCAGCTGTATAAACCCACTATTTGGGTAGTTGGTGCAATAGAGGGTTTGTACATTTAAAGCATGCATTGTGGTCTATGGATTAGTTGTATGTGAAATGACTAATTTGGGCACAAGAGTTGATACATGAGACTTAGTTCAGACATTGGACGTTGAAAAGCCATGTTCATCACACATTCTATTTAATACATTTGCCATCATTGTAGCACTGATTTTGGCAACTTGGGCTTCTCCAAATGTGCATCTCATCCCTTTTCATTATGTACCTGTTTTTTTCTTAAATAAAAACACAATTCATAAGATCTTTTACACATGCATGTTCTTTAAATTGTTTAGTTTCTGTCCTAGCCATTTACACATTGTGATAGTTTTTGCTTTTCATTCAGTATCTTCTCTGTAAATTCTTTTCTAATATTGTTTATTTCATATTGGCATATAAATGACATCTTAAGTTCTTATATTCTTGCTTATATAAAATGTTTGTTCTTGTTTTTACATAGTTGGATTGAGGACCATGTTCACAAGTTCCAAGACAGACTACAACAGCCCAAACTGGATCAGAGTGGGCCTTGCGTTTGGCTCCACAGTATTTCTATGGGGACTGGTAAATATATTTGGTTATAAAAAAAAAAGTAATCTATTCTAAACACTTGCCTTATGGGCATACACAAAAGTTGATGTCGTTTGTAACTTTTTTGCAGCTTTTTAAACAACGCAGCACAGACCTACATGAGTACAAAGTCAGGAATGGACTGGAGTAATTCATCTGACCGATATGATCCTTCTGCTTAATAAGTTGACTTTACATTTGTACAGTGTTTCCATTCATGCTAAATAAATGATTTATGTGTTATTTTGCCATTGGGTAATTTTCTTTAAATCATGTAAAATCTAAGAAATGTATATCTGTTTGGGAACCCTTTGGGGTATAAACCAATGCTGGAATAAATGAGAAATCAGGACAAAACTACAGGGTCTCAGTTTACGTAAGCTCTCAGTCGTACAGGGTTTAGTCAAAGCAAAGGAATGTTTCTCAACCATCAACTGCACTTCTTAGGTTTTTCCGACGTTGTTGATGGGTGAGAAACCTTCCTTAGCTATATGCAACTTACAATCGTGAAGCTGAGACCCTGTAGCAATCTCTGTAGAAGTGAGTTTGGACACTTCCCCTTTTACAGCACAGACAAATTTCACAAATGAGATTTAGGAAATTGTGATACATAAAAATCAAGTGGAATACATAGATTCTGAATGAAATGTAGCAAAATATTGTGTATAGTGGTCAGGATTCATCCCAGAATGAATTGAAAGTAGGGGATAGTTTTATTTGGCTGGACCACATGCCCAACAGCTTGGCCAAAATTCTACAATATAAAATGGCAAAACAACAGCTTGGCCAAAATTCTACAATATAAAATGGCTAAACAAATGTTAAAGCTGCATTAGAATGACTGCTTCCAAGGAGTTCAATATATTACAGTAATTAGCATTAATACAGGACAGCAGAAATACTAGTAAAATACCATTTATTTTAAAGATGGTGGTTCCATGAAGTAATAAATAGGGTAGTTTTCTATTCATGTACAAATGATTAGTTCAAGCATTTGTTTAGAGCCGTGGTTCTCAACTGGAACGGTGCTAGAACAATTAAAGACTGCCAATCTGCAATCCAAACAAGAACTGTAGTATAAATAATGCAAAATAAAATTGTTTTTCCCCAAAAATGTTAAATACAAAACTTCTTTGCTAACAATAACTCCAACCAACTGGCATAAAGGAAATGGATTTAAAACACTCTTGAAATAAGTAACTAGTTTTACATCTAAGTCAAAGTTTTTCTAAGATGCAGTGGATTTAGTTGTTTCCCCCAAAAATTCTGTGGCACTTTTGGGTCAAGTTGAGAACCAACAAATTGTAGTGACAAAGCCTTGTTTTTAACAGTACAGACATAAGACGTAAAGCTGTATCCTGCTGCTTGTGGTCTCTGCCAAAAGCAGGTAACTCAGATTAAGTGATCAACTTTAGTCCTATAAATATCTTTGGTTGAAATAGCATTGTTCCCTACAAAACATCTCTGTAAGCCTTTCAGTGTTCTTACACAATGCTACATCAAAAACACACATGACGCCTACAAAAGAGATGAAAACATTCCACACAAGGCAAAATACATTCCAGTGACATGTAGCCTGAAAAGTGCGAAGGAGTGCACACTGACATGATCAAGACGTATCTCAAAACCCAGTGCGTTTCATCTTTGGACTATCTGAGTAATGATCCCCAGTGCGTCCTCCACTCCTGAACTGGGCTCATCCATGTCTTTTGTAACATATGTGCCGATCACAAACAGCCTGCGCTCTCCAAGCTCAGACAGGCCCAGGGCTTCATGGACGTCAGTGATGGGACATGCTCCGGCACAGTCCTGCAAACAGACCATTGTCTTATGCAACACAACTATTACAGTCGATGACAAATGACTACAATATTTCTACAATCCTTACAATGAAGAGGCACTGAAATTCTTTGCGATAGGAACCATTTTTAATTGTCTCACAATGTAGACAATTCGGTCTTGAAAGTTTACACACCTAGCCATATATTTTGTTATTTTGTCTATTATTTGAAGATTATACACAAACATTTTGCCAAGAAGAACGTAACTATCAGAGAGGATAAAGAGCCTCATCCACAACAAGTACCACAAAAGACTGTTCAAACTTCTAATAAGGGTAATTTGAGAAGAACCACTAACAATAAGTGGAAAAAACATAATTTAAGACTGAAATACTGCATGTTGCTAAACTACTCCTAAAAATAACACTTCAACTCGTAAAGGCATTGTTTAAAAGTTTGCTGAGTGACGGACTATAACGGACCACTCACCTGTTTGTTGGCCAGCACCATCAAGGGCAGGTGGGGGTCTGAGACTAGGAGCTCGTGGAGATGTGTTTTAGCCAAAGGGAAGAGCTGTGGGTTAGATGCATCCACCACGTACACCAGCATCAAGGCTTTGGGCAAATACTTCAGCCAGTACTGCCTCAACTCTGCACTTCCACCAACTGACAGCAGACAACAGTTACAAAACCAAAAGCAATAATCAACAAAGTCCCAAAATCACAACATTAGTTTAGTTTTGACTGGAATCATTGTTTTATTCCAGACTGGTCTACATATGAAATGTAATATGTTAATCATCAATGTCTATCCTATACTTAATTTTACAAAGGGCTTCAATGATACTACTTCAGACAAGCCCAACGCCTGTCCTCTGACGTATGGAGTAGACCAATGTGTGAGGGTGAAAAGGTTTTTAAAATTCCGCTGATATCACCGATGTCTAACTGTACATTTACATTATTACAAAGAATACAGTATGTACACACTAACACACTAACACACTAACAAGAGTACCGGTAGAGTTGATTTTTACTCCTATCACAAGATTCAGATTCATTTATTTGCCATTTGCAGTAAAACCACATTGGAAAAACTGTGCAAGACTACCCCAGTGTGCACCAGGACACACACCAGAGCTCTTGCCAAGAGACAAGTGATCAAAGTGATACTTGCATACTCAACCACACTGGCTACCTTTCTATTGATGCAAGTGAAAAGGTGATTGTTTTATTATATACAAGAGAAATAACAATTCCAAACATACTTTCAAGAAATTCAATAGACAGATCCTCTCTGCTGATGGAGACAGCGTTGAGCCCTTGTGTAGAGAGTGGCCTCTCTTCACACCAGCTGTTTGTGAAGGAGCACAGCAGACTGGTCTTTCCTGCTCCATCCAGACCCAGAACCAGCACCTGTGTCCCACGAGGCTTCACTGGCTCCGACTACAACACAAGAAAAGCAGAATTAATTCATAATATTCATTAACGTTATTGAACACACAGCCTTGACAAGGAAGTCGGTCGAGATGTTGGCCTTGTGTTTTGTAACTTCATTGAGAAAGCTGTGCTGAGAAAGGACGAGCAAACAGTTGTGCAATTAGTTGAATAAACTTGTAATCGTCATTTCAACTTCTGCTCTAGCCAGCTACAATATTGTCTACATGTAACCTTGCTTCTGATCTACAAATACTTTGAGGTGGACAAATTGTCATAAACCAAAGTAATACGTAAAAGTCTCTACACCAGCGGTAACCAGCACTTTCACCTTCGAGATTTACCTTTACAAAACAAAATGGGCCGTATTCTTTGTGTGATTTATACAGTGTGAACTTAAATCTACTTTAATGATGAGTCCATCAAAAGTTGATATGAAGAACAAGTGCAACTTTGTATCATATACTGTTGAAGTAAACTTACCACAGAAGCGGACTGTGCCTCTGCAGTCACAGCAGGAGCAGAATCAGCTCGAATCTCTTCAACTTTAACTGGAGCAGCCTGGATCTCTTCAACTTTTACAGGAGATGCCCGGATCTCTTCAACTTTTACAGGAGATGCCCGGATCTCTTCAACTTTTACAGGAGATGCCCGGATTTCATCAGCTTTGACATCGTCCTCTTCCCTTTTGTTGGACTTTAGCGTTGTTGTTGTTGTTGTTGTTGTGTGTTGGGCTTCTTTCGCAGGTGCTGCAGACGTCTGCTCCTTCGAGAGGTAACTCCAGACCACATATGCCACACCCCCGGCGGCCACCACCGAGGCGCCCAAAATACTCACGTTTCGCACACCAAACATACTTTTAACAATATTCTTTGATTGCCTTTAGTTCAGTTTCATTGGTTTTGATGTATGTCCGCGGCCGCTTTTCAACAAGTGGATGGCGGACAGGAAGCTTGGAGCGATACTTCCGGTCTAAGAGTTGTAGTATCGTAAAGAGACCACTAGAGAGCGCACTGGTACTCCTGGTCTAAACCTGGTGCAGAACGTCTATCATCTACTTGTACAAACTGTTAACCTATTTACAATTAGTGATGGGAAAACCGGTTCTTTCCTCTGATTCGATTCTTTAACTCTCGAACAGTAAATTGAACGAGTCCCGAACGAATCATTTCGTTCATTTGTACAGCAGATGGCGCTGTAGTGGCCCACAATGCAGGACTCATGCCGACGACGTGTTTTCTCCAACTATAAATACTGAAGACAAGATGGTTTGCTTACGGTGACAAAGTATAACACACAAAATGCCATAAGCTATTCAAGCCATTTGAAAACCCAGGAAAGCTAACACACACCACAATAATGTAACTTGTGTCCTGTATCCTCTCTGTTATCATTGTTTAACAGCACGGCAGTCTGGGTAACTGTCACGTGACAGTGAAAACAGACCAATCAGAGAGAAGCAATGTTGCTGGCGCACAGTGTCAGCCTGAGCCAGAGCTGTGAACCGATGAACGATGAACGAGAAAGACCCGGTCAGCCCGCGAGTCATGTGACAAAGGAACCAGTTGGACGAACGAGAACGAAGTACTGAGCTGTGAACGATGAACGAGAAAGACCCGGTCAGCCCGCGAGTCATGTGACAAATGAACGATTTGAACGAGAACAAGTACTGCTCTGCTCCACAGCCTAAGCAGACAGAGACCCTTTCGGCCGAGCAGTCGATCACATGACAGCTGGGGAGAGGACAGCGAATGTAAAACTAATTTTGACAATTAATGATACAATTAAAACAAAAAATAATAGTTGATGAGTTGCCTATGTTTACATGGTGCATTTATTGTGTCCAAAAAGTGACATTATTATTATTACTATTATTGTTATTTTTATTGTGTTTGTTGTTATCATTGTTATGTTTTATTATTTTGTGGCAGAGTATAACACAATAAATATGCTGATATAATTTTCTAAAGTATTTATTTACAAACACATTCATTATATAGGCTATACAATAACACAACAAGGACTGAAGACCACTATAATTATGATTTCGTGAATAAATAATCTATATCGGGTGTCACATGACAAATAAACTGTAGATATCAGACATCAATCATTTCCTTGTTCAGCTCTCAGTCAACAGTCCCCCAGCCCCGTAGCTGTCTGAGCCAGCCACAGCTGTCACGTGACGAATGAACGAAAGAGCAATCCGTCAGGATCCGTATGAACGAATCGTGAAGGAACTGCGGTGCTTGCTGCTCACAGACAGCCTGTCTGTCACGTGACTAAAGAACTGGGACCTGAGAATGGATCCAGCTGAGTGAGTGGTGAACGAATCATTTCTGTTTCCTGTCTGCTGCTGACTGAGCTCATGCAGCTGCCGCCATGTGGCGAGAGAAGGTACTGCATGAAAATGAACGAATCGCTCCCTGAGAAGACTCGTTACTCCCGAGTCATATAAAAGATTAGTTCATTTTGAACGAATCGTTCACGAACGATACAACACTATTTACAATCAAATAATATCCAAATATATCTGTCTAATTATAATTTGTTTCCTGGGATGAAGCAATTCCCTTTCGATAATCTTTGAATAAATATGGTGGGATAATTTAAATGGTAGTATGGCTGCAATTATACAAGAATTATGAATGCTTTGCTTCCCAAAGAACACATTTATTTCACAACTGGAAACGAAATTTAAATGCCATGTTAATCAAATTCAGAATGCAAAATGTTGCCATTCCCATTGCTTCCATCCTTTGAAGGGGTTTATTAAATGACTCTAGAAATGAAACTTGATTGATACATGGACGAAGGGGCCAGTTAAAGTTTGCATTAAGACTAATTTCTATGGCACAAGAAGCATAGGATCTAGAACACGGTCCTGTGGGAAGCCCTCTGGAATGGTCAGGAGCCAGCTATTGAGTTTCCCCTTCTCTTCACTCATACCAAATTTGTTCGTTGTGCGTCTGAACAGAGAGATGGGCCTCTTCTTCTTGCGGGAGCTTGTCTGCACAGCCTCTCCTGAGTTGCATTCACTGACCACCTCTACTGGCCGATGCCTTCGTGCTTTAGATTCTCCTTGAAACATGAAGCTTTTCTGCTTAATGGAGGACAGTAGGTTGGCCCTGCTGCTTGCTTCTTCCTCTGCAGTCACATCCTGCTGCACTTGATCCTTTCCCTTGCCTTGTGAGAATGTTTTGTTCTGCCAGGCAATAAACTCTGACATACAGTCTTTCAGATTGGTGACCACATCTCGATGGGTCATGGATGCTTTTGAGTGGACCTCTGGCATGGCTGCTTTCATCTTCTCATAGTGGTTTTGAATGTTGCTCATCTCCTCCAAAATGTGAGCCGAGAGGAGATCCTGGACAACAGCGCTTCTGCCAATGAAATCTGCACAAACAGATTGAGTAGTTGGGCACTTCAGTCTGCGGTAGTACAGGAAGTGGTCAATTGCGGTGAAGTGTATGCTTTTCTTGGCAACAAGCTTCTTATAAATGTAAACTACATCATAATGCCCAGAGTTCACAGAGTCCTGGACAAATTTCTCCACATGACACCAATCTTTCAAAGCAATCCGAATGTTCACAGGTGGGATGGCGAGCTGGCTGTGATAAAGGCCATACATCAAGTACAAAGCTCCTACTCGGATTTGGTAACTGTATGGAGGTAGAAAATACTTGGCAGCAGTGGTCAAAGTGAGCCTGCAGAACCTCTTCGTCTCACTCATACTGGGCAGCCCGTGGTAGACCTCGGAGAAGCACATTTCTCTCCATATGGACGAAAACGCCTCAAATCTCACGGTGTCTTTTTGCTGGAAACGGGCGAGAATGTCCTCCACGTCCTCGGTGAATGCAGGGTCAGAATTGTCTGAGTATGAAGGAAGTTTCCGAGGCATTCTGCTGTGTGCATTTGTCCACAGAAAACACGGAACAGTCCATGAGCTGAACGCATCCAGGAGGACAACAGGTGAGGATCATTTAAAGTGGGCGGGCTCATCTGACCCAAAACCAAGTGTTTTCGTCGGTCTATTTACATAATAATTATGCATTATTACATGTTGGGCACGACTGCAAGCTGACACTGAAGGATAAAAATAAATAAAAATAAAATAAGTTTCTTGGTTTCAAACGCCCATCTCAGCTTACGTTATTCTGGCAAGGGTACCAAGATAGATGCAGATTTATCCAGACGCAATTTTTAAAATACTTTTGGGGTTTAGGGACGTTTCCCCACAGTAGTCAACGTATCATGTGTTTTCAAATAAGAATGGACATGACCAGATGCCTGTAAATATTATGGAGCGGACCTGATAGAAATAAACCAATGGGATGCGATCATTCCCCCTCCTGATTTTCGTCAGTGCTCGTACCTGTCTGAGTTATTAGAAGACCCTCAAAGTGTATGTTTCGCCCTGATGTAGCGAACAGAAATATGGCAGGAAAATCGCTCACAGACTTGAGTCCTAATTTAGTGTAATGCATTCACATATCAAGCACATTTTTAAATATAGGCTGAAACAATTCCGGTAAAGTTAATTTAACTGGTAACGACTAAGAAGACCAAACAGTTTTGAGCATATAATATAAATGGTAAAAAAATAAAAAAATAAAAACCTGTAACTGTAAGAATGTTTACCCACAAAGCTTACTTGGATGATCAGTTTTTATTCTTCCTTCAACAAATATACTTAAGACTTCAAAAAGTCATTTGCATTACAATTTAAATCTCCAACTCAATAGTTGTAGTCTTACATGATTTCATAGTTTTACAATTTGTTGGTAGAACCCTTGATTAAACGCCATGGTACCTAACTTTCAAACAACATAACAGTCATAAAGTTATGAGTTTTCACATACATGTATTTGTAGCCTTGGTCACGTGTTTAGATGTGGCAACCTGTTCAGGAGGATGTTTTCTGATTAGATTAAAGCATATCATGGTCTGATTTGTTTACAGAATGTTACTATTGGCTCTCTTGGGACAAAAAACGTATTTATGAAAAAATAAAAGATAGGTACCCTACCTTTAATGCAAGACATATGGTCTTCTGATAGTAACAAAAGTTATTTTTCATATACATATTTAAACAATATGCTTTGTTTTGACTGATATCTTCCTATAAAGCTGTGAGCTACCATCCCCCTTTGCCTCCTTTCTTCTTCTTCTGTGGTGCCTTCTTGCGAGTTGCCCCAGAAGCTGCTGGTTTTTGCTGTCGAGGAGGGACGACGTTACTCGCAGCAGCTGAAGATGTTCCAGATGCAGATCCGGGTCGGGGGGAAGTGGGAGGACTGCTGGCAGTCTTACTTGCATCACTAGAAAAGAAAAGTGTATGAAGAGTTAATAATGAATGTTTATTGCACTTTTTCTTTGGAAATTACAAAGGCGAGGACTAGAACTGTAACTTTGAAATTGTCACCTCATAATCTGACATACATTTACTTCAAGTGGATCACTTACAGCTCAGCAGATGCTCCGGCAGTGGCTCCTTGTGTGCCTTTGCCAATTGTCTCCTTCTTTTTGCCCTTCTTCTTGCCTCTGTAGTACGAGCGTTCCCTCATGGGCAGCCATCTTTCGGCATCTGGGGTTGCTTTAGGGTCACAATTCTTAGGAAGCTTGCCTAAACAAATGTTATACTTAATACACAGTTATGGTAATGTGTTAAATGCTGATAAAGAATAGAGCAAGCCCAGTCATCCCACCTTTCTTCTTCTTCCTCTTCTTTTTGACATCCCCTTGACTATAAGAAAATAATTAATTATATAAAATAACATTTGGGGGTAAAAATCATGTTTATTTGAAATCACATACCCTAGCTCTTTGGGAAGGTTTTCTCCAGCAACTTTAGCAGCCTTTTTTCTGACATAAGTGGCACCATGTGAGCTCTCCAACTCATCCACATCCACATTGAAGGACATGGCATCTGCAGATGGAAGGTGCTTGCTCAGCCTGGAAATTATTGTTAAGAACTCACACAAAAATGTTTGGATGAAAATTGTGTGGACCATTACTTTCATATTAAATAAATATATAGATAGCAAGAGAGATAAAGGAAAAACATGTAAGGATACGATTTGGCTTTGTTTGTGTCCACTAAGGAATATGCAGAAATGAGCTGTGCAAGTGTGTGAACATCTTTGGGGTTTTGTCTGAAAGAAAAGGGGGGAAATAAAGTTAATAAATTGAATGCATGAATATTAACCAAGTATTGATATTAAACATGACGCATTGAGATATTTACTTCCACAATTGCTCCAAATCACTAATTGCTTCTTTTTTCCGCCCATATTTAAGTTTGAAATTTGCAGCTTCTCGCACAAGGGCCAAATGCACCGGAGATCCAGACTATAAAACAGAATAAAAACAGTTTATAAAGATTGTGTTAGAAATGGATGTTTAGCTCACAAACCTGGCTCGCCTGGTAGTACTCAATAGCGTGTTTGAAAACATCTATGGCACCATCAATGTCCTCTTCGTTGGAATACAGCGTCACCAGTGCCGATACCTGAGGGACAATCCAAAGGCCTCAAATACCTTCTCCGTTTTTAGTATTTTTTTCTTTTTTCTTTATTACTTACAATTCCTGATTTGTGCTTCAACTCTTCAATTGACCTTAGAACGTCGCATGCTTTTGTTACATGCCCTAAAGCCAAAATGTGGTCACACATTACTTATATGTCCATATTCATGCTCTGAAAATATACCATACCTTGTACCAAGTATAGTTGTGCCATGGTCAGTTTTATACCAGACGCACTTTCCGGGTGTTTGTCTGAAAATTGCTGAAAGAGGTAGAGATGGATCAACTTTACATACATATTTTATGGAGAAGTGTATTATGCCTTATTCTCCCTCTACTTTTCACTTGTTTGCACTGAGAGCCAAAGCAATTTCGTAGTCTGTGACTTCCTTTTTACTTACATGGCAATAAAATGTATTCTGATTCTGATTCTAGAGGAAAGTACAGGCCAGAGGACTTTTATACAGCAGCAACAGTGAGATTTATGCGTTTGTCCTCGTGGTCTCTCTGACTGGTCTTGACTTTATGGACTGACAAGTGTCTGGCCATGCAGCCTCGGTGCTCCAGGCTTCTACAACAGGCTGAAATCAGCCCCACAACCTTCTACGGTCTGTGTCAGGGAGGTAAGGTACAGCAGGCGTTGAAGAAAACAAAAGCAGTTTTGCTCTCGAGGTCACACCCCAAATCAAGGGATATTTGGAATAGATCACCCATGATTAATCCCAATTAATTGCACATTTTTAACTATGACAATGATACAATTGATCACGGCTAAAAACTTCACTCGTTTGACATAACTAGTATTAACATAAACACGAGGAGTGATTGCATACAGATATCAAAATAATTTAATGCAGGGTAAAACCTGGGAAGTCAGGTGCTCTTTGAGGATTCATGGGAAAATAATATAAAAAGCAAATAAAGCTCTGAGGCACTCTGACTTATCTTAGATAAATCAGAGTGCCTGGGACTAGTGCCTACACTAGTATTTACATATTCCACCATCAGTTAAACAAGGAATAACAGAATCAACATTCCAGTTTTGTGGTGTCATAATCAATACTTGAGTATATGTTGTGAGTCAATAATTCTAGGCAGAGGAATGCGGAGAAAATGATCTTTACCTGGAGAAGCTCGATAGCCTTTCCGTGCTGTTTCTCTCTACAAAGCTGAGCCACCTGAATGAGGACTGGTCTTGGATGACCCGGATTTTGAGACTGGAGGTTCGATGACAACTTCCGACACTGGTCACCCTACAATAAAACATTGGCATCAGATGGCCAATAATGTAATAATACACACACTCAAGTAGAAGTACCTGATTTGTGTACATTGCCAAGAGAGCTTTGTTGAACTCAATGGCTTGCAGCTGCTTCTTTGCCAGTTTGTATTCCACCCCCTCAGCGTTTGTTAATTTCACTTTTTTCTTTGAGTCAAACACATTTTGATCCTTTGACAAGAATCACAAATATCCTTAAGATCAAATTCACACAGCATCGAACCAAAATAAAAGAAACATCGCAATAAGACATTTAACATTTATGTGGTCTATTTACCTTATTGACCGTAATGATATTGTTGGCGGTTACAGCTAGTAGCCCGACATCTGACGGCCTGCAAATAAATATGTTCCAACAAATTAGATTCACTAATTATAGAAGATTATATAATATATGGTACAATCCCAAAGAATAATAGAGTATAAGATGTTTGAAAATGACATAAGCATCACATTTTCCAACATTTTACACCACAATCTGTAGACCTTCAAATTACAAACCCACTGGATACAAATGTTTTGGATGTAGCCGTTGCAGATAATAGCACCATTGCATTAAGGAACAGTCATTATTTTTTTAATTTCTATGGCACCTTTCTAGGCACTCAAGGTAGCCTTACAAAGGGTACACAGTTACAAGCAAAAATAACAACAATGGACAGTGAAATCTTGGGTCTTAGAGAATAGGCCACTATAGGCCACAGGGGCCAGAGTGTTCCAGACCATGGTGACGAGGTGGGAAGGAGGGACCAGGAGCTGGAGAATTTTTATCAACAAATTTTCCCAATGGCCTTACTTTATAATAGCCAAAACGTGTTATGCATTCATTTAATATGTGGGATTTGTATTTTTCATACTACACAATAAGCTTATGTAGATACAATCCTGAGCGTATGTTTTCAAACCAAGTGTAGACTTACTTGAGTTTAATGACTTGGTTATAAAGCTGGAGTGCTTCATCTGTTCTGCCTTGTAACTGCATGACGTAGGCCATTTGAGAATGGATAACAGCAAGTTCGGACTCAATATCTTCTTCAGTCACATCCTTTGAGAAAGTATGACAAAAATAGAACCACTAAACAAACAATACACATTTTTCATATGAATACTCACAGAATCCTCTGCCAATGAAACTCGACAAAGCTCTGCAAATGCAAAAAGATAAATATAAACACACAGACTGACTCATTTCAGGATTAGCCTGGTACCCAATTTCCCATGCCTTTAATTACAATAAGGAACAATTTTAAGCATTTGATATATCAAAAAAGAACACCTTCTGCTTCTTGAAGTTTATTAAAAGCCTCAGTAAGTTGTCCTTGGCCAATCAATGAACAGGCAGCATTGTAACACAATTCATATGTTGTCTCTTGAAGGCCGAGATCCTCCTGTAAGAATTCAGATTAAAATGTAAACAAACTCCATAGTGCTTTGATAACAAACAATACATTTGAATAACTATGACAATTATTTACTACAGGGACTTTCTCCCACTGGCTCTGGGCAGCAACTACAGCAGCCAGGTTGGTTTTCCTCTCCTCCTCATACTCATCCTGGGAGTTTCTGATCAGATCGGTGTAGACAGCCTTGCACTCATCATAGCGCTCAAGTCTGTACAACTAATAGTGCATAAGAACACACAAACGTAGCACAAAGTTATTTAATAATAGATCAAAACCAAAAAAAAAAGGGAATGAGTTTTTAATAAAACTGACCACTTGTCCATACAGTTCTTTCAACTTATCAGTCTGTTCAGGGGCATTTTCAATGGTCTTCAATGCACTTTCAACTCTGTTCAGCCGATATTCACAGTAGGCCTTCTCAAACAGTACCACGCTGAAAGCGAAAGTATAGCTTATTATATCGGAGCGATTTGTCAAATAGAATTAAAGTATCTTGTACCTGCCAAGAACCTTTGAATGAGTGTTCATCACATTTAGTGCCTCTTTAAAGCTGCCATTCTGAACATGGCAAACTATTTTACAGTGAAGGGCAGTCACGTCTTCCTTGTTCTCCTGTAATACTGCAAATACGAACAGACACAGAGAATAGCAATGATGGGCGCACAGAACAAGATTACAGAACGACAGTATCTGAATTACCGCTCTATGTGGGGTACAGTTTGACCAAACAGAGGGACACGTCATGAGTAAAGTCCCGCTAGATCTTAAAAACATACTAATGAAGAGGGATAATCCTTGAGACAATAGTGGCATACACCCAAGTGCAAAAAGCGATTCAATTAGTTTAGTAAGCAAAGAACTATCAGTTTATACATATTGTACTATTGCCTTAGCGACACGCTAACAGCTGATGGTCATCATGCAGTGAAATTAGCTAAGCTTTAGCTAACTGCGGCGGTGTTAGGGCACTAGTACATCTTACAATCAATGAAGCAAGTCAAATTATGTGCATGAATGAAGGACATGCAGACGTACTTTTATTCAAAGCCTTGAGGGCCCTTGTAAAGTCTCCACTTTGCCCACATCGGTTAACTTCAGTCCACAGCGAAGCTACAGCTACCCCTCCGCTCGCCATCTTCACCATGAACACACGTGGAAACGGAAGCACAATTATGCATTTCCGGTGCAAGTTAACATAAATTATGAAAATCATAATTACATTCATCTATATAAATGTAAAACACACGTGTGGGTGTCTATGTTTTATTTGATTGATTTTTCTTTTTAATTTTTAATCCAGAAAAAAAAACAAGGAGAAAATTACGTTCAGAGAACGTGGGAAATTTGCTTAGTTATTTGTTACGGTCACACATCATATTTGAGAATTTTAAAATGTAACGTTGTATATTACATTTATTTTGTGTCTTTAAGAAAATCTACATGAATTGCAGACTTGTGTAATTGGAGAATCCTTGATGAGAGTGAAGCGGTGCCGCAGCCAGGCGCTGCCTTTCTGAAAGAGGGGGCAGTGTTGTTACTTGTGTTACTTGTAGTGGCTGATTGTCGAGCTTTTGTCCATCAGAAATGGCCGGAATAAAAGGTAATTAATGCCGTTTTGTTTCATTGCATACCTTATATGCCTCAGTGTAGTGCAGTCTATTTGCCAAACACAGATGTGCAGCAGATTTGCTGACACATGAATGATATTGTGTTCCCGGGTTAGCTAGAGATGTGTTCTCCTAAAAGGCTGGCACTGGGCCAACACAGGCAAGTCCTGCTATAGCATCTTGTGCACACTATTTATATACGACTTTGATTATAGTGAGATCATTCATATTTCTACTTCCGTTGTATATGTTTGTATTAGCTTCAGGAACTATTAGTTATTGGTTAATAGCTAGAGTTAGCACTGTACCGTTAGTTTGCTAATGCTAACACCAACAGCCTCTTGCAACAAGAGGATGCAATACTTCATGGTAATAACAAGAGTCTTCTTTATTACCATGGAAGCAACCATGCTTATTACATAGGTTTTAATTAGCCGATATAATCGCAGCTAATTGTGTTAATACCATCAAACAGCTCTGCCTTTTCTTCTACATTTCATTTCATATTGTTAATTCACCTAAGAGCAGCTGATTCATCACATGATCCTCCTGGTGCCAGGGGCCCTTTTCTGACAAACCATATAATTACAGTGGTCCAATCATGAGAACCCATTTACTTCATTTACAGTCAATGCTCATGATGTGTATGGCCAATACAGTCTATGGTATGGCCCTGCAGACATGTAGTGCTCACCTCAAGTCTTTTTCTCTGTTACAGCTCTCGTCAGTCTTTCGTTTGGAGGGGCCGTTGGCCTCATGTTTCTCATGCTTGGTTGTGCTCTTCCTGTGTATGGGTAAGTTATTCACGTCTGATTAATTGTTATTCCACATGTCTTTTTACAACCCTAAGTACAGGTGGCAGTCGTGGAAATTACTTTATCTTTGAACTGTACATGTGCTCAAACATGTATGTGAATGTCTTGATTGGTAGTAGTCTTTAACAAATAGCAATATTAAATCAAAATTATTTTAAGTTATTGTATTATCATACAACATGTATTACAGCTCCTTCAGTTCCAATATTAATCTTAATACGTCACTATCAACTGATAGATAGACTGAAAATGGCATTTTGTTTTCTCTTAGATCCCATATAATTTATTTTAGAATGGTCCATTTGTGTTGTTTAACTATGATTTGAGGCGTCACGGCCTACTAGACTCCAGAAGCTAATACAAGAGTTCCTGATCTCCTCCCTCCCTGATCACCTCCCTCCCTGAAATGGAGATCCAAATGGGGCTATCCTCAAATAATCAATTTAAAATGTGAACGCACCCTTGTCCTACTATAAACTACAAACAAGTTAAGTGAGCATCAGTAAGTAGTAATGTCTTTTTACATCCAATATAAGGCTCAACCTGAATATTTCCCCTACCGATAACAATATTGAATACATTCAATATAGATGCATCCCTAATCAAAACTCCTGACTGTGATGTTCCCATCCAGCAATGTGGATACAAGATTTACCATATTTTTACCTGCAGAGTTTTCTTTTTCATGACCCCCAATTGCTGAGCATTTTTTGCGCTTGCTTTATTATAAACTCCACTATCTGAACCTTTAGACGTTCAGTTATGTATATTTAACCGTGCGTCTCTTTATATTTTTCTCTGTAGTAAATACTGGCCGTTGTTCCTCTTGTTCTTCTACATCCTTTCTCCAATCCCATACTGCATCTCACGAAGAGTTGTGGACGACACAGACTCAACCAGCAATGCTTGCAAAGAGCTGGCAATCTTCCTCACAACAGGCATTGTAATTTCAGCCTTTGGCCTGCCCATTGTCTTTGCAAGGGCTGAAGTTGTAAGTAGGCATTTTTTATATACAGTATTTTCTAGAGTGTACATAAAGCATATCTTATCTTATCTTACTTGACAGAAGTGTGTAGCAGTGCAACATGTTAGGCATTTGCTGACGTGAATTATTGATGTGTTGGTTCACAGATTGCCTGGGGAGCATGCGCACTTGTGTTAACTGGAAATCTAGTCATCTTCGGGACCATCCTGGGATTCTTCATAGTGTTTGGGTCCAATGATGACTTCAGTTGGCAGCAGTGGTAAACAGGAGAGACTGAAGGACCTCAGTTGCATAGTTAAACTGTTTTTTTATTAGCGTTATTATTAATGTATTAATGTTTGATTTAAGATGTTTATTTATATGGTGACCTTCCACTCAGACTCACACAAAACCATTGCGTCCTGCATCATACTGAACTGATTTTGGGATGGGAAATTTTCTCATTTTTATTTGCTTTTTTTTATAGCATGTTGGATATCTTGACTTGCCTCTCAGTCAAATACTGTTATGTAAATTGCTGCTAGATATCTTTTGAAATTATTTTTTGCTTGTTTATTTATTTAAATTCTTGTATTTATTTCACTAGTATTTATACTTGATTTATTGCCACCACACTGATATTGTTCCTTATTTGTTTATATATATCACAATGTTAGGATTTATATCTGGTATTTCAAATGATCTCCCTTGATTTGCTGAGTAGCTTTGATGCGCTGGGATCAAATGTATGTGACTTTGTGAAGTCCAAGCTGACGCAGGCTGCTTCTTTATTACTTGTGTTGGCACCTGGTGAGAGAGAACAGATCAAGTACAGGATTAGCAGCCTGAGTAGCAACAATTTAAGACCTGGGCTACTTAACTTCTAACCAGTCATAAGCTTTCCCATGTGCTGCTCCAGTCGAACTTTCTCTAGAGTTTTGAGTGAAAAAAAGCACATTTCCTCAATATATTTTCTGTTGCAAATTGTCAAGGCCCTGCTTTCAGATCATCGAAGAGGCACAAGAGGTGTTTGATTTGTCAAGTGCAGCTATGCTTTCTTATTTAACACTTTAACTGCTGCAGAGGAAATGCACAAGGAATGTCGGATGCTGATTTGACTGTGGCAGTTAAATAAATCCCACCTTATTTAAGAGGCATTTTTGTTAGTTTGACCAAACCACTGACTGGAAAGGAGATTTTAGCCATGTTATTCTATTTAAATTCACACAGATGCTCCCTAGTCTAGATAATGTTTTCAAATAATTCTCTCATGGTTCTAAAGAAGAACATGTTTATCACAATAAATAAAATTGCTGTTTCAAAGTTTACTCCACAGTTGAGGTTTTACTGCAGTGGCCACATGCCTTTAGGCATTAGAAGCATTATATTTCACTTTCGCAAATATTTGACCTATGGAGTTTCTGTTAGTATCAAATGTTGAAATAGACTTAATATGAGCTGCAAGGTTCAAGTTTATTTATGTAATTGTGTTAAAACTCTTGACGTTGAGCACTGCATAAAGGTATTGAATGTATAAATGGCTGTCTGCAGACATGTGCCACAGGCCGCTGTGTGGGTTTGTGCTTCTGTGATGCTGGTGGTTTTAGCCTGAAGGCCACCTGCTCTGTTCATGTGTGAACATTTCAATTCAAATTCTTTCCAGATTCTTTTTCTTTCATTTTTACGTTGTGAAGGTCTCCAACTGAGATATAATTTAGTGCATCAAGATGAGTTTCTGGTCTTCTTCCTTTTTTCACTATTTTCATCACTGCAGGATGATATTTGTATTTGACATGTTCTGTCAATGTCCAATGCCATTTTCTACAAATGTTTATGTTTTGAACCTTTTATGATGATATCAGCATAATGGTTTCCTTTTTTGATATCAGCATAGTGGTTTCCTTTTTTAAATAAATGCCATTTTTAATCATTCTCTTGTTTGAAATATTTTCTTTTACAGAGTTACACATTGAAACTGTGCGTGGAAATCACTTTCCAAATCACTTTTGCAGACACACAAACCCCTGTCAAATATACCTCAATGATGCATAAATATATGTATTATACACTAATTGTAACTGTACTTTTGTACTGTAGGAATTTGTTGTGGTAGAATCTTAGACTGTTGCTCATTGTACTCTACCCAAGTGTTCATTGTTGATAGAAAGGGTGAGTCTAAAAGGGCAGACTCGGAGTGCTATGCAGCTAGATAGAACATGTCCTCTTTTACGCAGCTCCACTCCTTTATAGCCTCAAAGGACACATTCAGACCCCCATTTGCAAATAGTTGAAAGTAAACTCCTGAATGACCCCCTGTAAATACAACATCCAGCCCGGCTATAAGAAGGTGTTTTGGTAACAGAAGCTCAGATTAATGTTTAAACTTGCCCTTTCTATCTGAGGTCTGTAGGGCACATGCAGGAGGAGTGTCGTTTTTTTACAGTCTGTCCTCTGTGGCCATATGGAACGCACCCGCTTTCCCTCGAGGGCAGAGAAGGCACAAAAGCTTCAGCAGAGCAGCTCCAACTTGTCCAGTTTGCACACAGTCTTTGGGTTCCACACAGAGCAGCATGAGGAGGTTCTTCAGAGCGCACCGGGATGAAGACTACAGTCAGATCCAGTATTTGACAGCAAAATGCACACGCCTGGCACACGACAGAGGTAAAACTAGTATATCCTATATTCATAAATACATTTTTTGAGTGGCTGAATGGGTTCACAGAAAGGTTGTGGGTTGGATCCTGCCTTTTTGTGTGGAGTTTGCATGTTTCTCCCTGAGTCTGGATGGGACTCCTCCGGGAAAGCATCAACATAGATCATTGGACATAGATCCCAGGCCACAGCATATAACAGTTGCAGTGAAATGCATACGACAAATGTCCCATGTGCAGGGTTGCCTTTATAATGATCAGAAATCTCAAACAGAAAAGCAACCATTTCAATCACATGTCTGTTATGCTACTTTGAAGTTTTTTTTTTTTTCACATGGATCAGTTTTGCATCTAAGTCCCAATGAAGAAATCCCATCAATGTGTGAGCCTGAGAAATACTGATTCATACATTTTGAAACTATGATTTGCGATTTGAATTGAAATGTGTGAAATGATGTATAGTACTTAATCTTAGCATACCAGCACAGACATTCTGTTATGCGATTTTTTGCAATTTGTACTTGCTGTAAAAACCTTCCAAACAAATCATGAAACATCAAAACTTAGAAACAAATAATATGTCGTTTAAACACTTACACTTTTGCATTTGGCAGCGCTGTTGGACAGAGAGTTTGTGGTGTCCAGAGAAAGAGAGAGAAACCTGCAGACTGATCTGGAGGCTGTGTCCACTCGGCTTCTTCAACAAGAGCAGCTGAACATGGAGCTGAGAATGAAGCAGGACCAGCTCCTGAGCCGCCTCCAGCAGCAGCAGGTCTGTCTTTGCGCCACACTAGAGTTAAATATTGTCACTATGCAGTAACTGTTTTGTTGGATATATACTGGACATTTAGTTTGTCCCAACTGGGATAAAAAAAAAAAAAAAAAAACCCACACATTTGTATTTAACTTGTGTCGTTTTCTGCATTGAAAACGTATCCCTACATACCGAGAGCTGTTTGGCTGAGTAAGGGTGGTTCTCTCTTCTCTTTTCGTTGATATACAGATGTAAGAGGCCAGAAATACACATAAGTAAAAACAGGGATGAAACCAAACTGTTTTAAGAGCAATGAACTGACTTGGATTTTTTTACAGTTATTTTCTCCAAAAAAAAGACATAAAGTAACAAGTTTACTTACGTACTCAAGTCAGGCCTTTGAGAAACTGCTGGATTCACACACATTTATTTACCATTGCTGTTTTTTTTAGAACAGGACCAAAATGATGCTCACTTGTGATTGTGCTCTGGTTTGGCACTGCACATTGATGAATTAATTCGGACAATACAAATAATATAAATAAACATAAACAATCATGTCTGAAAGGGAGCAAGAAGAAGTACAAATACTTATGTAACCTCGCCCCCTTTTTTGATAACTTTGACCGCTGTAAATACCGTACACTTCTCAGGATTTGGTGGAAGTGCTGCAGCAGCGCCTGGTCCTGGTGACAGAAGAAAGCTCTGGAGACGTAGAGCTGCTGCGACAGGTGGGCTCAGAGCTGCTGTTTCTGCAGAGCTCTGAGCTGAGGCTGCAGGGTCTGGTGGAGGAGCTGCACACAGAGGCCCACCACAGAGCCACCAGGGTCAGCAGTCTGGAGGGCCAACTCTACAGCGAGGCCAAGAGGAGGGTTTCTGTGACCAGGAGCCTCCAAGAAGAGCTGCACAGGTAAACTTTGCTCTCAGCCATCTCCACAAAGTGTCTAACCAGGTGGCAAGTAGGCAAATGTATTCGTATAGCACAGTTCATACACAAGGCAACTCAAAGTGCTTCAATTCAATTCATTTTTTGTACAGCCCTAAATCATCTTGGACGACCAACCGTTGATAGATGTCCATAAATGTTAATGAATGTGCGTTGTCTGTTGATGATCCAGAGTCTGAAAAGCACTGTATAAAACTGATGCATTATTATATTTTACGTAGGTACTAGACTAAAAATGTTTGGCATTTTATTCATTTCATTGCTATTGTGAGTAGCACAATAGCAATTGTGCTTACTTGCACAAGAACTAGAACTTTGCACTGCTACAGTCACTTTCAAATGTGCATAAAATACCTTTATTGTGCATAAGGTACTCTCTTTTTCACACGTTTGCACATTTCCTGTTTCACATTTCCTTTGGCACTCCCTGAGTGATCTGATTAATGCCAAATGTAACATGTCCATTTCTCCACAGTGAGATCAATAAAGTTTTGTCTTATCTTATCGAGCACTTTTGCCGCCTCTGTCACTACCATAGACCCATAAAACACCAGACCGATATGGTTTGTCACTTTATCTTCTGTCTCGTTCCAGTAAAACGTTGCAGTTGGAGAATTTGCAGGAGACAAACCAGAGTCTGGTGCAGCAGCTGAAGGAGCAGCACAGTTCTCATCAGAAAGAGGTCAGAAACTCGGACAGAAACAACTACTTGCATTTAGAAGTCACATTGTGTCAGTGGGGGGAAGTCTGAAATTGTATAAAGTAACCATTATTATCTTAGTTTTGTTCAGTTTGGTTTTATTAAAACCATCAAAGATGATTTGTTCCAGATTTAGCTGTAGCTACTTTCCATCTTTAAAGCTGCAATGCAAAAAATCAACTCTTATGAAATCCATGTAAATTGTTTTCTAATGAGATAAAGACATTTTTTCATTAGAAAACAATTGACATTTATTGTGACAAACATTTTTTTTTTTTTATGAAACAAAGCTTCTCCAGCTTTAATATACATTATGCTACTACTGTAGATCTAGTATTTGAATTTAACCATCATTTACAGTACTCACAATGAGAGGAGTAACCAAAGCTGACTGTGGCGGTTGTTTTGAAGGTGCAAAAGCTGCAAGTGGAGAACGAGGGAAGCCTCCGAAAGCTCCAGGCCACAGCGGAGCAGTTTGAATGGCTCTGTCAGCAGCAGAGACACTGGGTGTGTTGTGTCAAAAGGTTGGTCCCTTATGCTGTATTTTTACAAATATCGATGCAATTCGTTCTGCCAATGTTACACTTCTGGAGATAGGTAAATTATATACATAAAATTACTATGACTAAAAAGATAATAGTAAATACCTTTGTAATTATTCCTCATGCAGAGATGTTATTGCCAAATAGCAGAGCCAATCAGGTGCTGTTTTTTTGACGTAATGCACAATGTTTGTATACAATGTTGGGTTTCCTGTTCTTCTATATTTAAAGCTGGGGATTTGCTGGAGTGAAGGTGGTCAGGTCTTCTCTTTTCCATGCTCTGTCTGAAAAAGCTAATCTTAAGATCTGAGAGGCCATGAGTACATGCATGTGAAAACTAGTGTTGGTGGTTTCATTTTAAAGTCATGTATCTCAGCTTTAATCTCAATAGTTGTATTCTAGTTGTTTAACTAGATTTGAAACATTATTATCTTAACTTGTTTCCATTGTACAAAGTAAATTATGTAAAGTGACTTACATAAATGATCATGATCGAATCCCTTATAGTATAAACATCAATTGTACTTACAAGCAACAAACTGTTTTAAAACATTTGAACAAAACTAACAAACCACATTTTATACTTTCATATAAAATGCCTACCTCCATCTACAGGCTGATGTTGGGAATAAAGTCTATTTAATGAGAGGGTTAGAAAGAGCAGAGCAGGGGAATAGAGAGATGGATTTTAACCATTTGGACTGTGGGCCACATTGACTTGACAGATACGATGATGTAAATTGTATTTGGACACAGGTTTAAAGATGGTCTGATGGAGGAGAGGGACGCACTTCTGCAACAGGTCAAACACTTACAGAAAAAGATCCACAAGCGAAAGAAAACGTTTACAGAAGACATAGCGGACCTGCGCTGCCCCCTACAGGAAACACGCTGCTGTGACAGGTACAGTTACACCATACCTTTCCCACTGAGGGGAAACTACAATTACATGTGAGAATCTCTCATCTGGAGCAGACTGAATATGATTGAGGTCACTCTCCATGTGTCTGAAGAGTGTTTTTGTATTTGTTTGCCACAGTTTATCAGCGTGGGACAAGGACGCAATGGCTGACTTGGAGTCTCATATGGAAAAATCAAACATACTCTATGACAAGCTCTTCAGCCAGGTATCGTTTGGAAACAATTGTTCCTAAATGATAATGCTTTTTTATTTCCATACTCAAGAGGAAACTGTTTGTGTTACAGACGTGCATTGCTGACCAGAAAAATAAATAATATCTATCATCATAACTTGAAATATCTTTAAAATCACGTACCTACATATATCTTTATTTATTTATGGACCTGGATTCAACCAGGATAGTCCTACTGAGATTTCAGAATCCTTTCTTTGCTAGCCCCCTGAAGAGCCTATTGTACATGTTTTCATGGTAGGAGAAACTGCAGCATCAGGAGGAAACCAATGCAGACACAAGGAGAACATGCAAACTGTGCTCAGAAAAGACTTGAAGCTTGGAACCTCTTGCTGGAAAGCGTCAACGCTAATTGCTCAGATACTATAAATAATAACCACCCTCTCAAACATGTGTCATATTGGTGTACATTTTGGTGGCCATAAACCTGTGACATGAACATCAAATGAGTCGTGTGTGTTACTATTAAAGCACACAACAGTGAAAACATATCGGTTTTAGTTGGTGGTTTAATTTTTATACATTCAACATGTATCCAATCCATATCGTACAAATAGAAAGGCGTCACAACAGACAGAAGGGTCAGTTTTTTTCTCTCATATCTTTCACCTGGATGAAAGTACTTCAAATACTGAGATTAGCAGCACCCACAGAAATGACATGACTCTTGTACCAAACCCTGTAACATGCATCCAGATTTGTTCATAGCAAGGTTCTGTTTACTTGAATGTTAAAAAAAAACGGAGGGATATTTCTATAATACAAGTCGAAAGGTGAGAGAAATACTGATATACGTGTTGCTCACTGCCTTTTCACATTAATGGACAAGCTAGTTTAAAGTGACATTTGTTTCCTAAGCTGTTCACAAATCACTGAACCTGGGTTGCCAATACCTTAACTTGTTTATAGAGGACACATACATGTTTTTATTTCTTATTCTCAGTGTAAGGACATTGTCTCATGTGAAGGTTCAAAGCTCCAGGATTCACTCACCGAGCTGCTGGGATTTAGGCAGAAATTCAGGTCCGAGAAATGCATTTTAGGTTTTGATCCACTGGATTTGACCAATGAAACTGGCAACTTAAATGAGAGAGGCTCATTTGGCTTTTTTGGCGAATAAAAAAACATGTCACAAAATGTTGAGTAAATAACTGGATATATGGAATCACAATAACAACCACTTTATCTTGAATCTGGAGAGTGAATTGTCAATTTTGTGAAGTCCTCCGAGACGACGGCTGTTGTGATTTAGAGCCATACAAAAATATATTTAACTGAATTGAGGTTTTAACCAAAACGTAATATAATTAAAAGTAGGCACAATTGTTGTTGCTTTGGTATATGGCATTTATCAAAAGATTGGTAGAGGCTCAAAATGTCGATTCTTCAACTGCACTGGTCACACAAGCTTTAAAATACCTTTTTACCACCTCCATGTGAAGTCCTTGAGGGAATATATGATCCACGGAAGTTCAGCCGGTTAACAAGGCTCCCCTTTTTCTCTTAAGTTAGAAGGAAAATTATGGTGTGGCATCTGTTTTTGCAAAAGTTGAAATCCAATGCCTCCTGTGCATTAATATCATGCAAAATACAAAACTGAATGGATTAGGTACTTAAAATATTTATACATACATATAAAATCATTTTGTTTTAAGAATGTTAATCTATTGGCAATATACTTTTTATTCTTACAAAATATTGTTTCATACTATGCAACACATAACATAATCAACATTAAAATAACAACTCAGTCCATAATAAAAATAAGTTCTATGTTTTCTCACATATATTTTACAATATATTTCCTCTGTCAAAAAAACACGCACACATGTCCCATTGTTTTGTTGTGGTTTCTCTTGGCAGCGATTTGGCTTTAGTTAATATGAACACGGAGAAGAACGGAAGCAGTGTTCAGTGTGGAAAAAACATTGGGGATGATTCACAAAACTGCAGCGGAGAGTGTAGAAGTAAACAGTGCTGTTATAATGGGCACTTGGAGCAGCCGCACTCCAGAGCCGTCTCCATCTCCTCTGAGTACGAAGAGCCATCAGTGCAGCGGAAGACCACCTTTCTCTTTCGACTTTTTGTTACTCCACAACACACGCCCGGTGGTGCGGAGGCCTGGCAGGACCGGGGACAGTCCATACGGGGGATTTTACTGGTGGAAGTGCAGGTCCTCAGGGGCTGGTGCCGCCTCAGCTGCTCTCTCACCATCTCCCCCTGACACGACAACACTACAGACAGACAGACATGAGTTAGAGGCAGCTGAGAAACACAATGACCACCTGCTTTCACTCCTTTGTCCTGCACAGTTATTAAGCTGCTCTTAGTACCATTCATGGAACACTCAGACTATCACTTTAAGGGTCCTATATATTTCATATGACATTAATCATTCACTCTGTACATAGTACAAAGTGGTGCTAAACTACTACTATAGCCACATCTGCCCCAGGGCCAGAATAATGGAAATTAGACTAGTAATCTGTGCCATCGGCCCCTCCGACCATCAACCTACATTTGCGCAGCAGATGCATGCCGTCTTGCCTAAGCACACAGCAACAGCAGTTTGGAACTCACTGTGGTACCTGGTGTTACCAGGTCTCCCATCACAGTACTAACCAGGCCCTACCCTGCTTAAAATTTGGAATCAGGTGCGGCAGGTGCGGAAAGCATTATTTTTCTGTCTTTCTGTCTGCTACAATGATATAAAATCATATGGTATGATTGAAGAAATTATCCATGGGCCTCATCCCGGTGAGATGTTCACCAGATGGTCACCCTAAAATACCAGATGTTGTGACAGTCAGTCTAATGAGTCTTCTCTGGGGGACAGGGGGCTTCAGGGCATCCCTGCATCATGAATCAAAGGTGTTCTCCTAGTATACGTACGTGTGTAGTAGTTGTGTGAAGAATGTTGCAGTGTCAAACCTGAGTCGCAGGAGGCTCCAGAGTATCCGGGCTGACACTGGCACACTGCTTCTCCTGTCTCAGTTACATGACATGTTCCGTGGCCGCAGCGGCGCCCCCTGCAGGCTGGAGGCTGCTGTGCTCGATCACAATATTGTCCCTGATATCCTTCATTGCACTGACAGCTGTACGACTGTCCTTTTGGCACGCACCCGCCATGAACGCATCTGAGGGAGGAAGAAACAACCACTTACATGATTTCTGCTTTGTCTGACGCTAACAAGATAATCACTCATAGGACAAACCTGTGATTCTCACAGAGGCTAGAAGTGGTAGTTTGGTCACATAAGGGCCCAGTGCGTCCTGGAGGACAGTCACATGTCACTCCAGTCCCTCCCCCTTCTCTGCATGCGCCTTGGGCACACACACTGCACAAATGGCAGCCTGGAAGGATGCCATTGGCCTGAACAAAAAAAAAAAAAACAGAACAAACCGTTAAGATTAACCACAAAGACATTTTATTGGAGACAGAAATAAACTGCTGCTGTTCCAATTTAGCAGCATTTTAGTTGTTATGCTAAATATGGAAATGTCCCAACTACAAAGTTAAAAATAAACATGGTATTCCTTTCAGACTCTTTGTAATTTGAATTTATGTTTGAAACATGTAATCATCATATCACTATTTTTGTTTAGCCTATACTCAAATACATGCCACATCACAGATCATTACCATTTGATGCATGGAATGATAACATTATTGTAAAAAACCAAATCAGCAAATCTACAATGCTTGAAAAAGAATCTTTCACCACCACATTCATGGTGAAAATGTGTCCTACCACAAATATGCTGATGACATCTACACACACTGACTGAATATGGACCAGATGATTCCTTCTTTCACTCTATAATTCACTGTGTGAACACAAGACATTTCTAACCCTAATAAAACACAAATAATTGTCTTTGCTCCACAGAAGTGAAGAAAAACCAGTTACCTCTGGTCTCTACCCACATACCAGATTAGTTCTACGGATAAGAATGGACTCAGATTTGAAAGCACATCATCTCCGAAGTACAAATGTGACATATTACTGCTGAATAAACTGGGACTTTGAGGAACGCAGGGACTGGCCCCTCCAAGGACTCTGAGGAGCAGAGTAGCTTCTAGTAACAGTATTAAACCACCCGCACATGATTAGTAATATTCTTACTTTGCTTTCAACTCCTTGCTGTCCTCCACCTGTGCTCCGATAGCTCAGGTCTTGCTGCTCCCCGTTGATCTGGATATTATGAATGCAGCCATTGAAAGTCTGGGGTGAACGATCAGGACCAGGTCGCAAACCGGAGGCTACCACCTGCGATGGGACACCTGGATCCAGCAAGCAGAGAAAGGACATTGACTGAAGGAGAATTTTAAATCATTTGTTTAAGCACTGCAGCTTCAAGTGTCATGGTCAGAGGTATGTGCAGTACAACATGTTTGGCTGGGAAGTTACTATAGTGACAAAATTCATCTATCTGATCCAGTGTGTGTTTACCTCCGATATAGAGCCGAGTGCTGTGGTCTGTAGTGGGTTGCCAGGTCTGCTTCCCCATGCTCTTTGGGGATCCGTTGTCCACTACCAGGCTGAGAGAGCGGTCCTGAATGAGGAGTTCCACCGTGTGGAAGAGGCCGTCGTTCACGGACTCCACACTGGAAATAAAATCAAACAAATCTATTAAACAACTGCATATTTCAATAAAGCAGTTAAAATTGTTGTCTTGTTCATCAAAACCAGTGTTTCTCAACTTGCGCATCCCTAGGATCTTTTAAGATTGTTGTATTCATTCCGAGGCACTCCTGAAATTTAAATAAAAACCCTATTTATTTAAATAAGGCCTTTTCACAGAGGTCACATAAAGCGCCAACCAATTTCTATTGTAGACTTGGGGAACAAACTCAGGACCTTCTTGCTGTGTCAAATAACTAAATTTTTAACAATAATAATAAAAAATCCGAAGAACCGTTGACCATTTGGTTAGTGGAAAACGGGGGATTTTCATTGTGATGGCCCCTTGAATGCAGGAGATATATTATCAAAGTTGTAAATACAACTTTAATGTAGCTACATTAGGGTGAAACTTATAACTGACACTACTTCCACTTTCAAAAGAGAAAGGGATACCTAATAAAAGATCGGTGAAGCAGTTGAAAAGTCATGCTGAGACCAAATGGGCCAACAATCTCCCGCTTATGAGGAGATTTTGTTCCATTGTAGTCCTTTGAACCCCCTCTGACCCGATTAACTACAGAACGTGAGTGTGTGGATTGGAGATTCCCTGGAAAGTGGTTTTCACTGGAGTGGAGATATAGACAGCTGTAGAGACAGTGGTTTGGCAAAGTCGGAATGAAAGAAAAACAAGTAGAGAGGCTATGCAAAGTTAAGTAGTGTCGTACAAGCTGTCGATTCTCACCCACGTTTTTCTATTCCTACACTAGCACACATACACAAGAACACACACGCACTTATACGTACGAACACACACACGCACACACACATACGGATACGCAAAACAAAACAAAATAGATCACAAAAATAGTTTCTGTTGGTGGTCCAAGCTCTGTTTCCCACAAGAGTTTCCCATTTGAGACAGTAGCCAAAGAGCCTCTGGGTAGTTCTTTGATTGGCAGATGTTTATAAAGTATTCAGACTACAGTTATATAACATTTACAGTCAATACAGCAATGTCGTAAGGCCAATGTGGTTTCCATGCAACCCACTCACCCAGCAAAACATCATTTTGTGACATGCAATGAGAGGATGAAGGTGATATTCAAATGAGTTGGGAACAGTTCAGCTGGGGTACTTTTTGTTTGATAAATAATCCATGTTTGTCCTAGCCTGGTCGTCTTACCTAACCACAGTACTAATTTTCATGTAGGGAACTAATGGAACTAAGGCCAGGCTATGTTTGTCCTAACAGGGAGAGTTTTGTAAATGATAAATGTTGTGAACAAATAAGACCACATCAAGCTGTCTTCATCTTATCAAAACAAGCTGTCTTCATCTTATCGTTTGCATACTTGATGCTCTGGGCTGAGAGCTGAGAGGGTGGTCCTCCCTTTTTCACTTTGTAAAAGCTGATCTAAAGGTGTGACAGAGGCCAAAACATACATGCATGTGAAAACTGGTGCAAGAGAGCAAGGGACTTGTTACATGAATTTTATCGTAAGACAGAGCTCCATTTTTGGTGGTTATAAACTTGCTACACCAGTATGGTTACTTGAAGCAAAGTATTCTGATTCTGTTGTTTGTAGAAACGAAATAATGAGACTAAACTGATTCTTTAGTTTATAGCAATAACAATAAATCAATTGGGAGAGAACTAAACTGCAAGAAAAAAGGGGAGGTAACAAATTCTCAATCAAAATGTTCACTAACGGCATCAAAGTCTTTAGAATGAAATACATTTTGCCATCGCTGAAGTTACAGACACGAGTTGAGGTAAAGTTTTGAAACTGTCAAAACACAGAATCTAACCCTGCTGTTTGCAAAGAACTGCTCAAAATCAGATAGTAGCACATTCAATCCAGCTCAAAAACCCAAGTTTGTGTTGATTCACAAGATAATATTCTTGCTGCAAATGCTGAACATATCTCACAGATCATCAGTCTTGTCACGGCGGTTTCACCATAGACCGAACACAGACATGGCTCATGGTATTCGTTATGAAACCATGTCATTGAATCACATTCCGCAAAAAAAGAAAAGAAAATATAGTTACAACTGTGTTACTACAATTCTCATTCTGTATTCCTTGCTTTTCTTTCCACCATGGCTCTTTTCCACAATAATAATGTCTGCTTTTATTTATGGCTTGGTTTGGTCACCCTCACGAATGTGGAGTTCAACAAAGCTACACTGGGTGGCGCTAGAGGACTGCAGCATGAGTGGTTTTGCTTATTTTCCTCCCTTTACTTAGTGAAATTGCTGAAACAATTTTTCTGTCAACAAAGCATGCTCATGTGCTAATTATATGTATCATTGTGTTCTTTACAACTTATATTACTTACATAAATATGGAAGATTATTTGAATAGAATTTTGATCTAAGTTTAAAAAGAGCAATGTTTTATATGCAGCATTTTATTGTGTAAAATATCTGTGGTTTTGGGTGTACTTTGTTTTTGTGTATTCAGGACACAAAGGCCACAAATGCGTCAGTGCTGAGATGTTTTACCTCCTGGTCAGTCAAAAAGCAATTCAATTCAAGTCATAATTCTAATCTGTAGAGTCCGTTTGGAGGTTTTTGGATTATGTGTTTCTTTTTGGGGAAGATATATCAGAACACAGAATATGGAATCTCCCTCATATAAACCTAATCACTATTCACTATGCAGCCTTCCCTTTTCAAATCAAGCTATGTCGTCTTGGAAAGTCATTCAATCTCTTCAAAGATTAAATCAGTCCTATTGTGTTTAGTTAAAGCACTGCCACTCCCAAAAGAATTGTGATGGACTGATTGAAAGTAGGGGCTGGGACTCCAAGGAAGACTCCAGACTTTAAGATAGGGGTCAAATAACGCACTATATGAATAATGAACTCAGCATGGATTCAGCATGCTCTGACACGTCAAATAATTCGTTTTTTAATTGCAAACTTAGTAATCACATCATAGATAGTATTAGATTATACATGCAATAGCGTATTCAAAAGGATTCAATTCAGCTTGATTCAATTTATTCTTGTACAGCCATAAATCACAATAGTATATAGTTATCTCAAAGGACAAAACCGTTAAATTCGCAAACACAGATCAGAGAATCAAACAGTTCAAACACAAGAAATGAAATGATAAAAAACACATAGAGCCATTGGTTCAAAAAGGGGAGATGACCAATGTCAAAGAGCATACAAACCTGATTTGCACTAAGAAATATTGTATTAAAAAAGCAATAGAGTGCCCAGTCTGATCGTGGAAGCTTGTATATTGCCACTTTCCCTGCTTCACTTGCATAATACTTCAATTGTATTCAAAGCCTGAACGCTACTTTCTCCTGAAACCGTAATTAACTTCCAGTTCCATTAGTTTCAGCTCATTCGAAAGCAGATGAATGCCTCTTGTGAGTTGGTGGTTTCAGCATAAGATAACCAACCAACTCGAGCGTTGCTTCGGAACCATCCCAGGGCCTGGCAGCGCGCACTTCCCAGCCCTCTCCAAACTGCAACAGCTCCATAGACAAAGCCAAACCCCAACGTGCCAACACTGAGCCCTGTGGCAGTCAAGTGGCCCCTGTCTTTGGCTTGGCCCTCTCCGCTGGCTCTGTTTGCGCTGGACGTCTTCTTTAGCGCAGATAAGACTAAAGCATTCAAAAAGATGTCGCAGAAAAGTCGAAGCTTGTGGTGACTTGGACTTGGAGCCAGGGCCCTTTAGAAAAGTTAATGCAAAACATAACACAGGGGGAGCATTTACACAGGGCTTAACGTTCAACTCAAAAGTGATTTCATTTGAAGCGTTTGGGTTTCCTCTTTCTGGTTTTTCTTCCAGCCGTTACAGAGTATTTTCTTTTTCATGATTTTTTGACATGGAGCGTCTCACAATACATAGGCAAAAACTGTTCGAAGAATATTGAAAATACACTTTTAGTTGTGTTCATGGGTTTCAGTTATACGCAACATTTTGAGAATTCCCCCCACTTAGTTATAAATCATTACCTAAAATAATGTATTTATTTTTCCCCATTAAAATGAATAATACATTGGCAATCACTATGACAACAGTACACTCCATATGAGGTGGAAAGTTTTGCCTCTGATTAAAGCCGAGGTACTTAACTTCCCCCATAAATAATACATTTTGTTGTTGTTAATTTCATAAAAGTACATTTCTGTGAACAAATCAGATATAACACATTACATATTTTAAAACATTATCTTTTGCATATTCATAAGAGAGAGCACTGTGCATACATAACTACAAAATACATGCATGTGAAAACTAGTGAGAGAACAAGGAACTAGTTTGACGGATAGATGTGGTTTTAAAGTTAGGTATCCCAGCTTTAATTTGTCTATCTATATTATCATGCATCTATTGGTCTGTCCCTGTGAGGCGTGGCCCATGTCACACTGATGAGAACGGACAAGGATAATTCCCCGAGTCATTCTGTGGTTCACTCTTCCTCTCTTTCGGTCTTCCTTTTCTCCTCTCTCAGCTCTTTTCGTTTCTATCTCTTGATGGTTTCTAATCTTCTTTTCCTTCCCCCCGTGTTTGTATTCATTTATAAGGTCTGTGCCACCTGTTGCTGGGCTCTTCTCTCATATTAATAATACACAGCTGTATACAAGAGGCGTGAGTCATGAGTCCGATCACTCCTCCACATCTGGGCCAAGTCTTAATTAGGTCCTACCAACATTTCCATTATTCACTTCTGCCCTTCATCTCTCTTCTCTATTCCCTTCACTGAGTTTTAATAATGGACTGCTCTATTTTTAAGGTCACACAGGTTTAAGCTCTCCTTGGAGTGCTGCCTTTTCAGGATGCAGCTTTACTTGTGGAGGGTAAGGTCCGGAGCTTCTTTAAGGCTACAACTAACGACTATTTTGATAATTGATTACTTTGATGATTATTCTTTCAATTAATTGATTGTTGTAGTCAATGTCAACTTTATATGCATTTACAGCTGTTAGTGCTTCACATGTAGCCTGGACTTAACCATCAGGTCAACCATAATTTCCCTACATGTACCCTCCGTACGAAATGAAATGAGTATGATGGTTTGGTAAGACCAGGCTACTTCACATGCACAAAATAAAAATATGGTACATTTTAGTAAGATAAAGCTGAAGTACATTCTAGCAAGAAATAAAATCCATTAAAAAAACAAGACATTTGCACAAAACCCTTTAATGTTAAATACAGACCAAATTAGTTGCTATAAACCGATTAATCGTTACAGCTCTAGTTTGCATTAATTATTTTTCAAGACGGTATTAAACTTTCTTTTGATAATTTTAAGTACTGGTTATGTGATGCTAAAACCTTCTTTCATATTTTCCACAGGTCTATTCTAAAAATGTATTTGAGTTGAAGGGCAGGTGCAAAAACAACTCCAGTACACAATCTACAAAAATATATGTAAATAGCCAATAGTAATTATTCAAATGCCCTTTAGCATTTAGCGGGCCGATAGTGGCACGCTGTTATTCTAATGAGCTTGTTTGTATGCATCTTTTTATCTCTAGTTCCAGAGACAAACACATCAGTCCAACGCAACAGTCAGAACATTATCGCTGGAGGAGTGTGTCGAGATTTGAAATTATCTGCAGATTGAAAATGACAGTTGCACAAAAGTCATCTGCAGAATTCCACTTAAATGTGAGAAGATCAAAATCAAAATACAATTTCAAACATACTCAGGCATCTTTCTCTATTTTTTTTAAGTGTCATCCATTCCTTCAAGTCTGAACACTTTCTGGTTGGGTCTGGCTTGGTTGGAATGAAAACCTGCAGCCACACCGGCCCCTTGAGGACTGAGTTGGAAAGCCCTGTGCTATGGTGATTGAAACGTTTTTTGACACGTTTTTGAGTATTACAGCCAAAATAACAGGGCGAAATGGTTGGATGTTAGGTGAAAATAAATGTAAAGAAGATAATACAGAAATGTTGATTTGTGCACTGTCCTTGAAAAATAAAACCAACCAAACACACAAATAAGTCTGGAATAATGGTGTTGTGAATGTAATCTGATCTCTACTGTTTAGCTCTGAAGTCATTGTAATAGTCATGTTAAAACAAGCCAAACACAGATATACTTTTACATAATTTCGCAATAATCTTTCTCCTTTTCTCTTTGTAATAGTCCGACCACAAATATCAACGTGATCCCGAAGCAAATGTGGACTCTTTTCCCTTTGCGCTAGACCTTTAATGAAGTATAAGCTTAACAAATGTGATTATCTGGGTCTGTCTGGTGCAGAGACTCCTGTTCTTAACAATGTAAACAGAGACCTGAGTTCTTTTGCCCCACAGCTCCTGGTAGAGTCCAGTTTCTGATGATATAATGTCCTTATCCTTAAATCAGTTTGTTCTGAACCTGCAGCACATTACCCAGCACTGTACCTCCCAGTCGCTATGACCTTGTGTTGGTCCCACCCATGACCACTTCTCATTCCATTCCATACAAATGAACAAATCTGCCGTGTGTGCTTGCTTATAGATTTGCTGCTTCATTCATATCATATTGATTTCATGAATCAATCCAGAGGAGTAAACCGCGATGACCAGTGGACGAGTAGTTCACACACTTTTGCAACTAATATCCCCAACACTTGGTCTCACTCTTTGATCCTCCTCAAAAACCCAGTACTTACTTGTTTAGTAGTGAAGAGTATAGTATCTGCCCATTTAACTTTAACATTGTGTTGTCTTAATTAGATCAAATTAAACTTGAATTTGAGATGTTCTCTTCAAAATAATTGTATGTTAGAAGATTTGATTGTACCCCTTTGAAAACTGCTCGCGTGCACCCATCTTCTGTGTACATAGGACACATACACAAGAGGCAGACGTAACTTACATATGGTCCTTAAAAAGTCATGTTTAAAAAAATATTTGTTACATTATTGAGGTAATTTTGAATTCAGTTATGGATGGACTGAACAAAACTGGGCCAAAAGAAAGGAAATATTTTATTGAAGACTTTATTTGAAGAGTTCGATTACAAAAACAGATATCTCCGCTTTGAGAATCCTCTTGCTACAATCTTTAACCTGTCTTGTTATTGGCATTATCTTTGAAAGGATTTTCTCAAGAAGAGGTAAAACTATATGCATGGCACTAAAATAGATCAGGCTTTTCAAAAAAACTACTTGGTAAAAGAATACATACTGTAGTAAGCGATTAATATATTTCTCTAATGGAACGTATCTGTTTTGGCAAAAGAACCATTAATTTATTCAACTACTAATTCTGTGTTGGTTCAATGTGTAGATTGTTTGCGTGCACGCCTGTCCCTGCGCCCCTAGTTGAGAAACACTGTAGCAGACTAAACATTTGGTGTAGTGCATGCGTTCTTCTTACCTGTACACCGTGGTCGGGGGATAACTGGCCATGTCATAGATGAGTCGTATGTGTCCCTGGTACAGCTCCAGCGCCAGAGGATCCTGGTCCTCTTTATACATCAAAAGCCCGTTGTCTTTTTCTGTCGCCACCTAAAGAAACGCAGTAACAGGAACACGTTAAAACCCAAGATTTCTCCCTTTATTCTGACGACAGAAAGAAAATAGTAAAAGTGTGCGCCAATAAAGGAGATTTTCATTCAAACGCACGGTATTGTTTGTCAATACACACAGATTTATATTATGTGTGAATATGTATTTATAATCCTTGCGCTCTGTAAATCTCAATGACATAGAACATCGGCATGCTTTTTTTATTCCATACTGCCATAATAATGATACTCTGAAGGCAGGGTTATTAACTTACATTCACACACATTTTCATTGGGCTTTTAAAGTGACACGGCAACAACCGTGACACCAGACTGAATCTCGACCCTCGATCACACGCATTATGCAGACGCTAGCCCTCAGCGAAACTTAATAGGGATGAAATGCAAATCTGGTCCACGGCCTTGAATGAGACCTCCCTCTCCCGTATATGTGCACATGTCACACTCGCCGCCGCCGCTCTGCTAAGCCATAACTAACTTGTGAGAGGACGTGAGGCCAAAGGGGCAAGCACTAAACACTCCGGCTTCAATGGAGCCTATCCAAGTCAACACCTGGTAACAAGCTGCCAGAGAACGCAGAGAGACAGCAGGCTTTGCAGAGGACAGAACAAAAACGCAGCAAAGACTAGAGCCATGTTTAAGAGAGAGAAAGCGAGGAATGGCGTGGAGTGATTTATGAAGTGCAGAGACCCCTTTTTTCAATTCCTCTCCCTCCTTTGACTTAGAGTCTCCTGGTAGAGCTTTAACTGGCTTGGCATTGACACTGAGTGCTCCTGGCAGGACCGCAGACTCCCAGGTCACATACACTCGCATACGCTAACATCCAGAACAGGTGCTAAATATCAATTAGGGCTGCCTTTTCTTCCTGCGTGCCATACAAACGTGGGTACACCGTAAAAAAAGGAGGAGATAGAGCGGGGTTTCAGGTAACATAGTGCTCTCTGGTGTCGCAGATGTAGGCAGAGTGGAACGTGTGTTTGTGATTGGTCAGGAAAGGGCAGGCTGTCATGGGAATAAAAACTTCAGTTCTTTCTTGATTTGAAGCAGACGCTAATAGTAAAGAAGCGGTACAAATAAGGTTTTGTGCTTGTGAAATAAAGTAAAGCAAAGTAATAATACTACTTTTTTGTATTTTATTTGTTCTAGTTATGAAGCCAGGCAATAAAGTCTCAAACAGTAGAATCCAAGTTTAATCGAGCCCAGGGCTGTCAAACTCATTTTGGTTTTGTGGGCTAAATTTACAAACGGAGACTTGGGGCCGAAAATTATTTCAAACTATACTTTTATTCCAAATCTATTTTTGTTATATTTTTTAGGTATTTTAAAAAAAGAGTTTGGTTATTATTTCCGGGTAGAATATTTCTAACAAAATGAATTCAGATTTATTTTATTTTCCATTTGCAGTAAAACAACATTGGAACACATGTGCACCCCCAGTACCCTCAGTGTACACAATTCTTTTCTTTTCATACCTTTAAAGAAATATGAACTCTGGAAGGGAACTCCACACTTGGCAACTCCACATACGCATCCCTGCCGAGGAAGTGAACGGTGGCCATCTTTTCACATTTATTGCCATAGAAACCCGGCATGCAGCGGCAGACGGGTTCCTCGGCCACCACCAGGCACTGGGCACCGTTTTGGCAGTCAGACTGGTCACATGGACTGGTTTGAAGCAGGATCATGGGAGGAGGATTCTCACAGAACAGCCCACTGTGAACGGACAGAATTTAGTTATAACATTTCAAAGAGATAGCTGTTATGTTCATACAACTTTCTACAAAACTGGTTGTCATAACTGTAATTGAAGCAGTACGTGTCCTGTCACAATATTTACAATATCAAAATGTTTTGTATTAATTTAAAAATCATGTATCAAGTATCTTGTATGTTTGTGTCCAACAGCACCCCTTGAGCCTAAGACAAATTTCCCTGAGGGGACAATAAAGTTGAACCCATGTAACTCATGTAAGAAACAATATATTTATTGTCTGCACATTTTCTTTGCAATAGCAAAAACAATTGTAATATTTTATTGTAAAACAATAATGTTTTAGAAGTAGAAGTGCAATATGGCTTAATATCACATACTTTTCTTAGTCTTTTTTATCAAATATCTAAAAAAAGGATGTTCTTGCAACTTGCATCAGTGACAAAGTAGCATCAACATTATTGTTCATAGCAATAATTTTCTGCAGCAATATATCGTTCATCAATTTTTTTTTATTGTGGCAGGCCTAAGTACGAGTAGTTGCAGTAGCAGCAGTAGAATGTCCTGGGTACACTAAATACCTCAGTACACTAAATAAGCCACATCAGTGTGTGGAACGCACAATTTCGACTGAATAGCAAAAAGTTAGCTTGACCATACACCATAGATAGAATTACATTGCGAAAATAGTCATTAATAACTTGCTTCTCTGAATTGCGGAGAGTGTGCCTGGCAATATGTAATTTCAGAAAATATATGTTTTCTTATTGTTTTCCCTCTTCAGTATCTTGTGCAATCCTTGTGATGAATTTGTTTCCTTCTTGCCAACAGTCTTGGCTATAATTAACCACATGGAGCCACATCTGCTGGTGGAGCACACACGCTTACACACACACACACACACATACACGTTTTTGTTACCTGGTGGGTCCCTTTGACAGGGCCGTTCAGAATGGGACCCATAGACATAATCTTTTTTTACCAAGACTTTAAGTAATACAAAACAGTCAATAGAAACCAAACAACTATTTTAAAGGAATTTTATTTTAGATTTTGTTTTCGAATTGCAGTGATTCTATTTTTGACATAGAATTTAATGCCACTCCATGTCCGATGTCTAAGGTCATCTGGTGAGGCATTAATGCAGGCCAGGCAGTGAGACTTCCCAGGGACCTTTCCAGTCTGTATGAAAGGTGTCATGGTCTTCTCCACAGCCTTCACCTCAGATGCAGACCATGGCTTTCTTACACGTTCTAGGGAGAGAAATAAAAATATATTAGCAATATACACTCCCAGGGTGAGGACCAAGCAGCCTGGCTGTAATCCCCCACCTGGTACACTTACCAGAAGGGGCACTGCCACTACCATGGGGTGCATCTGGATGAATGGTTGAAGGTTCTCCGCTTGAAGTTTCTTTTAGCCCGTCCGTTTGTGAGAGGATCTCTACTGCTCTCCCTGTCGCACAGAAAATAAAAATACAAGTGGCCTTTAGGGGAAAAAAATCATACATATTTTAATAATATCAAGAATTACCTTCAGGCTCAATTTGTATCTGGTCGAGGCTCTTTCCTTCGAATTCCGTCACTCTTCCCTGCTCCATGGCCATCAACACTTTGCTGATTTTGGCCAGCTCCAGTGTCCCCTCTGGTAGTCTGTAATATTGCCTGTGGATGCGAATGTCATGGCCGAGGAAGTTGGCAAGTATGTCCATCTCATTCTCTTTCATATTGAGAACTGTAGACATAGTAGCTATGTGCTTTCTAAGTTTGGTTGAGGATAGCATCTCTGGATGCACCGCACCACATTCTTTGGCTACCTGGCGTAGGGAGTCTGATCCCCTGATGTGGGTGTCTGCGCCCGGGCGGGAAAAGAAGTATGGGTTATGGTCAGAGATGGAACAGGCCCTTCTGTTCTCCACCAGCACCTCCATCGAAGCAATCATTTCAGGAGTCAAAAGAACCGGCACTTTCCGACTTCTTTTCCCTTTAATTTCAATGCGTTGAAAATGCTGACACAGCTTTTTCTCAAGTTGGGACAGTCCCAGAGCAATGTCAGAATGGATCCCAGTCTTACTTCTTAAGGTAAAGGCTGTCAGTGGCATCTTTGAAACCTCACCTTCCCTTCTTCGATTGAAAATGATGACCTCACAAAGAGTCAAAACTGCCAGTTTAGACCAATGCTTAGACGTTGGCTCACTTATTAGGGTTTGCACATATTCAGGTCGACATACCTCAATATGTGCATGCATGGCTCTAACGTCCTCAGTCAGAGGGAGCAGGTCCGGAGTGTTCCACTTGGCTTGCCGGAGGGTCTGTAGGGCAGCAGAAGAAACACAGACGTCCCACCTCTTCTCAAAAAGCAGCCGGCTTCGTTGGAGGTTTTTAATAAATAGTTCATCAACACAATGCTCCATTTTTGAGCCACATTCAAGAATATCTGCTAGCTTTCTGAGGCTATGGCCGAGTTTGAGGGCCAAGGATGGAGTCTTGTATTGATTTGTTTCCTCATCATATCCAGCCACAGACCTGACTGCATCAATCACATGGTTAAAGTTGGAAGGAATAAAGAAATCCTTAATTGTTTTCAGTTTCCCTGCGGTTTTTGCTTCGTTAATTAACCTACCGACTTCTCTCATTTTCTGCCTAATGTAATCATGCTTTGTCTTATCATGCCCGTGTTTTAAGTACAGGTGCTCTCCGAGTCTCAGAATCCCCTTTTCTGCTTTGACAACACCCGTGACCTCATCCTGATGCATTGCCGAAATTAAAGACCACAGCTTTTTGCTGATGCCCTCCGGTACAGGCTGGGCTAGGGAGCAGAGGGACTGGACCCTACTTCTACCTGGTTTAGCCTGGGCATCTTTCTGTGAAAGCCGGCACCTGGCCACATGCCTCCACAGCGACTTTCGCTTAAGCAATGCCCCACAGTCTATACAGTGCAAAAACTCACTGGATTTAACTGGGGAATTTGGCTGTTTAGCTGGGACTAAAGTTCCAATGCCGGCCTTTAAAACCTCAAAATTGTGCTCACGGTTTCCACTATTCCTGATCAAATCAAACTGAAGTTTACGTGCTTTAGATTTCACAGGTAGAGCCAATGCTCTGGCTACGTCACTTTCATTTCCATGTTTTCTAGTCAAATGACGGGACATTTTGTGGCAGGACATTGAACAGTAGAGGCAGAAGTGTCTCTTGCTGTATACTCGCCCCCCATTTTTCTTCTTTTGCAGCTGCATGATAACAATCTTATTTGCCTTTGGTTCGTCACTTTCCGAGTCTTGAAGAAAAGTGTTTTTGATTTTTCTTTTTCCATACTTTTTTACAGGTTTCTTCTTGACAGTTAAATCGTCAGAATCTGAGTCGACTTCATCAATTAGGGACTCTTGACTAAGCTGCACAAACAACAAATAATTTGTAATCATTCTATATAACAATTTGAAGTCATGACTTGTAGTCAGCACTTACCAGTGGTTTGTAAGCGTGCGCTTCAGTGTGCTCCTCCATGATTTCTTGCAGCCTAATGAACCACACACTTGCACCTTTTTCTAGCCTGACACCTGATTTCCTCTGTTGTGCTGCTCCATGATTGGCTCCAGCCTGCTGGACTGAAATTGCCCCAGTGTGCCCCTCCTTGATATCCCGCAACCCACCACCAGGGTTCCGACACATAACACACTTTTTTCAGGAAAGTAAACCTCCAGGGGTCCTTTCCATATTTTTACAGAGACTGCATAAGGACCGTTAGAAAAGCATTACCCATTGATTATTAAGCTTGGACCAGTGGGGTCCGGTGTTCGGGCCCCACCACGTAAAACCAGTCCCCATGACGTGAGTGGAATCTCAGGTTATGGAACCCACCAGGAGTTGAAAACAAGTGCACACACACACACACACACACACTTATACACGAACACACACACACACACACACACACACCCACACACACCTACACACGCACACACACACACACACACACACACACACACACACACACTTATACACGAACACACACACACACACACACACTTACACACGAACACACACACACACACACTGGGTCTAGACAGTCAACTGTCCGATTATAAAGCACCATCTGTATCTCCTCCCAGTCCAGCCCCAAGTGTGCGACAGCTCCAGTGATCGGCTGCGTCAGTGACCGTGACACAACACTCTACGCAGGGTCGGCCCATGGCATAAACAAACCTATCTTTATAGAAAGTTGGTAGAGGCCATTTTTATCCCACATTTTGGCCTCTTTCGGGTTCATTCCCAATTACAAACTATATAATGGACGCTAAAGAAAGAAAGCAAATACTATTCAGTCCAAATTTAGACATTGAATATCACTGATCTCTTCTGCATTAGTCTATTACTGTTATGTGGGTGATGAGAAAGAACAAAATCACACTAAAAATGTCTATTCTTGCAAATAGACCTCAAAGAAGATTTTTGGTGGGTTACGGTTAGGGTTTTCCTGGGTAACTAGTACCTGAATCCTTCTTTGCAGATGCAGGTGTATCCGTTGACCGCGTCCACACACTCGGCTCCGTGCTGACACTTGTTTTCCAGGCAGTCGTTATAGTCCTGCTCACAGTGCTGCCCAACGTAACCGGGCAAACACTCACACCTGAAATCACAAGGCCACATAATTACAGCCCCTGCCTTTATATCTCTCATTACATCTTGTCTTTGCAGCTAAGTGTGAGCGTTTGTTTCTGACCTGTAAGAGCGGCCGACCTGGATGCACTTGGAGTCATGCTGACATGGGTCAAAACCTGGCAGACAATGGTCAACCACCTCTTCGCAAAGATCGCCTGGAGGGAAATGCAATTGTCACTTATTACTTCAAACAGCTGTAGAGAGAATTCATTAGAAAGGGTTAAGCAGGGCAAATACAATACTATTAAAAAATATCTCCTTGAGCTGTGTTTATTGACAATAATGTACATATTCCAACTCCAAATGCAATGTCTATCCACCACAAAGTGAAACCATGCAGCAGTAGCATAAGTGCTGTCTAGTTGGAATAGATCAGGCGTCAGTCATGTTCTTGGCTGTGCCCAGACGTTCAGAGGTTATGAGTTGTCTACTGTATCAGGTCGTGTACAGGAAGACTGACAGATTGTTCTGTTTGTGTTCTAATCTCATTTCCAGCTTCTGCCCATGTAGCTGTCTCCAGCAGTTCCTCGTAACATGTCTTTGGGTACAGATTACAGCTTTATCTCTGAACTACCAGGGAGTGATTTTTTTATGCAAAATAAACACAACACATAAGAATATTGGTATTTCCTTCACATTTTGGAATTTGACACTTGTAAACTGTACCTTTGAAAGTGCTAAAGTTCTTTGGATGTTTTTGTTAATTATGTTTTGAGTATAAAGACCAATGAGTGACCTTTGTAATTTAACTGAACGCACTCCTCCGACGCAGCGCCCTGGTCACAGTGTAGAAAGTATAGATCAGCTTTTCTAAATGTCTTGTGACCTTACATTTTGCTGCTGACAGAGGGAAAGTCAGGTGACTGGTGAAGGACTGTCCTCTTTATGTGACACCTGATGATTATGGTTCACTGGGCCGTGTGGAGCCGCGTGGAGCCAGAGGAACCAGCTGGATGTGGTCAGGTACCTGGCAGTGCAAAAGCTCCTTGTTGCCAAATACGATAATGACATGGTGTGTGCATTGACTGAGGTCCAGTGTCAAAGGGGAACAGCTGTGCTAGACACAGACCAAAAATAGACTCTGGTCCCATGTCAGCATTTCAGCCATGATTTTCTCTAATCTGTATATTTAAAGATTTATGGTTGCTCTTTAGTAGATCCAAAACCAAAAATACAAAAAAAAAAAAAAAACAACAAATGATGATACAATGCCTCAGTGTGCTTGCTCCTCAAAACTGCGCATGTTGTATTAATTATTTTCTTATTTCCTGCAGTTTTAGCCTCTTATCACTGTCATTAAAAACCTAATCGTTTTTCAATTCTATATTCTTTCATATGCCTTTGGTTCTTCTCTGCACCCTGTCTACCGCTCAATGTTTACATTTCCACTTTCTTCCAGAGCACTCTTTCCTCCACCTCTCTTGTGTGTGATGTTTCCTGGAGGAGCAGTTTCAGGTCAGCTCAGCGCTGGTCTTTTACTCGCTCACATCCAAAGTGGAACATTTGACAGTGTGTGTTTGGGACTCTGTGACCCTCTCCACTGGGCAAAGGGCGAACACTTTCAGGGCTCCACAATTACCATTTGTGCATTCAGACAGTGGTACCTGTGTAATTGGGCGGACATAGGCAGGTGTAGTTGTTCACTCCGTCGACGCAGGTGGAGTTGTTTTCACAGTCGTTGTCCTCACAGTCGTCTGGGTTTAGCTCACACCGCTGGCCCTCGAACCCCGGCAGGCACACGCAGCTACACACAAAATACTCATAATTAAATGCTTGCAGAACTCTCTCTCTCTCTACAGCCGCACAAGTGGAAATAAAAATCAATCGCTCTATGAATCAGCTGCTAGTGTCTGCTTAGATTTCCCCTGTAACATCCTCAAATATAACTCTGCAATAAAGCTAAAGCACATTCATATTTAGCTGTCCGACAAAGAGAGACCACTCCACATTTTGTAGCTAACATTTAACAGCTCGACTATTCCAGATTGAATCCACTGTTGGCAACTTTCCGGGTAAAAAATACACTTTAGCTCACCCAAAAACAGGTGGCACACAGCTCACAATTTTATGTAAATGCCTGTAATTATCGTTTCAAGAGAGAGAGTTACAAATTCCACAAAAAATCTATTCTAAAAGTGAAAAATGTTCAACACTTTATGCCATCAATATTAGCTTAACGTTATCTCACAAAGCCCCGTTTCCACCAACCCTACTCTGCTCTACTCTACCTGGTTGCGTTTCCATTATGCTTTAGCATCTGGTATTGTATCCTAGAAACCTACCCACAAAAAACCAGTCGCCAGTATAACCAGTATTCCAGCTACAATTTTGCCGATCACTGCCAGAACACTTTAGCACCAACTCTGCCTGGGTAGAACCAAGACTACGCAATACTAACAAAGTACCAGGTACCAGTTAAACACGGCGGGGTGGAGTAGGAAGTTCACATTTTGACCTGCATTCCAATAAGTGCAGTGTTACTCTCCATAGAATCTATTGCTTTAACATTTAATTGGGCTAGGAAAAAAAGTAGCGCTAACCTAAGACCTCAAAGATTCTGGCACAGTTAGACATCGCCCACATGTGGCACTCAGAAGGAATTATTGAAGCCTCCTTTTTTTCTCCTTTCCAACCATCTTGCTCCCTTGTTTTATTAATCCAAATCTTTCCTTTGTTGCTTTGAGCCTTTTATTTGCTGTATTCATACAGTTTGGCACACACATTTCGTTGCCACATTTACTACAAGGTCGCTCCTGCACCTTTGATACAGGAAAACACTTTTATCCAACACGCTATTTGTTACATTGTGTTAAGATGTTGTGTCGACCATTGATTTGTTCCTGGTTTTTTCTTTTTTTTAGTTTTCAACCCAACTAATCAAAGTTTTCCTTCACTTATCTCAGCAGCTCTGGCTTCCCACGCTGCACAGCCTACTTTTTGATTACAACTGGAAAGACCAAGTGCAGGATGCCTTTGAAGGACTGTAGGCAAACCTGTGCAAAAGGATGCTATGACCTTTGTAATATGTAAATACGACAAAGTTTAAGGGCTTTCATCCATGTTATGACAACCTTATGAGGGACTGTTCAAGAAGCGTTATCATTTTAAACTATCATCAATCTTAATTATTATTATTTGGGTTAGGGTTATTCATGTATACATGCTCTACATTTTGTTTTAACTGAAGTTTCTACACAAAACATCTACGACCAAAGGACTGAACATCTTTTGAAGTTGTAAAAACTTTGTACATATGAGATTATGTGACATAATACAATATAATAATAATAAAACTAGAGCTGCAACTAACAATTATTTTGTAATTGATTAATCTATCGATTATTTTTACGATTAATCGAGTAATCGCTTGGCTGTGAATTGTGTAGAAATTTTTTATTTTTTCATCACAAAAAGCTAAAGTGGCAACACTCGAGGACGTATTGATAGCGTAAACTTAAAGTAAATGTCTGTAACAGGCTCTTTGTGCTAATTCTGCTATCTGATTGGATGAGACAGACAGATATTCATGAAATTATAAAAACAAAGTCGGTTTTAATCATCAACTTGTTCAATAATCGATTAGTCGTCGATTAATCGATTAGTTGTTTCAGCCCTAAATAAAACACTCTTCAACTTGCATTTTCCATTTGATGAAACCAAGTTCTTATCATATCTTTAAGAGGAACCCAAATCAACAGTTTTCAAATGATTTTTGAGTGGCCACAGATGAAATTCATGTCTTGACATTTAAACATATACTTTGACAAATGGCTCTCCTCTGTGAAGCGGGGCTAATTGGATAGGTCCATCTGATTATGGCCCATGTTAAAATGTCAAAGGAGCATAGTCCGCCTCCTCCTCTGGTCTCTGGGAGCACAGGGATTTACCTGCGTTGGTATTAACATTAAGGGGCCATGTGTAAAGGGTAAAAAGAGCCCTAATAACATTTCCACACACAAGTTAAAGGCCAGACACATATCAGGGGATTTCAAAGGGCAAAGGCCTTGTTAAGGGACAAATCTGCTAAATATATTCTGGACAATCGATCCAATCTTTGTGCTTGTATATCATGAGCTTTAGACACTAGCTGAAAGGCAGTAACAAATTCGAGCTAGTAAATACCAATTGTTCAGACTTTGAGGTCATATATGAATATAATTTAACAGGAAGGCTTCTCTCTAGAGATGCACTGATCCTATGCTGATACCGGTGCAGATAATGGAAATATTTTTTATAATTTAATAATATCAGTTAAGACAATATATGTATTGATTATATGTCAATACCCTAGGCCTTTCAATTGATAAGATATGTATATTTTTAAATTAAAATACACAAATCCAGGGCAGAACTGTTCCACATGTTAATGGGGCTCTCTTTAGAACCATGTTCCCTCGTCAAACACAGTTACAGATAAGTTCACAATATCCACAAAAGTCATCACCCAATGCAGAGACAGCGAAGGACCAGTGAGAGCAGGGAACCAGAAGACCAAAGAAATACAACAACCTCTATGACAACAATGTTGTTCTGTAGTTGCTCGCAGAATAATAGTTAAAAAACGTAGTTCACATCGGGTATCGGCAGATATTCGAGGCCACAGTATTGAGATCGGTATCGGATATAAAAAAGTTGTATTGTGGATCACTAATAACATATGTCTAAACCTAACATAAGTGTACATATATTAAACACAAAACGTTTAATATATGAAACATTTATTTGTGGTAATAAATAAAAAAGAAAAGTTTATGAATTAAAAAGAAAAAAAATCTAAAATGCTGTGTTTGTTTATTCTATCTGTTAGTTTACAACATAACTCATTTTTTACTACATTTTCTGGTTGTAGCTTTGTGCTCCACGAGTGCTCTTCTAGCTTTAGTGTCTGATGACTTTTACTTCTGTACTTCTTTAGAGGTAATGCAGAGTTTATGAATCCCGTGTGAGGGAAATCCATCCTCCAACCCTGTGGGGACCACTATTCAGCAGAAAACAAAACTCTTTAGTTCAATTTATCATTGCAGCAAATGTAATACAAGTAAAATCAATCAGGGAATGAGCATCACACAGGCAGTTTTTCATTTAATGATCAATGGAAAGTCACAGAGCACTTAAAAGGTATGTAGGCCGATGATCAGCGCCAATGAGGGAGCCAAACCTCACGTCAGTCATGTGTCGAGCACCAATGCTGCATGAGTGTCAGCCACACGTGCACTATTGATCACAATGTTTGTTCATGTGCCTGTTACCAACTAATTCCAGTTCTTTGAGCGGCTATAGCAAAAATGGTTCTGGGGGGAGCTTAGAAGAGGCGGAAGACAGAAGATGGAAATACGACTAGTCCTGTGGGCATTTCAGGTAAAAATCAATCTATATAAATTTCAGTTTCTGTTCACCAATTTTAAACAAAATCGTTCTCATAAGAAGCTTTTGATGGCATTGTATTTTCCATGCTTTCTTATCTAACTTCCATTTTTGATATGTACTGTATAACATGTATAGCTAAATGAAAAGAATGCAGACATAATCAATGACAGTTCCAGGTGAGCTGAAAGCAGTTGTAGTTTTAAAGCCCAGACCAAATGGTGAATTCTGTGGCTTCTTCCAGACACACACAAGACGGAAAAAGTATCAGTGCGCCAGAGTCTGTTGTTATCAGACTCTTACTCTGGACTAATGCTTTGTCCAGTAAAACATGGGCCAAGCAAAAGAGTTTTTAAGGATTGTACTCATACAGTATTATCATTTCCATTTTACCACGTGTCTGAAGGAGGATTAAGTTAATTGGAAGACTGCTGTACCTGAAGTGATCCTCTATCCCTGGCTCGATGTGGCAGGTTCCTCCATTTGTGCAGGGGAAGCTCACACAAGCGTTGATGGGGATTTCGCAGTTTGGACCCTGGAAGAGAGCAAGCAACAAAATCCAAAGTTATTTTCAAATCATCCCATAATCTCATCTGGGACCTGAGATATGAGTTTCACTGTTCTTTTAAAATATATATTTTTGTATTTCACTGTGTAAAATACAATTTGCATAATTCGGTTTTCTTGAAAATATGTGTTATATTATTGATAAACTACAATCATCCCAGCAGCATCTTAAAAGTAAAATGATCAAATCAAACCACAACATGCTGTCTTCATCCTATTAGAAAACATTTGATCTTTTGTAAGTATGTATATACATTTAATGGCATTAATGTATGAGCCTCAGAAAACTGATCTCATGTGACAGAGCCTAAATAATACATGCATGTGAAAACTAGGAACTAATTACAGGAATTTTATTACATAATACTATTTTTGGTGGTTCAAAAGTTAGTATTTCTTATTCTTACATCATGGGACATTTGCATACTAAATATCATTTAACACAATATAATAATACCAATATATTTAAACTAAATGGTCCAATCTGTAGGTACACTCATAACCCTACTTACTACAACACTAGAATGCAAATGTGAGCCCCATGGGAAGTAGATTTGCATGTTTCCTAATGCAAGAGTTTGGACAATTATTACACCCACTGTTGTTTGATGGGTCAATACCCCCAGAGCAGCCAGCTGTGGTCATCATTTCTCTATTGACGAACAGGTAGTTACATTATGCATGCAAGCTATGCGACTAAGCCTGATCATACTGCTAATACCACAAGCTTATGCAGCAAGGCTATCCATCTCCCGTATCTCTGCACACACAGCCAATTTCATGGGTCCAGGAGCAAAGTTACATCTTTTTGTGGGTACTGGATTTGAATTGGCGACAATATGTGAATCGGCAGAATAATGGACCTCTGAATAAAAAATGAAGATATAATACCTTCAATAGATTTAAAGCTTCATTCATGGTTATGCCACAACAGATTTGAACACAATGATGGCCTTGCTTTAAAATCAAAAACTGAAGATGAGTAATAAGAGTTGCCTGATCATATAATTTTTAACTCAATAGATAGAGAAAATTATTTGTCATTCAAGTACGTAAGTTGCATCCACTTTAAAATAAGAGCTGGAATTTATCAAAGAATAAAACAGTGAAACAATACGAAATGTTGTATTTCCCAGAAGAGATTGTGGTTTACAGCTTTGTGAGAACATCCAGTTCCAGAAAGTCTTTGATCACTGCAGAGGGCTCACCTTAAATCCATAGGGACAGGTGCAGTGGTACACTCCAGCTCCATCAGAGACACACGTCCCATTGTTCAGGCAGGGAGCAGCCAGGCAGGGGGCACACTTGGACATCAGGCTAATGTCAGCTGGACCTGCGGCAGCAAGAGACGAAACATGGTGTTATAGCAGCGTGAAGAGAGGACGCAAACAAGCAATATGTGCCCACTCTGGATCCTTTCAGTGCACTAAGGGATATCTTTGTGTATTTAGCCAGACATAAAACAAAACCCTCTCTTTTATCTCAGAACATATATGTTCAAAAAATAAACAAGCAGGATATGGGCATGATGCAAAGCACCTAAAACTTCACAATTTGTAAACATCCATACTATACAATACTGAAAGTTTTGCTTCAGCGTCTGGTCTCTGCATCACATACAGAAAACATGAACTGTTGGGTCTATTGTGTTTGATTGTGTTTGACAGATATAGAATTAATCATTTTTACTTAATGTTTCATAAATAAAGCATTCTCATAAGGACAGGGTACGTTAATAATAAAAGGTTTTTATGGAAGTTCAGTGCTTGGAGATAGCAAAAGAAAGTGGTTTATTGGACAAAAAGGCAACACAGACTACAATAAAATATCAATTTGCAGGTATTTGCAATAAATATTAATTAAAACAAATTGTAGTGTAACTATAGGAAGGAGGTTTTCAGGTATTTTCCCCTGTCCTAATTCTGTGGGGAGTTTAGTGGCAACCTACTAAACGTAATACTTTATGTGGGTGTATGAGTTGTAATTGACTGAACTACAAAAACACTTAATTTGCTTAAGGGATAAAATCGACAATCCTTTTCAGAGTTTTAAACACATTGCTATGTGATTGTCTGCCCTAATCCAGGGATTAAAGTTTGCAAAGATAATGGAAAACAGGTGGATGTATTAACAAGAGGAGAGAGGCGGTCGGCTGCATGACAATGAGGCTCTTTACCTTTACACTGGAATCTGTTCAGTGGTGTGGTGAGCAGCAGCCTGTCAGCCATGTCGGGAGGTCCAGTGCAGCGAGCGATGCCTACAAACAACAGCGAGGCCATAAATAACAAGATAACGTATAGGTGTAGTCATATAGGGACATTCACATTCTTACCAGGCTCCTTGAAACCAGCCTTCACCCACTGAGAAAGCCATCGCAGATCACAGTTGCAATACAAAGGGTTGGCACCAAGAGCACTAGACAAGAATAATGACAATGTTGTCGAAATCAAAGTTTACAATAGAATTTTATAATCCAATTTGAGGATAGCAAGTGTGAGCTGCTTACAGGTGGGACAGTGACGTGAGGTGGTTGAACGCTCCTTCTGGGATAGTGGAAAGCTCGTTTCCATGGAGGGTTCTGGAATCAAACCAAGAAAAGTTATAGTTCGTGGCATCAAGGTGCAAATACTTTGGCAAAGTTAACCCTTTAGGTGCCAATGTGCAGAATCTTTCCATGAGCTCCCAAATCTAGGACTCTTTCTATACAGCAACCTGGCTTCACACAAATGTGAAGCATTTATCTTTTAACATTGTTAAACACATTGTTTTCACTTTCATCTTTTTACTGATTTTATTTATACAATATGTTTCATATATATTTTCACTATTTTTATGTTTTATTGACTGTTTTTAATTGCTTGAGAAGCACTTTGGGTTACATTGTATGAATCGTGCTTTATAAATACATTTGATTTGATTTGTTGTTGCTGTTGTTCAAACAAAACAATCACTGATTGTTTGCCCTGCCCTAATGTGTCTCCCTGTTTGAGTACGTATGCGGCTTACATTCAATCTCAGAAACTTTCAGATATCTACGTAATGTTCCAACTTCACAACATCATAGATAATACATGTAGATATCAGAGATCAATATCAGAGATCATTAAAGTTTGATCTTATCGTATACAACCGCTTGTGGCCAACCAAGAAGTACAAATATACCCTTGGCAAATTATTGGCAAACATTGTCTTCAGCTAAACTATGATTATGGGAAGCCTAACCTAGAATATACTCTTGTTCTAAAGGGTTGCTATTGGCACATGTTATGGAATGAAAAACATAAACCGTCCTGTTATAGAGGTTTTGTACAACTGCTTCACAGAGACTTGCTGCATGTTAAATTATTCAAATTATTTGTGTTTGCGCAGCCACAGACATGCCATCATCAGCCTCTTCTATAATGGAAACAATAAAATATGTATGAAGGAATAACACAACATAAACAGTAAAGCTTATTCTCATAGTCTCAATAAAGGCCATTTCTTGGTCTCTGAGTAGAATACAAAGTGTCTCCTATGGTCATCTACAGTGTGAGTGTGTGTGTGTGTGTGAGTGTGTGTGTGTGTGCGTGTGTGTGTGTGCTTGTGCGTTTTGGAGTTGCGTGCCTTTTGGCTGTTGTGCTCTTTATGAGTTGGTGCACGCTGGTCCCTGAGGACTCTCCGAGGCGTGTGCACGTATCCTTTCTGTCTGGCCATTTAAGTGTGTCGCCTGCTGGATATAAGTTCACGTTCCATTAGAGTGAAAGGCGGTGGCAGGGGACAGCTATCAAGCCGACCTCGATTGGAAACCTGTTTGCCAGTCTGGGTCAGAGTCCAAGCTGCAATTATTTTTGAGGCTCCTGTTTATGTGCCGTCCTTTTCATCCGCTGCAGACTCTACTACTATACTCTACATGTATTATTCTGTTTGTGCAACTATTTATTTGGTATATAACGGCCCCAGCAGCAGCAGCCCAGAGGGGATTGTGGGTAATGAGGAAGTGACAGTGATGGCTGACTGGCAACCGGTTGCTGTGAGGGGGCAGAGAGAGACCAGTCCCCATGGAAACATCAAGTAAAATGAAAGTAAGAAAGCAGCAAACAGAAAAAATGGATCACAAAACTTCTGCAAGGTTAATACACCACAGGAGGCTCACTCGATAGTTAAAGCTGGGGTACCTAACTTTCAAACTATATAAAAAAGTATGTGTGTAATAAAACCAATCTAACTCGTTCCTTGCTCTCAAAACTGTTTGTGTGTGTGTGTTTTTACATACATGCTCTTTCGCACAAAATAGTCATATACATAGTTTCCCATTGGTAATTTTGCTGACTTTTATTCATATTCCCATGACAACAATAAAGCAATTTGTTGATTTTTGTTGTACAAGCCATCTTCAGGAATGCACACACATTATGGTTATTGTAGAATACTCCTTATTGGGAAATAGATAAATGTCCAGCGATATTGTGCATGTGTGTGTGCGTGTTTGTGTGTGTGTGGGTTCGGGAGACAGAGGGTGGACAAGCAGATGGATGACGGAGAGAAACGGAGGCTGAAGGTCGATTCATCAAACACCACATTGGACCGAGGGGAGAGGGGGGGAGGGCGTGGGGGGAGGGGGGTGCGATGGATCGGAGGAGTGGACAGGAGCAGACGCAGCATGCAGATACTAAAAGCAGCATTTGGGGACACGTTGCACCACACACACCACACATTATCTGAGCCGGTTGGATATTGATGACCATGAGGGGTGGTTAAACATAGATTTAGCACACTACTTCAGCAAGAAGAAAGGCAAAGGATGTATTGAGAGCAGTAGGGCCTTTAGCTGTCCAATCAGCCACTGCTCTTATCCTCCTATTTACAGTAATCTTACTGTATCTTTAAACGCATGTGTATTTGCTTTATTTTCAAAAGACAACAGACTTAATAGGTGAAATAAATTGGTATTGGTATAAAAAGCCATCTATAAGGGACTGTACACAATAATTTTCATTTTAAATCACAGCTAAATCATTTATGTGTCCACAGATTATAGGTCGACATGAGAGAATCACATCTAAGTTACTCTTAATCAAAAATACAATGAACATGATGTCTGTAATACTTGTTGTTTACAGTTGTCATGCAGATTATCCAATCAGAGAGCACAATGATTCTCTCATATGGGTTTCCAGTATGTCAGCTGTAATTCAGCTGGTCTTGTCTTGATCTTTTTACATAAATTAATAAATATATTAAGACAAATTCACAAAGCAATAAATCACCACGGTGCGTTTGCTTAAATGATGGCAGATCAAATAAAATTGTCTTATGTAAAACTTTGAATTTTTACTGTTTCGAGCTAAATTCCAGCAGGTGGATTGCAGCAGTAATCAGTCCTTAGGAGCTACATATGTCACAGGCAGGAATTTACTGGCAACAGAACTGATGATTTGTGCCTTGTGTGATGTGGACTGGGAAGCACTTTGTGTTGCCTTTATGTTTGTGTATGAAAGGCGCTCTGCAAATATAGATTGATGATTGATTGAAAGGTGTGATTATAGTTGTAATGACTTTATACGACCACTAAGAGATTAAGATTAAGATTAAGATAAAGTATAAAGTTAAAAGATCCAAGTATAAGGAATTGGGCGTTTCCTGAATTTAGGGCTCATGGAGCAGCAGCTGGCTTCCCATAACCATTGCCCTAGATCTTATTATTTGATGTATTGTTATTATATCAGTTGTTCTGTACTTCTTCTGAAGTTTTAACCTCAGATTTCAGCAAAAACTCTCGTGCCTTAATGGCAATTTGCCATTTCACAGTACATTCAAGCATAATTCAAACTAGAAGAAGGTGGTACTTACAGTAGACGTAGCGACTTGAGTCCGTCGAAAGCATGGACCGGAATGCATCGGATCTGGTTGTAACTCAGGATGCTGCACGACAGGAAACAAGCAAGGTCAAATGCTGCAACGCGTAAATTGCAAAAGTTATTAATTTATTTCATTTCCAAACAGTATTTTCTGGAGTGTGCTATTTCTGTTCCGTTTGTCACGACCTTCACACCAGAGCCACTTCTTACACACAGAACAGTGGTGCAGGGACAAACGCAGTGCAAGAAAGATGAGGTGACACCACAGTTTTCGTTCAGCAGTAACTCTAACAAAATCTGTAGCCACAGGTTAGAGACAGGGGAATTACCGAGCGGGCACATCTAAAATGTCAGGGGTAGAAAATGGTAGAGGTGAAAACTGCCCGGAGCCAATCTGAGGCATGGAGAATACTAAAGTCACACATAAATAAAGCATGCAGTCTTCCTGATCAAAAATAACAACTGACCAAAATGAAATACATGTTTCAGCCTCAACAATTCTGCTGTATAAGGGATGGGAAACAAAAGCTGGGGAAACTCACTACATGCATGTTGTTTTATTCGACAGAAAGAGTCTTGTTGTCAACAAATCAGACAACAACATGCAGTCTTCATCTTACTAGAAAATGAGTTATATTTAGCAAACATGGAAGACAGTGGCTGGCTGTAACCTGCCATGGCCCTGCAGATGGAAACTAGCCCTCGTGGCTAAATATGGCACATTCACATGGACACATGTTGATAATGAGCACTGTTCCATTCAAATACACATATACAGTACATATTCTGTCTGAAAAAGCTGATCTAAAGAAGAAGATAAAAATACATGCATGTGAAAACTCTTGAGAGAACTAAACTGTTCAGAGAGCGAGGATTTTTATTTTATTTTTAGTGGAAAAAGTTAGGGCCGTGGCTTTAAATTGATTAATTTGATTAATCAAATGTTTAATCAAATTCGAAAGCATGGACCGGAATGCATCGGATTCTTGTGTCTTCCAATGCCTCTCTGGGCTTCAGTTGTTCAGCAGAGTCACGTAAACAACAAGGCAGTCCACAAAGAACAGTGTGTTTTCGGAAAAGGCACAACTTTGATTATATTTGCAATATCAGGTTGGTGGAAATTGAAAATTGATTTTTTTTTTTTTAAAGAAAATCGCTAACCCCTTTTGAGCTTCCTTTGGTAAATAGTGGTATTAAATAAAATACATTTAAAATTGTAGTCATCCAAGGGGGGCAATTTCACCCTATTTTGTATGAAATCTGCCATACCCAATTTTTTATTTAATATTTAACAGGTTGACCCAACAGAAATATTATGAACAAATAAGAGCACAACATGCTTCGTCCTAATCTTAATAGAAATCATGCAGCATTTTTCATTTTAGAGCCAGGAATTAGTTACATAGATCTTATTATATGGTTGTATTTTCGGGGGGGTTGAAAGCTAGGTACCCCATCTTACAATCTCTTAGTATCACAGCTCATTTGTTTCATATCTTCATTAATTAGTTTGGAGTAATTGAGAGGTCCAATGCCAGTCTTTTATCTTACTGTTATTGTGGAGCTCAACCTCTGACAAAAACACGACAAAAGCCTGGATCACTCTTCCGCCGTTGGGAGTGCGTTTTTCGAAGCCCCAAGATGTGAATACAAATCGGCGACACTAAAAACAGCCGTAAAAGAAAGTGCAAATGCATTGTACTCACAGCGTGGCGAGCTGACTCATGTTGCTGAAAGTGAAAGGAGCCAACATGCTGATGCTGTTGTTGCTCAGGTCCCTGTCAAAACACAAGTGGTGTCAGAAAAGCACACGCTCTACTGTATTCATAGGATCCATTTTTAACATTGTAAAAGCAGTTCTTACACCAATGACAGCTGTTTGAGACTTGGTAACTCCTTGGGCACAGATGTCAGCAAATTTCCCTCCAGATAACTGTAAAAAAAGAATACAGGACAAATATACCTCAATTTTATCCAAGAAACTTTCAAGAAGGGAATAGCTATGACTTCATGGAGAGATTATAGCTATTTTTATATCAAATATATGGTAGCCATGGGCCAAACAGAGGCATACTGAACAAAATAATGCTTGGAACCCATAATCCAAGGTTCAGCTGTTTAGGTTTGTTATGCAGCTAGAAATAAAACACTGAATCATTTGTGGATGTTTGTTAAGCCTTGAAAATGTTATAATATACAAAAAAGGTCTATATTAAAATGTAGTATTTGTTGTGTCTGTGTAGGGTGCTCCGGTTTCTCCTACCACTATAACATGTACATTATCTGACTGTAAACCGGTCTGAATGGAACGATTGAGTGAACGGATGGTGATGATTGGAGGCTAAATGCGCCAGGGGTTCGGCGTCTCGCTTCTGTCATCACCTTGAATGGAATGAATGGAAATCTCCTCAAATCGTAAAGTGTTTTGTGTGACATTGCTTATTTACTGACTTAAGAAAATAGTGACGATGAAGTGGACCTACTTCAAGTCAATTCCAAAATCTACCTTTGTAGGTCATGCAAATATTTAACCTGTTTGTATAATCCTGTACTACATCAGCGAACATTCATAGAGATTTATTTGATAACTAATCAGTCACAAATCAGGATGAAATATGTCGCCACTGCACGGATGGACACGCTGTTTCAATCATTTGTCTTTAATGAAGTGTCTGCTCAAAGTGCTGCTATAACTAAAAAACATGCCTACCAATCATCACCCTCAGAAACACCCATCTTTTCGCTCTCCTGGCCTGGGCCTGAGCCTCTTTTCTCGCGGGTCATAAGTAGGTCATGCATCAGTATGATGGAGTGTCTTCTTCAAGCTGATCAATACCTAATCACTGCTATTGACCCTGCTCCGACCCGACTACACAGCGGCCCATTTCACAGCCTCAGGGCGCGGTGTAAAGAATAATTCACCTCAGCTTCTAACTACACCTCTCCGCTTTATCGAAATGATGGCATGCAATCTTTGTCAACTGGATGTTGACATTTACAATAACTTTGCTTGGCATTTTCGATGTGTTTAACGTCCTTCGCTTCAAATGGTCTTCCAATTTGAAGACACGTCCGGAAATGGCTGCATTAGTGAACGATAAATAGTAAATAGGAAAAAAACAGTCCCTACTTTTTCTATTTTCAAACCAACCAGTCGATTGCAATCAATGGGCACATCTCAGGCCAATTTATACAAAATGAAATAAATAGAATATATTGCCTTGTATTCCTTTTTTTTGTGCAAATATTATAAATCATTCTAAGGAGATGCGAAGGTTACATGATTGTAAATGTAAGGACAGCATTTTCATTTCTTTTTACATGGAAACTGATTGTGAGCGTTATAACCCTGACTGTTGTCTACTCCTGGTGTATTATTAGAATAAAAATATAAAAAAATCTCTTACATACTGTACATTGACTGTCTTTTATAGCCAGCTGTTCGATTAGTACTTTCATTCTTACAATCAATTTTGTTTCAGTCTCACTGCAGAACATACATACATACAAAGTTCATGCCTATGGAACATGGCAATCTGCTGCATCAGTATTGCGGTACCATAATACGCTCCTGTGGTTACGACTTTGCGTCTCAGAAATTCTACATGAACCACGACCATTCCGCTTCCAAATCCCCCACTACCTTTGGCCACGAAACTGCGTTAAATATGCATCAGCAGTGACATATGCGGGTTGAAAACTCACAGCTCTGTGGTGTCCTTGGGAATGCCCTTGGGGAGAGAGTGGAGCCCTCTGTTGCTACAGCGCACCACACCATCTGAGCATGTGCAGGCGTCCGGACAGGCGGCGGTGGGGAGGCAGCCATTATCCTCCATACCTGGGGAGAGACGCAGGACATGAGCGACAAACCGTAGCTAAAAGAAAAGACGAGTATTAGCATTAAGGTTTTATATTTTCACCAAATCTGATGGAAAGATACGAGCGTGGCCAAAGCTGGAGTTAAAAGCACATTAGGAGCGAACAGACATCCAGAAAGATGCAATTTAAAGATAGATGAAGACTTGACATGTGGCGCAGGGGTAACTCCGACTAACTCTCCAGTCAGCACTTTTGGAGTGTTTTATAATCCATATGAAATGACACAAGACTGCTAAAATCAGCGACTCTGCTCTGTATGAACATCTGGCTCAGCGCATGTAAGGGAGGTCACAGAGACATTAAAAACCTCAAATGACTTGAGAAATCCCGTACAGATGTGGGAAAGAGGAGGCTGCGAAAAGTCATGTAGTGTGAGGTCAAATACCGTCTGAATCAAAGTTATAAAACGGCTATAACTTTGATTCAGTCATTTCGGGACCAGGAACATCCAAGCAATCGCAAGTGTTACGCGATAAGACAATCACTCATCATGTTATTGTGTTTGGCTGGTGAAACTACTCATTTTCGTGACACATAAACAGTTGAATGATTTTTATCTCATGCTTCAGTGTGCAAATAGGAGACATGGTCCCAAATGTAAAACAAGCTGAGTTAAAAGCATAATGAAGGATAATGAAGGCAGGACACTTTGCCAATCACAACAGGACAGCAATTTCTGTGTTTATCAAAGGACGTCAAGTTTTTTAGCATGCGCTTGGGTTAAAATGTTCAAAATTGTAGTTTTGTCCGGCTGAATGTGCACAATATTATCAGATATCGCTATAGCCTAAATTTGCGATTAGCGTTTGAAAATGGTCTGCTAAAGAGAAACAAGCGGGATTGTTATTATTAAACCTACTCAATGCAACAATATAGCAATATCAAAAGCCAGATTTGTGTGAGAGTGGTGGTGGTTAGAGGAGATTGGCAGCCTTGCTTCCGTCGGCCAACCTCAGGTCAGCTGCAGCAAGTGTGGACATGAATATGGAAGGAACTGGGAAGCAACATTGACCGTCTGGAGAAGCACTACTGTACATACGTCTAATGTATTATAATTACAATGTATTACTATAAGGTACGTTTATAAACATAGATTGAGTGGACTACAACAAATCTGAGGTAAGACATGGTATTCATCAGACCAAAGTTAAGTCGACAGTGCTGGCTTCAATAAAAAAATAACAATTTGCCTGATAGGGATCAAGCTATTTGAATTGTGCTGAGTTTAAGTGCACTTTGTGTGACATTGTGTGTGCAAGATGCATTAGTGAATATTAAGCTCCGATACCATCTTTTCCTGCTTGAGCCAACCCCGCTAACTACTTTCCAAACTCATTTTCACTAAATGGTTGCAGCACGGCTACAGGAAATTAGAAAAGTGTAATGAATTCAAAGTGACTCTGTGGGGGGAAGGAACAATACTAATGCAGAGGCTTAGAGACAAGACGTAAAGAAGAGATGGATGAGACAAATGATGCAATCATTGTGTATGATAATTGTCTCTCCTTCAATTGGAGTGCAAAAAATATTTTTTTTTAATTTTTATTCAGTATTATCAATTTTTGATTTTTGATGTTTTGATGTATTAATATTTTGATATAAACATAGATCACAGCACACATGTCCAACAGAAGCATATGGTTGACAAGATTTTTCAACATTCATTCACTCATTTTCAACCCCTTTATTAGTCCGTTTCTGGATTGGCAATGAGAGCAGCCACCTAATGCTCATAGCACCAGTCCCTCGCTGATCCTCTGCAGGTGGTGAGTACACAGGAAGATGGCTGCTCCATCAGTGGAGAAACAGCCTTGGTCTTTCAGTGGGGGCTTCAGGCAATGTGGGGTTAAGTGTCTTGCCCAAGGACACTACAACTGCAGGCATTTGTGGGAGCAGTTGGAGTAGGTACCATGGTTGGCTCGAACACACGACCTCCAGGCCCAAAGGCCAATGCTCTACCAACTGAGCTACTGTTGCCCCCCCTTTTTCAACAATCAATCTTAAATACTATATAGGGGGCCAAAAGTCTTTATTTTTCACGGAATCAAATCGCTTCAAAGTATATTGTATATTGCATCAAATCAAACATACAATATATCGGGGTATGTATCGTATTGGCCAAAAATACCCAGACTTACATTTTAACTTCTACTACTACTAGTAGAGCTTGCTTGCTTACTTTCTTACTTACTTACTTACGTACTACTAAAGGTATTGGAATAGTGGAAAGTAGTTTTACCGTCACATGTGAAGTCTGGCGTGGCCACATCTTGAATGGGGATCTCCTTGAGGAATGCTGGCTTCTGACAGCGAGGGTTTCCACTCACGACTCTGGTCTTCTTCAGCCACTGGCCCAGCCACGCCAAGTGACAGTCGCACACATACGGGTTGGACAGGAGGTTACTGTCAAAGGAACAAAAACAAAAATGAATAACTTAATGCCAAATGCACAATGATATTCCCAAGGCAATGCAGACAAAAATAGGTCACCCAAAAGAATTGTTTTTATATGATAAAAGATCAGCAAGTATGAATATTTATTGGGTAAACTGGTGGCACTTGGGACTAGTTCTATACAATGGTGAGTGCACCGCATTCAAATATATCAGATTGAAAGACAAAGTCAGTAGAGGGCAATGAGAAAAAGAACAAAAAACTGCCACAAAAGAAAGGTTAGCATTGTTTGGCTTTCCAAAAACTGTGAATGGAAGAAAAGGTTATCCGCTTTTTTCATTGAGAGCACTTAAATTGTCTAAATGTATGAAGAAATAGAACAAGGCGCTGTGAATAATTTATCTGATTACCTCTTTCAAAGATTATTATGATTCTGTTGAAAGTTTTGCATATACTCGCACAGCTCTATATTAGTGCACGTCATATTGAAACTGCTTAGTGATAAGGGTGAGTTATTTTCTAATTTCCTTGTAATGAATTGACCTCCCTGCTTGGCAACCAGGCTTAAGCCAAATCCTTTCCTTCCTCTTCAAAGAGTTTAATCTCTTAATTAAATGACCAAACTCTACTGGGAACCCATGTATTAATGGTGGTAGATATTACAGACAAGAGAAACACAATGTCGAATCTACTGAGAGGTGTAAGATGAATGCTAATGAACCACAGTGACAGGTATGAAGGAGCGACATCTTATCGCTCTATTCTTGTAATCACTGACAGGAACACTGAGCAAACTCATGTAATGTCACAAAGCACAATGTATCCTATATCTGCTACTTGTCTCGTCTCCTCCCAGAAACATTCAGCAAAAACTGGCAGCGAAAATGACATGTACACAGTGGAGCAGAGTGGAAAACATGTTGCAAGAGAGAACAAAGGGAACAAAGATGTCACAGCTCCAACAGCAAGTGGTGACTTCAGCAGAAACAAATGTATTGGACAAATGCAGCCTCGCGGAAATTCAATTCTGGAAGACGTCAGCCAAAGCCACCCCTTCCAGGCCGGCCTCGCATCCCCAGCCTATTGCACAGCAAACGCCCATTTCCAACCAACCTACGCCGGCCAGGCCAGCCGCTTAAAAGCGGAGAAACTCCCACTTTACGGCTTTCTCGAAGCCTTGCAAACCACCGCCTCCCCTCCTCCTCCTTTTTCTCACCCTGCCTCAATCATGGCTCTTCCTGCTGCCCGAATGCCGCCACCAGTGCCTAGGTTCCGGGGGATTGTGCGCGCACTCTCGCAGGAGCCTCGCTGACTGAACGCCGCACCGGGGCCTAGGGCGCCAAACTATCTTTCAATAAAAACCTTCAAATGCATTTTGTCTCCTCAAAGTCTCTCCAGATTGAAAAGCAATAATAGGCAGAGAACACTGGAACAGTACAGGCTAACCCTAACCCAAAAGGGCCTATGATCTATATTAATGATAATGATAAAAACTACAAATGGAATAAATCTTCTGAAAGACATATTCACCTGCAAGTTTATGTCATCGCTTCGATTGCTTCAAAAAGTTTGACAGTATGATCATCAACGTTTCCATCTTGCATGTATTACTGAGAAGGGTATAGTATCTCCACAGATCTGAGTAATTGTACCAGAATATTCCTTCATGCAGTTCAGAGGAAAACATTAAATTGTAAACTCGCAGAATTCAAGATGAGATGTCAGCTGTAGTCACAGAGCAGCGCTCAGGGACCCATCTCCAGATGTTCGTGCTCAGCTTGGTCAGATATACCAGAGCTGGAAGAGTTTTACGCATTGTACATGTTATTAGTGGTGGAGAGGGGAGAACATGCAAACGCCACTCAGAGAGACCCTGTTTGGAGGATGAATCAAACCTGGGACCTTCTTGCTGAAAAGCAAGATTGCAAAGCACTCATTGTCCATGCTGCACCACGGTGGCTGGTTAATAAGTGAGTGCCTTGGATTTTTGTATTTTAACATATTGAGATTCCCCTCACCAAGGAGCACCTCATCTTCTGACTGCCATTACTAATTGAGGTCCAGGAAGTGTTCTGGTTGTTTATTGTCTAATTGTCAACAAATTAATAAATAATCTAAACACAATAACTGTATACCAAAAGCACAAAACAATTAAAAGATTCAGGTTCATAAGAAAACAACAGTTGAAAGGAGAGGAACCTGCCCTGGTCTAAACAGGTAGAGTGCATGTCCGCCTCACAGCGGCATCAACAGGAAGAGCCAATCAAAGGCTGCAGATGCTACGCCCCTCCTGATACAGTATGTGTGCGCTTGTGTGGCTCTGCAGATGCTGAGATATATATAGCTCTGATAACAAATGTCCTGGGATCTGGACCAATCTTGTCGATAATGATGGAAAGCATCTGTGAGGAGAACACTATCCACGGAGCAACATGTGAGCAAGTGTGTGTCTGTGTGGGAGTGTGCCAGATAACTTCCACAGCAGGGAACGACTTTGAAAAATTTGAGGATGGAGAATGAAGGATGGTGAGGTCGGTTGCTGATATGAACGAGATAAACACAACAAAAAAGGATGAAACAGTGACTGCAGGTTGAACTCACATGGTGGAGAGGGAGTGCAGCGTAGAGAAGGCTCCTGGGGCAATGCTGGAGATGTGGTTGTCGTAGAGAGACAGAAGACGCACAGAGCTCAGTCCAGTGAATGTGCTGTTGTCAATGCAGCTGATTTGGTTGCTTCGCAGCATCCTGGGAGAAATGCAATTACACATCTATAAGATAAAGTTTAAAATCATCACAACAAACTATGGTAAATGTTGTGCATACTGCATGTTTAATTGGTAATGTGCATTGACAATAAGAGAAAACCAGATTGATTAAACCTCTACTGTAATATGTAATGTAATACATTAGCTTCTGACCTACAGTACATCATCTGGAAACAGACTAACACAGTTAGTTGGCACTGGAAATCTGTGGGACAAGCTAACCTAGTTAGCATGCTATTATTGGAGCAGGGAGGCCTTTAACATAATACAGAGACTGTCTTGATGCCATTACAAAGTCATTAGTTTGCCTATATAAACATGATAGCATTTACCTTGTCACTATTGAAGATTAACAGGCAACATTAGCTGCAGATTTGGTACCATGGTCTGAGCCCTAACTGGATATTAGTTCCTTTATGGCGGTTGGCTTGACCAGACAGAAACATTTCCTCACTATAACCTATAAAAATGTATATAGATAACTGCACATGCTGTTATGACCATAATTACAAAAAAGACCCACAGTGTCTTGAGGCCAGTGAGTCCTCTGAACATGCGTCCCTGAAGCCCGGTCAGTTTGTTCCCGGTCATCAGCAACTCCAGAACTCCAGCTGCTCCGTCAAACGCGCCCTCTCGGATGTCCCGGAGCTTGTTGTTGCTCAGGTTACTAAAAAAGAAATATGATTAGGATCAAGGCTGACCAACCACATTTATATCAATCAATCAATATGTTTATTTCAAAACCTGTACCCCACAATTTGACCAGAACATGAACAGACAGTGTTTTAACATCACAGCTATTTTGTGCATTCTAACATCTAGAAGGCACAAGCGGAATTAGGAATAGCAGATACAGGGATGAGACGCAGGAGGATGCAAAGTTTGAATTGCAAAGAGGAACAAGGAGAGAGAAAGCATTAAGAGGAGTGAAATGGAAATGAGCGCAAGCCAATCTATATCATCAGTGACACCGCGAGATGGTTAGCAATTTCCTCACCAATAAATCAAGAGCAACTCTCTGCTGTGTCTTTCTCTATCTGGCACTGACGCACACACAGCCAAGAGGAGGCTGCTGATAACGCCTGACTGTAAATCTCCACTGAAGGCCCATCTTCCATTTACAATGAATATGCACTTCCGTGGTATCCACTTTGCACCTGCCGCCTTTGCTGCCTATTGCTGCTGCTTTATTTCAAAATTCTAATAACTTTCTTTTCTCCCATTCTTCCATCTCCATCTAATTTTTTATTGGAGTCAACGTTGATCAGGTCAGGTTGTATTGCTAGAAATTTAACATGCATAACATTCAGCTATGTTGTGCAATACATTATAAGACTCCTATGTCAATATATTAATTAAATAGAAGCATCAAGTTCAGTGATTTCTGAAATGAAATGATCCTATCTTGGCCACTATAAACTATAGGCGCTTACAACGCAGCAGATCACTGTGTATTGCTCTGGGTACAAATGGTACTTTACAAACAAACTTGCCTTGCTGATGGACTAAAGAACTTCTAAAGACTTGCAATTCATCATATTCGTTTGAATATCCTAGTGAATACCAAACTCTTCAATGAATTTGATTAATGACTTCAGATGTCTGCTGTTATCCCAGAGAAAACCCTTGCAATTTATATGAAATAATAATAAAAACTCTAAATTTAAATGTTCGACTAAACGAATAGACAGACAGCCTAGATAGAAGTAAGCAATGGATGTTGTTTATTCTTGACAAAATGGCTGCGATGCTACCCAATTAGGAGCAGGAGAAAGTAGTAAAATATTCTTGATAAGTTCATTTGCATTAAAGTCACAACTGTAAGTGAGGTTAAGAAAAATATTCACTTTTGAAATGTTGCACCAATTTGTCCCTTTCACAAAGACATTCATAAATATTACTGGTATTTAATTTCCGTGGGTACTATTTCCATTCAAAGGATATTTTTGTTGTGTTTGTGTGAAAAAGAAACTTGCTTGTGTTCTTTATGCTAAGAGTTTTAGGAAATACTTACATCTTTCTCAAGTTTGGCAACTTCTTGAAGGTCCCCGTTGCCTCAAGAACAGCAATCTCATTGTCGTTTAACCGCCTACAGAGGGAGAGAAGCGGAGTAGAAGAATCAGTACATCACATTTACACATTTAGATTGATCTGAAAACATGACTGAACTGTGGCTGAGGTAAACGGCCCTTTTGTGTTTGCACTAAACAAAAAGCGCAAAAAAACCCGTAAAGGAGGAGGGAGAAGCATCGAAGACAGGAGACGCCATGAATCTTTTCAATGCACTCATCAATACACAAACTGCCCCGAGCCCAGGGAAAACAGTCTGGGAGATAGGAGCTCGACATCTGCTTTATTGAGGTAATTTGTACTAAAGGGTGCACCTAAAAGAGTGCACTTTGGGTGTATTTTTTGATAGAGATAAAACGTGCAGGCAGGTTAAGCTGGAGGGACGCTTTTTTGACGACAAACAGGCGTATGAATGGAGACAGAGGTCGATCTAGGTCAATCTGGGACATTACAGCACTGGAACAGTAACAATGAAAACTAAATTAACATATATATAATTTGATTTATACAGTATTTACACTTGCTAATGTGAGCTGTATTATTCCTTATTTATCATGTTGTGGCCCTTAAACATGAACAAATGTTCAAATGTTTCAAATGAAAAGCATGTTTCAAATTATAAAAGAAACCAACAGTCTTGTTGTGGCCAGTCAACCATTTTATTTTTTTTGGAAATCTGATCTCCTGAACTAATTTCTCTGTATTTCATTCCCCTAATGCATTTGCAATAATACTAACTCGATTCAGCTATACAATGGACGAATAATATGAACATATCAATTTACATTGGATGGAGCTGAAGCAGCTTTAAGCCGCTTTAAAGCCGATTGCTTATTGTATGACTGGCCACTGAATTCTAGAGATGCTAAGCTTTACAATGATATACGGCATGTGTATACTTATACGCAGAACTTAAGTTAGCAGGATGATATTGTGAACTTTCGTTTATGATAAAAAAAACCCAGCAAAAACGGATTATCAATGTATCGCCAGAGATTAGAATCTGTGTTTGTTTAAAGATTAGACCCCAGTCCACTGTGTCACTACACAAGCATCTCCCCTTTAATTAACACAATTCTGCGGGAGAAATGCTCAGGACTTTCAAGTTATTCCTCAAAATACAACTGAACATTTCTCTTAGTCTGTTTTAAGAAGTGGCATTTCCTTCTTTAGTGAACCGTGAGAGACCTGTGTCAAGAATCGCAATGGCTGGTAGAAAAACAAAGAATGTATCTAGATGGAAAAGTATCTAGAGACATAGCATATATATATATATATATATATATATATATATATATATATATATATATATATATAGGCTTGAATCTGAGCTCTCACTGATTTCCCCTGATAAAGCAGGTTACATAGGCTACACAGGGATGACTGAGCGTATGGCCTTTGAGAAACCCCATTGGCTGTTCTTCAAGAAAAATTGTCAACAAACATGGGATGCTGGAAATAGGCGGAACATGATGTGCCCTCTAACCAGGCGTAAAGGACAGAGCTGGGATTTTTACTTGACACGTTGTACCCTGGGAGTGGACGGAGGGAAAATACAAGAGGGAAATCTTAACGAAAGAGCAACAAGTGAGGCGAAACAGCCTCGGCTAAAGTGACATTAGGACTTATTTAATGTGGCAGTCAGGGTTGAACTTATTATTACACTACAAACGTGTATAAGTATTCACTGATACTATTTAAGAAGCTACATTCTGCAGTGGTCCCTTATTGTTGAGATATACAAGTTTACTACAGGCTGGCTTACACACTCTCAAAAAACATTACCATAGAGGACCCATCTCCCATCACGCATCAGAAATATGCCCTCAAAGTATAATTTATGAAATCCTCAAGAAAAACATCACATTTAATTCACGAACCAAGCAAGCCAACAACAAGTAATGAATTTTAGCATTTGGTTTTCAAAAGCTGCTAGTGAACATTTCATCCTCTATAACTTTACAGACACAATTCTGATTTGTTGAGTCCAGACAATAATCAAAATCAATCACGTTTGTCAAATACGTACTAATGCAAAACGGCATGAATGAAGATTTTCAGAAAACAGTAATTTTCTTCCTGACTGTAACAATAACAGAATGTTAAGGTTTAATAATGTTAAAGCATAATCAGAAATGACATCAATTCCCTTTATTTTACTGTAAGTTCTGGGAGCACGCCTTTTCAAAATATTTGATCCTGGAATCCATTTTGTCACACCCTTTGCTTTAAATACCCATGTTATTTTCTATCCAATATGCATGGAGGTGTGTTAACCTATTCACAGTGGAAGTAGGGCTGGAAAAACCACCATATACACGACATGCCATTGTTAAAAAATAAATAGATAATCCATAAGTGACATACAGTAAGTATATATGAATATACGATAACAAATATAAGGACGATTTCTCATAAATCTCTGGAACACTTCATGTGCAGTGACCAGAGCGTCAGGATCATCACAGTCTTTATTTCACTTTGATAGCACCAATAATCCTGGGGACATGAGCCCCATGCAGGAGAAAAGAAGAATATAAAACGTCTTTAGATGCTATACCTGAGGCTTTGTCTTGCTGTTACAGTCACATGATTGGTGTCTTTGAATCAAAATGCACGACTAGATAATAGAGAACTATAGAGATTGTGAACTGTCAATCTTTTGGTTTTTGCCCCAGCCATAATTGGAGGATTATACTGTTTCTACATTGTGTTATCATCTGTTATGCACTGTCCATATTCAGAGGACTAATCGCCCGACACACTGCTCAGTATTCTAGAGTGGGACCCTCCTCCAGACACAGTGAAGACTCTTTGGGGAAAAGACTTGGTAAGAAAAGTCTGGAGACACATTTAGCTGGAGGATGTGCTTATGAACACAAGACGTGTCTGCAATATGGCAGTTTCTCTCTGCTACAAATCTGGGGAAAAAGAGTTTGTCATATTTACAAAAAATACTTGGACAATGCACCGGTTATGTCCAAAAAGTAGTAGGTGTATTATTGCATTTGTAGGATTTATGTGCATAGCTGTTTCACTATTGACTGAGTACTTGAACATTCAGATGGTAATGTGTCTACAGAAAGTAAAGCGGAGAGGAGCACTTCACTGTGGCAAGCATTCAATTTTCTTTTACTTCTTTTTATTGTTGAAAACGACTTCAAGGCATTTCTAAATCCTACAGCCTGCAAGCTGACTTTTCAAATAATTGAAAGTAAATACGGAGCAGTGGGCGAGATGTGGGGAATTCTCTGAACACTCAAGCCTTGGATGAATCAATGGATATTCAACTTCACTTGTCTTAACATATGCTAATTATAACGATCATAACAATGGATAGAAGAATACATTTGCAAAATCAAAATGAAGTATGTCTCCTTTGAGAGCGTACTCCTTGTGCTTTGTTACGTTAACACTATTACAATATTCTTTGGCACTATGCCATACACTTGAATTTCAACCAGAATTTTCAGCTAATGTAAACAGCCACAGAACAGAAAATCAATCTGCACATGTGACTTACAGGTCGGTGGTGTGTTCCGGAACGTGTGGGGGGATGCGGGTCAGTTTGAGGTTGGAGCAGTCCACCACAGTGCCTTCACAGCGACATTTCTCTGGACAAACCAAGTCCTGGAAACACTCTCCACTCAGACGGCTGCGGTAGTCCTCCTGACCTGCAGAGGGAAAAAACACATTACTATAGGATTATTGGGTTTGAACACTCACAAAAAACACATTGCTGTGTGTCGCTATCATAATGACTTGATACTGTCCAATCACTAAGAACTCTGCGGTGATTTAATAACTAATACCGACAATGGAAATATGTAGCTCATATTAGAACTTAGAATGCATACAGTGGGTTTTACCTCACATTTCACCTTGTATTGTTATTTATGAGAAAATGTGTTCTAATTTGGAAAATTGGTTTCAAATTTAAAATTGTACTATGAGTTGCAGGTATGACATACAGTATACAGTGATCTGGAACTGATACCAATCACTTAAAACTCTCAATTTACACAATAATTATGAACACTATTATTACTTTTTTTTAAACTACGGATTGACTGCTTTTTTCATGTCGAAAGGAACAAAATCATCACATAAAGTGATATGAAATGATTTATACCACATCTTTCAGTAGCAGGGAAAGTGTGATGCAAAACAACAAGAATCATATTTAGTGACATATGCTCAGTGCTGCTAATGCTGAAATCATTCTTGAGCAAAACCCATATACTCCAAAATATTCAGCTCCAAGTGTCCGTTGTGATTAGCTAGGAAATGCAGGTGGGCGTGTGCCGGGCGGTCCCTGGCGCTTGACGGAACCATGTGAGGTCACAGTATGCGGGGCCACATGGTTAGATCAAGCACAAGAGACAGCTGCACAGAGAAGGCAGGTCCACACAGGAAGGAGGCGGGGCAAATCAGTGAGCTGAGCCAATCAGCAGTCAGTCATGGGCGGGGCGCATCCATACAGGTGAGCAGAGCCCACCAACATATGTCCAGACACGTCCAGAGAGGAAGAGGAGGTGCAAGGCATGGTACGGCAAAGAGGAAGGGTCCAAGCAAAGAACTCACCCACACTGCTTTAGACTAGGGGAAAATACCATTACATGCATGCTAAGGAGAATTCATTTTAGCTGGAACGCATATAAAAGTTAACAGAACAAAACTAAAAATATTTAAACATTTCTGCAGTTAATGATTCACACAGGGAAGAACATTGAAAAAGTACTCTGCAGGAACCAATGCTGAAAAGCAGGTATCATTTAAGTGAATAAAATGTTTTCTATCTAACTTTCCACTGGTGTTTTAGTGAATATATAGTACATAAACTTGTTCTCTTCCCCTGCAATATAGACTCATTAGCAACAATGATTTCTCTAATTAGGTGAATTTATTGAACAAAACATGTGTCTGTGACCCTTTTTAGTGTGCAATATAAAACCCATCTAAAAAAAATAAAAGGAGCGAGAAAGCATGAGTCTGGGGAGTGTAAGAATCCATATAGATCTAAGTGTGGATCACACTGCTCCCCAGCTCCTAGCCTGTCGTGTAATTATTGAGACTCACGGCTCAAAGGAAATAACTAAATAAATAATAAGATTCTAGTATATCAGGAAGGGCTGTACGATATTAAAGACATATCTATTTGTGACAACAATCTGATTCATGATTCGAATTTGGTTATGAAACTAGGACTTCAAAAGCATGTTAGCAATGCACTAGGAGAATTCCAACCTGAGAGTATACTGGAACTTGAGAATTTGACAATGCTTTTGATGTTGAACTGTGCTTCTTGCTAAGCTAGACTGGACAGGACTTTCCTTGTGCAAAATAAGAAAATACTACTTTTTTGAAGCTGTTTTTACCCTGTATGACATTTGCAACTATGCTTGCTTTTCTAAACCTGTTTAGAGATGTGAACACAAGAAAAGCAGGGCAATAACTGGATGCTGCCCCCATATTTGACACTGAGGACCCATTGAGAGTGATGCAGTGTTTGTTTTGAGCCAGACACCATGTTTTACATTTGGGCCAAAAAGTTCGATTTTGAACTCATCTGACATGTTGGATGTGTCCCCCGTTAGGTAGCCCTAGTATTCAGGGCAGAAGCTTCTAATACAGAGGCCGTATGTGGCAGATATGATGAGGAGTAATGATATTGTTACTAAGCCATCCACAGTATACATCTTCTTTGAATTACCTGTGCATCTGAACTTCTTGCCTTTGACCTGGCTGATGCGCTTGTTGGCCAGTCTACGAGGATGGCTACAGCGCGCACCACTCGTCTCTATGGGGTTGTCAAAGAGGTAGTCAGCCAGCCACTTCAGATGACAGTCACACATGAATGGGTTCTGTGCCAGGTGACTGGGAGACAAGACAAAGGAACAGCACAATTAAAAAACAATTAGGGACAAAATGTGTTTGTCACATCAACTAGCGCCACACAATCTGTTTTAAAATGCAATTTAAGTGCTATTTAATGGACTTTGGTTTGTATTCTGATCAAGTATACTTGCAAGGTAACTTGGACAACACAGAGCTAAGAAAACTACATATTTCAACCAATTATTTTGCATTTCTTTGAAGATTGTACATTCTTCTCCATTCATAGAGGCAAAAATTGTAAAATAGCCAGAGTGAGACCTCTTTAACAGCAAGGATCTTTCTCTTTGTGTTTGAGCATTTTTTGCTCTCTGCGTCTGCTTCTTTTGTCTTTCCTGAAGCTAAAGTTCCATGTTTTGGACATTTCTGCTCTAATTTTCACCAGGATCGATAGTGCATGAGTGAGTTTGTTCTGGACAATGACAAAGCAGTAATTTCCAAGTTGTGTGTGACTTCTCAAAGTAAAAACAAGCATATGCATGAGGGAATTTACACATATTATAAGTTAATACACATCATTGATATATGATCATTGAAGTGGTATGGATAGTGAGGAGCTTTGTTTTGCCTTGGGTAACGCACATGCCAAAATTGCAACGGGGATATAATTTTGAAATATCATGCAGCCCTACAATGTAATTAAGACTTTTCATTACAATTCAATTGTATTTTGTTTTCTACAAAAATAAAAAAGACTTCTAATACACAATAACAGCAGGTAGAAAGCAGGGAAGATATTGTGCGTACAGTGTCTTGATGGCGCGCAGGGGGGCGAACAGTCCTTTGCTGATGGTTTGGAGCTTGTTGTCGTAGAGAGACAGCAGATTGAGGTTCTGCAGGTCTTGGAAGGTGTTGACCCGGAGGCAGTTTATTTTGTTTGCATTCAATAACCTGAAACAAATCAATATGAATAACTTCATTATTATTCCATTCCTACAAACATAATTCATAGACATTCTGTGAAGTCCAATGTTTCCTCTTCTTCATTTTTTTTATCTTTGGTCGTGACATAATCCCAGACAATCCCAGACAATACTATTCACTGCTGACTGTAAATACCAGATATTGACTGAAATTGTAATGTCTTACTTTACTCAAAAAGCAGTAGGAAAAAAATTTAATTTAGTGGATGGGTGGAATAATAGATTGAGACACTGAGCCGACAGGTGAAGATTTAATTTGGACTGATACGTTTAGTGGAATGGCCCGGCAGCCAGAATAGAGGAGGGAAATGAGAAATGTGATCGAGGGATTAGGTAAACGACAGGAAGAGGGCCATGTATCTGACATTTGTTGGCTGTTGTAACCAAGATTTCATGGCTTTATTGAAAAATGCTCAATCTACTGTAAATACTGCAACTCTATGTCAGATTGGGGATGGACTGGCAAAGTTCCCTTTTAAAACTGCAATTATTTGCAACATACTCAGAAGTACAGTCTGAGCACATTTTCCCTTGTCTTCATCTAATTTAAAAAATACATATCTTGCCATCATGTGAGAGATAGCCACATGGGATGATATATGACAGTTTTAGATACGCGTTGATGGGTGGAAGGGTTTCTCCTTCGCTTTTCCATCAGAAACAGCTTCTAATGAGGTGCTTTGAAAACTAGACACCCAAATGTATTTATTGTATTATAGCATGGAATTGATCAATAGATTACTTTTACTATAAATTCTCAGTTTAAACAGCTAATAATACTGCCATTAAATGATTATTGAATGTAACGTAAATCAGAATTTTTAATCCATGCTTATCCAAACAAGAACATCACAACACACGCACACGCAGACACACACACGTACACACACACACACACGCACACACGTACAGGTGCGTCAAACACACCCAGCCGCCACATTCACGCCTCATTAGTCTGCTCAGAGGGGGAACTAATTACTTCAAACGGCATCACTAAAACAAAGCAGTGCAAACAATATAATAAAGAGCGGCCTGGTAGCTATACAAAGCAATAAACACATGACAGCTGATGTCCTGCATGATTTACCGCTCAAAGACAATAGGCTTTTCAATAATGTTCCTGTGTGTTTCAATGCAATTGGCTATGACAACCTGAGAGCAATGTTGAGGGAAATATTCACTGTGATTTTATTCATGTTTTTCCAGTGACATTTTTAGTTGTAATTATTTAGCAAACAAAGGGGTAGTATCAAAGTGATTATCAGTTACTTTTAAAATTGTGAAGAAAGGGTGAAACTTTGTCAGACAAGCCCTTACTGGCCCAACCCATGCTAGAATGCCCGTGCAGAGCTATTTCAGTTATTGTACTGTATATTTTGTTAGCAGTTTGTTGCTTTAGTACTATATCATCAGTGATTGTTGTACGGTTTACGAGAAGTTGTGCTAATGCTAATGTTTGCATATGTATCAGCTCACTACTAAAACTAGATGGCTACGTGAGAGGAGAGCGTAGAGGAGAGAGTAGGAGGGTTTCTCAAAATGGCAAGCCTGTGAGCGAGTTGGGAGGCAGTGCTAAACATCCAAACTGAAAGTATACAACAAAATCTCTCATTTCATTTTTTTTTTTTTTTTTTTGATGAACACGGAATTTTGCCACAATATTCAGATACGTAGATCGACTTTCTTTGAAACATTGAGCCACTCTGGAATAAATAACCCTGAAAGCAGGAAATTATCATTAAAATATGCATACAGTCAAAAGGGAAAAATGGTGATGTAATTTCAGATATTAAACCACATTTTGCATTCCCCTGCCTCTGCTTTGACTTTGTTCCTTATCACGCACAAGCTGTCTTTCTCCTCACCATCCATCTATCTGTTTAACCCCCGCCTACGCCGCTGCTCCCTCCCCGTGTGGGACTACCTAACATGCATCCTAATGACCCGCCTCAGCCTGCTGTAAAAGGTGTTTGGTGTAAGATCCACTCAGCCTCCTTCTCTTTGCCTTACTTCCTTTTACGACGGAAAAACCTGAGCATTAGCTGTTTCTGTGGTGGACTGCGGCATTTGTGAGGACCATATGCCACATATAGCACTAATGTATCCATTATAGAAGTCGGAGGCTGCCATACTGCTGCACTGTGAGCACTAGTCACAATTAAACAGCAAATCTTCATTACCCTATACCTTAGTGCACCATTTTGATTCAGATTGATCATTAAGTGAAGACCCCTGCAGACACACTATGCAGAGCAGATGGAAGGTTAATGCTAGAAGAGGGAGTATAGTAGGAACTGCAACTGTGCAGTAATGAAAATACCAAGTACCTGTGTGTGCCCTGTCACAAGTTACAATTCACACTGATGTATAACAATAAATAGGCTATGAAGATGTTGCTAACATTCTTGCTGATAAGGGAGTTTGTGTTCGGAAGGATAGATAGGTATTTTCTGGGTGTTTTTGTCATAAACATTGTGCATTCATTTATTCCTTCAAATAATTTCAAAAGGATTTCAAGTAGAAATAGTCTTTGCATTGTGTATAAGGCCAAATTTCTAACACAAAATGAGAACTTTTTGACATTGTCTAAAGTGCGCACAGATCTATCCACAGGTTTACTACAGAGTGCACAGAGTACTTACAACAGCTGCAGGGAGGCCAGTCCATCAAACAGTCCCTTGGGCAGCTCAGTGATCTTGTTGCCATAGAGCACCCTGCACGGGACAGAACAAGAACATAAAAACACTATCAATCAGGGCTTTTCTTGCCATTTCTTACACCCCCATTCGTTGTGCTTTCAGGTACTGCAGCAATTTACAATAACCCTTTCAAAAAAAGGTTCAAAAGTAGATACAAGAAACTTCCATTCTCTTAAGTGTCATTAAGTGAGGATGAAGAAGTGTGTCCTCTGTTTGGAATACTCCACAGCATGGGATTAAATGTTGCTTTGCCAAAATGCAACATAAAATCAAAACAATAAAAAGTAGATACAGCCTGAAAACCTTCATTTTATGCTGTTGTTGTAGTGGAAGCCGGAGCACCCAGAAAAAATCTACAAGGGCACGGGGAGAAAATGCAAACTCCACACAGACTCAAAAGCATTTCCTTCGGCTAATTGATAGTGCAGCTCACTGGATACCACAGAGAATTGTCACTACAAAGACAGATCATTCTTTGTACATATGTCGCTCAGGTGCAAGAGACTTGGAAGTCATTTGTGTCCACCACAAACATGAACATTTAACAGAAAGATATTCAATCCCAATTTACCTCCAAACAGAGCATAATTATAATTTCCACTGTTGTGCCCCTTCAGTCATGTAACCCAATATGACTGCTTTACACATTGAACACATTGTAAAAACAAATAAACTAACATTGTACTATTTCTGTATACGTTTATTACGTTCTTTTCTTAGGGAGTCTTTGCATAAAATGGTTGCTACTGATGTCTAAATGATGTCTACTGTCATTACTTATTCCAAATAAAGATGATTAATCAAAAGTTGTGGAGGTGACATCCACAACGGTTCTAATATTAAAACCACACAGCATAAAAATAAAGATTTTTCCCCCCTACTAACAGCGCTTTAGTCCATTGCTCTTGTGTGATTATGAGATTACAGTGGATCTCCTCATTTCCGTTGCAGGTATTTAATTCACTCCAGCAGTTTTATGTTTTGCGGCAGAGCGCTGTGTTCGGCCTCTGCAGCAGACTTGTGTACGTTCAGCTGAGTTCACCTTGTCTGGCCCGTCTTGTCTGCCTGTCTAATTTCCATGCTCCAAACTGATTTAAATTAAACTGTCCTTCATGTTCTTATCTCAGTCGCCCTCAGAGACGCATGGACACATAGCTTATAATTGTAAACACACATCCGTGTGTCAACGTCGGACAGCTCAAAAATGTTAAGAATTAAATGTCCAGAAGTCATGACTTCCTGGTGAATATTTGGTTCCTGGTCAAATTACTTATCATACAGTAAATAAACAAATGTGGCTGGCAATGCTACAAATAGCTCCTATTTAAACTATTGTTTTGATAAAACATACTATATACTCATTTGAGGTTATATGCCGATGGTAAACGATGAGGGCAAGCGTCAAACCATAATGTACTTAATTAAACCATTAAACCATATGTAAATGTTTATGTTGTGCACTGTGAGAACTCTTCTCTTACTTTTCCAAATACAGATTATCTTTTTAATAAGAATTGTTACTACACCAATGTGCCTGTATAGGAACAACTGGATAAACTCTAAATTATAATCTTTGTGAACCAAATGATAAATATGACCATCAAATTCCTGGAAATGTGAAAGATTACAATAAGGATATGTCCTCATTATTTAGAGTAAATTCAAAGAGTGGCTGAACCTGGACCAGTTTCACCTCAAAACTCTGAAATAAAATATGAGAACCAATAAATGAGAGATTTTTCACATTTAAAATTAGGCCAAAATTACAGGGTCTCAGCTTCAAAAAGATCCATTTGTTTGATTTAAGAGGGTTCTCCGACAGATTCAGTTGGAATTTTGACAGCATTTTGTGTTTTAGAGAAAGAATGTCAGGGTAGTATTGGGTTCATAGTGTATTTTCACTATACTGTCCACATGGTTTAGTCTGCAGTGCAGCCTTTCTATTGTAAATGTTGTGTGTTACAGTGGGACGTGGCAGGTGTCATGTACTTACAGTGAAGTGAGTGATCGCAGACCGCTGAACGCATCAGCAGCAATGTCAGAGATCTGGTTCTTACTCAGGTCGCTGTGGGAGAGAGACAAAGATGAGCACAGTGCATTACCGTAATACACAATAATGGAGTCCATTCACTGTGAACCCTGTGACAAATGATCATGAGAATACATCAGCAGAGGTCAAGGCAAGGGGACAGCACTGTACAAAAACTGTCAGAATGTAAGTAAATGAGGCCTCCAGTGTGACGGACAGGGAAGCGCCGGGGGAGAGGCAGACTGGCAGCCGCTCGATGTTAAGTGCAGTTCATGTCATGGACTTGTAACTCTGTAAAATATATAATTCAAGGCTTTTGTCTAGGTTGAAAACTCCATCCGCGCCTGAGAGTAGAGCAGAAGAGTGAGCGTAACCTTAAAGCCTCACATAAGTGTAACGTTTCAACATTTGCATCAAATGGACGTTTCTCATCACAGTTCTTTATGATGGGAGGTGTGAGGAGATGAGGTGTGGCAGAAAGTATGTCTTCAGTCTATAAAAAGCCATCATCGCACTGAAACAGCATCTATTTCTTACATTAGAACCAAGAGTATTCTGAAGCAGAATACTTCAATTTAACGTAAACAAATAATGGTAATATTATAATAAAGATCTATTTCAAATGTTGAAAGGTAATAAAGCTAAGAAATGCATTGTCTTCCTCATTACATTTTTATCTGAATCAATCAGAAAGGCTACAATACTTTTCAGTGGTTAGTCAAGCAGTTTTTAACATCACGACTCAATGACAAGGCAAGGCAAGTTTACTTGTAGAGCACAGGCAACTAAAAGTTCTTAACAAAACAAGAAATTAAAATCATACAAGGCATTACGATCAGAAATAATCATTGAACATTCAAAGGGGTCTGCTCAATGACTAATTTTCATGTCATTAAATATTACAACATCTTCAATGCGGCAGATACTAACTAGCTTCATTGCTATATGATCGTACCCATATGAAAGACTACTACTAAATTGTGTCACAATTTGAATTCATATGATCTATTAAAACGATAAAATCAATGGAGAACATTGACTAAATATATACGCATGGTACACATGAAATGAAACAGACTTACATTCTCTTGAGCTTCTTGTAGGCAGTGAAGGCTCCCGGTGGGACGCTTTTAATCAGGTTTTGCTCCAAACGGCTGGAGAGATGGAGAAAGAATAAAGTCGATTGAAACGATGAATCAGAAGAGTCCACAATAAAGCCTTTCTTTTACATATTCATTAAACCCAATCCAAAGTCTCTTTAAGCCAATATCCCCTCTGGAGAGAAGAGATCAAAAGGTGCCTGTTGTAAGCAATATCTACAGCTTTTACTTCCTTGCTCTACAGCTTGGGTCACCTCGGGTCACGCTGTGTGAAATATAGAGTGAGATTTTTCACCATAATAATAATGAGCTTACATGGGACCGGCCTCCTTCAAAAACAGAGGAACTTTACAGACTGTGAGAAAAGCTCAGCACACCAAATCCGGCACACTGACCGCCTCCATTTCCTGCGTCCACCAAATGAATGTGACCGCTGGGGCCAGGAGGTGCTGCAATGTAAATAAAGGCTAAACTAACTGGCGGAATCGGACCTGCTGTCACTCAAAAATAATGAAAGCTTTTGCTGCATAAATCGTACAAAAAAAGTGGGTGGAGAAGGCAGTGGCCCTATTCGGTCTCTCAACAGATTTCATATTGCAATTGTGATATTGGATCCATAAAATTCGGATTCTCATATTTTTCACTTGTGCGTCGTGATTGCAGGAACGGTTTGATATGGATTTTTTGAACCAAGTCAGATTCCTGATATGGTTTTTTGTGCAGTAGCCTTATTTTCTCATACTAATAATAAGACATAGCAACGGTCATGAACTAAGAAAATGCAAATCTAACAAAATGAATGATATCTCTTTTACTTCTATATCTATCTATAATGCATGGAGCATCTGTCTGTGGCTCAAATATACAGCCTGTGCCAGTCATTATGGTATACATCCTTTATTCTAAATTAGTTTTGAGAGGCATTTTCAAAACTTTTATTCATGTGTTGCTTGCTCAAAACTAAGAACAACGTTTCAATGGCAAAGACACACACATACTGTACATTATCATAGCTGGAAACATAGTATGAAAACATATTGTCCAGATAACAGCTTGAATTTCTATATCTGGGAAAACGATCCAACTATTATCAATACCAGAAATAACTTTGTAGATTCCTTCACATTATAATACTAATGTTCCTGAGGCTTGGATAAGAACATTATAAAACCATATGACCACATGTTTTGCTTAGCATTGAATTACACAGCTTGAATTATGCAAAGTCTGTTAAAGCCTACGGGACCTAATGACTTTCTCTGAACACCACATTGTCCTGCTTGAATGTCTCTATTATATTAGATACATAGATTGTAAATTGTAAAAGCTCTGTTATCGGGCCCATATCTTCTTACCCAGAAGGCATGCATTGTCTCCTGTTTTACATGGTAGCAGACTGTGGCGTACAATAGGGGCCAGACAAAATTGGGGGAGCAGAGGATGCGGTGAGGTCCCAAGGCCAGAAGCAGGGTCATCTGTCAGAATGATAAATGCGAGCTAATCCACCATTCTTGTTCCTTTTTTCTCCTCTTTAGTCAACACCATGTCCTGAATCTGTGCGTGACCTCTACTCCCTCCATCTCATGCATTCTGCTGGAGGTGTCCTTGGTTACGCCTTTTAGCATTACTCTTGCTAGCATTGGAAAAAATCAATATGGTTTTGTAAAGTGAAGGATTAATGTGGTGATATTATGGGGCAAACAAACCAGCGATGCATAAATACAAATAAATGGAAGTGGACATAGAAGTGTGAATAGGTTACCAGTCATGATGACCTTTTGTTTGGGCAAAAACTGTGGGAGAATGTTTGTGGGCAGGGATTGATAAGAGTAAACCGTGTGCTACTTTTGTTGTTGTTTTTCTCAAATACAAGATTTTTGTTCTTTTGCTTCATTCCAAAAGTCCAATATTTGGTAATATTTATTGTCTCTTTTGATGTTTTTTTAAAGTGTTTTTGAGCTACAAGCAGATGCCATTGTCCATAACATATTATCAAAGAATAATAGCCTTTAAACCTCACCAAATTGTTATGTTTTAGGTTCAATTATTATGTTTATCAATGTTTTCAGCAAAAATCCAGTTGAGGAAGTTGACTTTATTACATGTTCGTTTCCACAATAATGTATCGTGCAAGCGATAGCTCTGCAAACCTTGTGTAGTCTCACCATATGGACCCAACATTAAATAACCTCCCAAACCTTTATAGATGAATCAGATTATTTCGATTATTACAAGCATTTTTACGTCACGAACTCAGTAGCAATCTTATTTTATATATAAACTAGTAACGTAATCACCATACACTGGTCTTAAGCAATAGTTCCAATCACATCTTGTTGAATTTACTGCCTCAATTTGATTGCAACCGCCGTTCGTTGAAAGTTTAAATGAAACGCTTACGTAGCCCTAGCAAAACACTCCAAGGTGTTTTGTATTTTGGCTCGAATCCCTCTTTCAATTCACTCCCCTCGCTCCCAAGGCAAGATGTTATTTAGAAGAGGAGGTCATAATAAATAAAGAGCGTGTAGTGATATTGACTGAGACAATCTGCACATACAACAGGTTAGAAGTTATACTTAGCGCTTCCACAAGGTTAGGGCAAAGACACTTAAGGCATGTATTAGGGGAAGACCATTTGACAAGCATCAACAGAATCCATACAATCTCGGAGATGATAAAATGACAAGAGCAATGGGAGATAGATTTGACGAGACGCTTCAATCCTGCGCAGGTACGTCTTGCTATCGCCTGGAGCCTTTTGTTATATTCTCACATTTGTGCGTTTGACATGGTAGTATCAATCTACATATAGCGTGGCTTGCTAATGCATAGCTGCTTGCACAATCCTGGCAGTGATCCTTTCCACGAGCGTTCTGAAAGATGATTTTGTCGACACAGGGGGACTGACAATTCATCATCCTATTATGGCCTATTGTTTTGGGCTGCAGCTGCAACATTTGTTAGAGCGGATCCAGTGTTAAAGCAAAACAAACAAGCTACGAAAAGGCTTTGCCAAATGAATGCATATGTGGAGGATGTGTTTCGCCGCATCGATTGAGGGGAAAGGTAAATAAAGAAAGTGGTGCGCCGAGGGAAGTTTGTGTGTGAATCTATTACTTATGCAGAGGAGCTATCTGAGGGTGGCGTAACATTGCAGGGGAGAATTGCTCCTTTACGCACAGGGCAATCTAGCAGCTGTCCTCTATCCAAACAAACAGAGCGCCGATCAATATGGATATCAAACATGTCCTGCTGCGCTGTGCAGACCAGACAGTAGCAAAAGCAACAAACTCGTGTCAAAGGAATTGGTAATTAAACTTAAGCAAGGCGCATGGAAAATTGTGTTAACGTAATAGGGGTGGGAATAACAAATTTAATAGAGGGAATTGGAGGCCCAAACTAGTGTCATGCTGTGTTGTCTGTGGTTAAGTGCTTGATTATAACTTACATCTCCACAATGCCCTCTGGCAGGTTGGCAGGGATCTCAGTCAGGCCTTTGCGGCGACAGTCCACGATGTTGTTGTTGCAGCTGCAGCTCGCGGGACACACGGCCACAGGAGGGAGGCACGGTTTGGACTCGGTCTGAGCCGGACCTGTCGACATTAAAGTACGTAATTTACATCTGCAAGTCAATAGGATGGACGGGATTCCTCTGTGTACACATCATTTCAAAATTCTAGGTATACATATGAACCGACAAAATCCGATGACATAGTAGTAGATAAGATATGAGAACTGGTGGATTTCAATGAGCGGAATAGACCTAAATGTTCAATTCTACCCAAACAAAGGGACTGAAGAAAATGTTGCATTCAGTATTCTACTTATAAGTCTAGTGCAACCTATTGGAAAACGATACAACTCCAGAATACAATTTTTTTGTATCAGACCCAGAAAAAAATGGTCGACCTCTACTTTATGAAAACATTATCATTCTGTACAATAATAATACATTATAATGTAACTAGTATCAGGGAAGAGACAGGTAGCTAGATACTCCACCAGAACAGGAAATTAACTCAGCGAGGAAGTAGGCTGAGATAAAGTGAACAAATGACTCGAGAACAAGAGCATGAATAGTGCATTAGATAAAGGGCACAGGGGTTGTAGGAGAAAGAAAAAAACAAGACATGGCAATGCGAGCCAGGCAGAGGAGCACTCGGAGGAGGTCCAGGGTAGAGCAGAGGAGATGGAGCTAATAAAGACCGCGTGGGCTGACAGTCTATTAGCACAGAGAGCTGAATCAGACACCTATAAACACAGCCTGTACTATCTGCTGCTGATAACACTATGCTCACACTATGCAGCTCACACAAGCCATTTTGGCTGATCAGGCACCCTTACAAATATAATTCTGTCTCTATAGGAACGCCTTGCTAAGCTCAGGTTAACAATACTCTATATAATAATTGCCTTTTGGTTTAATTGTAGGAATACATCATATGTTGGCATGAAACCCCCCATAAATGTGTCTAATGGTACTATAACGACTCTTATAATTGAATACAGCCCAGCTATACTTTGGAAATGTTTGGTGAGTTGTGCTGAGCCTAATACATAAAACAACGAGCTATATTTAAAGTCAGTAGTGAGCCAAGAAAAGAGTTATTTTGATGCAAAATATCTGTTTAAATGCGGTACAGAAAACATACTTGTATGTACACATCTCTAAAGTAAAGATAAAATAAGATATGGCATAGGCTCTATAGGTTCAGTAATTGACCTATGCATTACGTAGATGGCCTTGATGCCAGTGAAAGCTTATTCATTTTAGATGTAATACTTTTAATACTGTAATGCAGCCAAAAGGATCTCAGATCTATGTATATGAGGAAGCATGTTTGTCCTTGAGGTGCTACGGTTATTACCACCAACAAAAGAACATGCTGGTCCTAATCTGATCAACGTCATTTCTTTCTAACCCTTTAATGTATAATGACAAATAAAGAGCTAAACTTAACTTTACCATTGCAAGATGTAGAAGGTTTAGGTTCATTTAGCCTACTTTGGCCTTAACCTTGGAAACATGAAAATCATGTTATACATAGTCTTTCAAATATGTCTAAAGACCCAGGGCTTTATTTTATGAGCATTGTTTAAATAAATGTTATGAGAGCCAAGTCAGTCAGTTTTATTATAACCAATAACTTGAAGGCATTTACATCATTACTTCCTGTGATAATAACAGCCCATAGAACTGCCTGGAAATTGTAGTTTACATGAACATTAAAAACAATTGTGAGTGCCATCCTCGTGAGCTCACCATTGCAGACAAAATCCTTCTTCTGGACGTCTGGGCGTGTCAGTCCTCTCATGTGTTGGCGGGGGACATTACACCTGGGTGTGAAGGGGCCAGCCGTCTTCTGGCCCGTAGCCAATCAGAGAAAATATTGACATTATCATAGAAGAAAGGAATATTGTATTTATAGTATATGATATTTATCTGAAAATGGATTTTTCTTTAGCACACTCCTAGCCACCACTACTCATCTCCTCATTTCTGCTCATATCTTGCTCTATACATCTTCCATACGACTCCTCCCCTTCCTTCCTTGTCTCCTCATATTCCCAGTGTCCCGTTTGTTTTTCCGCTTTCCATCCGCTCCTGTCTGAATTATGCAGTGGCCTTTGTCCCGGCGTCAATGTTTATGCCATGTCCTTGTCACAATTATCGGCTCTGTACCATCTATCAAAGCTAATCATTGTCATACACCTTCCCAGACAAACCAAGAACATCATGGAGAACAAAAGGGCTCTGTTGCAGTCTCCAGCCTCATGTGAAATTGAATAAAGCAATTGAAACAGACTAACAGGACAGGCATGGAACAGCTCATGATGTATATAAAATAAACCTTTGTTTATAAGTAATGTTTGGTATAACCCCGGCATTGTCGAATTTAAATTTGCACATTTAAACATGAGACTTTGTACACAGTGCATACTAATAGTTTGAGGGAATAGACTTTGTTCAACTAATTGTAAAGAAGCACTGCTGAAGGCGGAAGTTTGGCAGCTGGGGAACCTTACTAACTAATTAAGAATTTAGATTATTTCATGAATTTAAAAAAACACTTCATGGGAAACTCTTATAACTCATGACACACCATGTTGTGAGCTGATTGGCTGAGTGAGGGTGGTCCAGTCTGATCCAAAGATGTGACAGAAGTGCCTAAACTACTGTTACTGGTTTGAGAGTCATCAAGTTAGATGGATTGTATTAAATAATTCTTTTTTGTGATTTTTTTTTTTTTTTTAATTAGGTACCCCAGCTTTAAGTAGAACTAATAATATGTATGTTGCTCAATATAACAGTTTTCATGGTAGATATGGTGTCACATTAGGTCTTACTGGGAAGGTTTACTACAAATAATGTACATATGAGTTGAATTGCAGCAACATTATACTTCCATTATTCTCTATATGTATCAAAGTCCTCTTTGATCCAACCTGAGACAACCATAATCACTACAAATATAGCTGGAGGATTTGACTATACTTTGCTTTACATTTTAATTGAGTTTCTTCATAATGGTAAAGCCAATTATATGTTACTAGCTCATGGTAGCCCGGCCTGTACGCCCCTGCTGCCTGATCCGTGTCAAGTGTAATTAACAGCCTTATGCAGGTGGTCAGCCTTCAGCCATCTCCACATGTTTTTTTTAGTAGTGTTCAGCCCACTATACACTCTATGTATTACCTCAAGTACAGTTGGAAATTTGGGCAACCATTTCCCATAATCACAAGAAGCAGAGGATAACTGATTGATGACACATGATATACATGATATAACAGACAATTGTAACTTTGATTCCAGGACAATGCAGTTTTTTTTTAAATATTACAACAAAATATTACAACTCCATTACCATAAAAAGGTTACAATAGCTGAGGACAAGTGCTGCATGTCCGTTCAGATTGTTCAGTTTGGGTTTGAGTTTATTTGAGCTCAGATTTGTCACAACAACCAAAAAGGCATCAATGTTTGTAAGTGCTATAAAGAGCTCAAAAAAGACAAGGCAGAAGTTAGAAATGGACAAAATGGCCTACCCCTTTGAGTCGCCTTTTATATATAAATGGTTTTGCACACCACACATTATCAATGGGAATCCGAATCAGATTGACCACACCAAAATGAAATGCAAGTTCCCTGTTGTATAAAAAGCAGTAACCCTTTAATGTATAATGACAAATAAAGAGCTAAACTTAACTTTACCATTGCAAGATGTAGAAGGTTTAGGTCATTTAGCCTACTTTGGCCTTAACCTTGGAAACATGAAAATCATTATACATAGTCTTTCAAATATGTCTAAGACCCAGGGCTTTATTTTATGAGCATTGTTTAAATAAATGTTATGAGAGCCAAGTCAGTCAGTTTTATTATAACCATAACTTGAAGGCATTACATCATTACTTCCTGTGATAATAACAGCCCATAGAACTGCCTGGAAATGTAGTTTAACATGAACATTAAAAACAATTGTGAGTGCTATCTCGTGAGCTCACCATTGCAGACAAAATCCTTCTTCTGGACGTCTGGGACGTTCAGTCCTCTCATGTGGGCGGGGGACATACACTGGGTAAAGGGGGCCAGCCCTCTTCTGGCCCGTAGCCAATCAGAGAGCCAGGAGAGGTGACAGTCACAGTGCAGGTTATTGGAGTGCAGACGCCTAGAACAACATAAACAATGGAACACATGATTAGAAGGTCATTTTGAAGAATACATTGAAGTTGGTTGAGAGCGTTTTGAGTTCTAAAGCACCATCCTGATAAAATCCAGCTATGTCCAGTCTAGTCTAGACTGCTCAGTTCACTTTTACAAAATGCATTCTTTTCAATGGATTCATTCTATATCCATTGAATGGGTACAGGCTTACTCATTCCTTCTAGCTGAGATGGGAGCGCTAACCACTCAGCCAACATGCTGTTATTTAAACTACTTGAGGAATCTCTGTTTAGAGGAATTGCATTCACTTGTGTGTATGCACACAGCTCAGGGACTCATCCTCAACTGGTGAGAGGACGCACACTGCAATAGCCTACGTCTCATTTCCCCGAGGTCTGGGTAAGAGAGAAAATACTGCCCATTCACACCGAGAGAGGAGACAGAGGACAGACAGGAAAATGGAGTAAAAAAGAGTAAGAGAAAAGTAAGAGTAAAAAAAAGCAGGAGGAATAAAAACTATGACAGGGTAAGTTTTAACTTCATAAGACTATAAAGAAATAATAAAACAAATGCTGCTTTTTCACACTTTAGTGAACTGAATACTGATAAATGACCAGCGAGAAATTAAATGTATATGGAATCTCTAAATTAAAAGGTTTAATATCATTACCTTCATTACTGACTGCCATAAGAGTTAATTGAAAATGGAATATAATCTTTTCTAAAGTAATTGGCTGCTCCTTTCTTGGACACTATCTTCTGATTCTTGATTATTTTATCTGTTTTACGTTCCCTTTTATATTATTGTTTTGTTTGCAGTATAATAAATGGCATATGTGTTTTATTTACTGACAAAATGAGAGTTATAAAGTATTTAGTATTTCATTTAGGAGATGACACGTTTACTCACAATGCGACATTTTCCCTTTGTGACCCTATTAAATAGACTCGTCAATTTCCGAAGCATCAGGTGGATTGGACCACTTTAAGAGCCTTGCAATGGCACATCCAACAGCGAGCCTTGCAGAGAGCGAGCGGGGGCAACCAACAGCCGAATGTGTTGTCAGCGTATTATATGCCAGCCGGGATATCTACCCTTTCAGAAGACAGGCCTCCCTTTGTAATAAAGCAGAGGACAAATCCTGTTATGGAACTGAGATGGGCTCATTGATGCTAGCAGCGGGGGCAGTGAGTTTTAATACCGCTCTCCCATTATAAATCCAGTTTACAGTCGAGGCCCCGCCTGGAGATAGCCACATCCCAGCCCACCCTCGGCTCAGCTTTAATTACTGACAAGTAGGATTAAAACCCAGGGGAGAATGGTGCAGACATGGGGGCTACAGGCAGAGCTAGTGTATGTGTGTGAGAGTAAGTCCATTTATTTGTTATCACAGGTGACTTGGAGTGTATAATGTTATGGTGAATGATGGTGGCTTGCGGTGAAGCCTGAGGGGGACAGCGAGGACATATTTGATCCGCACAGCAGGAGGCGTAATCTCATTTTTGTATGCTTTTGAATGAAAGACAAAAACTGTAATATGATTTCTGAATGAAATGGGATTCAGAAATACAGTGGACTATGTTTGGAATGGGAGTGCAAAGTGGCAAGAGATTACATTGCAGGAAAAAGGTTCAACCCTCAGGCAATCTAGGCTCTCTATAGGTGAAATCTTTATCTGCACTCTGATACTAGAGTGGAATCATTGGGTCCCAGCCCAGGTATTTCTATACAATATGAGGCTGCAAATATATATATAAATATATAAATGTCTCTCCAAACAGGCTGTAAAACAACTGCAGTATGTCCAAAATGCTGCAGCTCGAGTCCTGACCAGGACCAGGAAATATGACCACATTAGTCCAGTTCTCAGGTCTCTGCACTGGCTTCCTGTGGCTCAGAGAATAGACTTCAAAGCAGCACTGCTTGTGTACAAGTCTCTCCATGGCCTCGCACCAGGGTACTTAAGCGACTTGTTAGTCCCATATGAACCGGCCCGGACTCTGAGGAGCACAGGAGGTAGCCTCTTACTGGTTCCAAGAGTCAGAACTAAACATGGGGAGGCAGCGTTTGAGATTTATGGAGCTAAAATCTGGAACAATCTTCCTGAAGATGTGAGGCTAGCATCTACTCTGGCAATTTTTAAATCAGGGCTAAAAACTGTTCTTTTTAGCTGTGCATACGGCTGAAGGATTTTATTGATACATACTCTTTTTTTTTTTTATGCATTGTGGTTATTTATTATTTTAATCCCGTGTGTGCTTTTAATATTTAAATTTTTTTTTTTTTTTTTTTTTTTTTTTCATTACTTGTGATTTTATTCTGTTTTTAATGTATTTATTGATGTCTCTGATTTGTGTGATATTATGTGGGTTGTGAGGCGCTTTGAGTGGCCTTGTGTTGGAAAGGCGCCATACAAATAAAGTTGATTGATTGATTGATAAATATACTCGTAATATAATTGGCAAAAATATATCACAAGTAAATTAAATTATAATCATAACCAGTTTCACAAATGGAAAACCAATCATAATCAAATTGGCACAAAGACAAACTTCTGTTTAAAAAAGTAAGAGAATCCATCATAAGAAAGCTATAGTTTGATTGTATAAATGGATGTTTTAAAAACAAAATCAAAATAAATGTCTCTTCAGAGAGCTGCAGAGGCCAGCAAAAATAAACAATATTGCAAATAGCAAATCCAGATATGAAAAACACAATAAAAGATACAGGAGATAAAAACCGCAGGAGTTGAAAAATGGGACAAAAGAGGCATATTTTTAAAGGGAAACCATAGAAACAGCAAGGACAAAGCGGAAAGAAATCGCTGTAGATTCACAGTCAGTGTTGACAGAAAACAGAAGCAGGCAAGGGCCCCTGATTAAAAGATATTGGATATTGGTAACTCTGCTCTCAATCTGCCAGCAACTGTCTGGTAGAAGCACGGCCTGAATCCAATTTGAAAAGCCCGATTTCTTGCTGTATTGCCACCACAGTTACAGCACAAGTCGAACTATCGCAGACTTTAACCTTTGACGGTCTTCTTATGGATCTGATTGTTCAAATCTAATAAAGAGGTTATCTGACGTATCTGAGAATGCCTTTAGAGCCTCCCAAGTCTAGCAGGGCCTCGTGACCACACAAGCACAATCTGGTGATGTGGTGAGGAATCCCCGATACGCAGATGGTTTGGCACAAGCAGAGTCTATGTGGTTTGACGAAATGCCTTTTTTAGCTTTCCCACTGGATCATTAGACATATTCCTAAGGGTGTTGTTCAGTCACCTTGGCAACGCTCCGATGCTCCAGAGAGGAACAGCGCAAAGCCAATTTTTTTCTATCCACGCGACTCGATGATGGGACTGGGGTCATCCTAGCCCACAAGTGTTTGTGTCTGTGTAATGTGCTGACATCAGTAGAGGAGGTTTTCTAATGAGTTAAAGCAGGCTGAGCTGAGCAGTCTCACCAGTCTTTTTTGTGGCATTATCAGGGTTTAAATTACTCATGCTGAGAGTCTACATGCGTGTGTGCGTGTGGAGGGTGCACAACTCATCTCTCTGCATGTGGCTTATGTATATATGTGAATAATGGCCACATGATTGTTAGCAGTCGTGAGACATTGCCGGAGTGGCTTTTTCATGGTGTGATTAGGAGATTACACGCAGGGCAGTGTGTGACCGTGGCATTTGAGAGGCAGCGGAGCGTTTACACACGGAGGATGAGAGGGGATGGTACTCACAGGGTCCGCAGCTTGGGCATGTGGTTGAAGCTGGACAAGGGGATGAGGCTGACATTGTTGTTGTTGAGAGTGCTGTGGAAAGACAGAAAAAAACACTTAAAAACTGTAGCATTCATATGTAATTAAAACCAATAAAAAAAATGTCCTTCAGAGGTTATACAATGGAAATAATGAATGGATAATAACACATTAAAAGACACATAAAGGTCTCTGCACTGGCTTCCTGTGGCTCAGAGAATAGACTTCAAAGCAGCACTGCTTGTGTATAAGTCTCTCCATGGCCTCGCACCAAAGTACTTAAGCGACTTGTTAGTGCCATATGAACCGGCCCGGACTCTGAGGAGCACAGGAGGTAGCCTCTTACTGGTTCCAAGAGTCAGAACTAAACATGGGGAGGCAGCGTTTGAGATTTATGGAGCTAAAATCTGGAACAATCTTCCTGAGGATGTGAGGCTAGCATCTACTCTGGCAATTTTCAAATCAGGGCAAAAAACTGTTCTTTTTAGCTGCGCATACGGCTGAAGGATTTTATTGATACATACTCTTTTTTTTAATGCATTGTGGTTATTTATTATTTTAATCCCGTGTGTGCTTTTAATATTTTAAGGTTTTTTTCATTACTTGTGATTTTATTCTGTTTTTAATGTATTTATTGTTTGTATATGTAGTTTTTGATGTTTCTGATTTGTCTGATATTATGTGGGTTGTGAGGCGCTTTGAGTGGCCTTGTGTTGGAAAGGCGCCATACAAATAAAGTTGATTGATTGATTGATAAACAAATGCTATCCTGCATTTTGAATATTCTAGTTGTTTTTGTTGTTAAAAAAAAACAAAACAAAAAACACTATAATTTCAATTGTTTAGGGCAAGGCAAGGCAAGGCAAGGGCATTTTTGTATCGGCCATAATCACAACAGCAATTGTCTCAAAGTGTGTCGCAGATTTGTTGATTTGCCAACAGATTAGGAAATCTTACAAAAAGAATCAGATAAAACAATCAAACAAATAGAATTGTTATTGGTCCATAAAAACATCAGATTAACCAGTGTTCATGATATTTGAGCTAATTGGATAAATCTCTCGGAGCCTCCCCTGGCATAAGACACACATTCATTCACATTCATCATCAGATCATGTCTAATATCTAATGCATAAATCTTTTAAAGAATGTAGACGGTTTAAAATGTGAAGGAAATGGCGTGATAGCAGTTTAGATTATGCAGAGATTCCAAATTGAAACAATATGAGCTTGAATAAGAGTCAAATTCTCAACCATCAGTCGGTTTCTCAAATGAGACATGATGCTGTATGAGAAACACCACAAACAAATGGTCATGTGTCCTTTTTTTAGTTCTATTATAGTTGCCTGTATAGTTTCAAGAGCCCAGTGCATTTTGAGCTTATGTGAGAGGAGTCTCCCTGCTCCTCTCATCACAGACAGTTTTAACTCATCATTTATTGATGCGCACACCCACGTGGGCACACGTCGGAGAACTCCTTACATCTCATGCGTGGGTCACCACTGTCTCCAGCTATTAGCCCTCTCATAAACTACTCCTGTGTATCATATGTAGTATCGACCCCAAGTGGAATGAAAAACAAGGCTGACTGCCATTACAACCAAAGCACAATCATACCCACGCCGACGAAACACTACGCTTATTGATTCACAGCACTTTCACGCACAGCAATAGGGAAAGGATCCAGTTACAGCTCCCAAGCATTGCAGATGGGGTCAGACTGTTTTGACTGAACAGTGCAAAAGGTAGAGGCGGGGCACATTGCAACATCCCACTACACCAAATAGTTGCAAACTGGCTCATCAAATTATCAAAATAAGATAAGACTGCAGGTGCAAGTCTGAACTTTGTCTTGCAATAACAGCAGCTCCGTCACAAACACAACAAAAACATTACATAGAGAAAGACATGTACAGGATGGTTAACAAAACACAAAACAAGAGACAACATATGGTTAACAGATCGTGGGTGTGAGCTCTAATCTTTGCGAAGAATACAGATTTGACTGTGCATATTTTTGTGTTTTGGAATTTTATATAACTCGATGAAGACCTTATTCCATGTGTCTTTGGTTAACAGTGGAATTCTCCTTATAAAGCATTTGGAATTTTAATTGAAAACTTGATAGCTAAGCAAATAAACCTTCACATGTACATGGGAAAAAAACAAGGTGCAAAACATGTTGAAGTTGTGTTGATTTTAGACTAATTATGTGGTTGTCCAGCTATTTTTAGATGAAAATATTTACACAAAATGGCAAGCATTAATAAGAAAGCCTTGAGTGCATAACTTTTGAAACCGAATATCGTTTTTCTGTCAGATGACAAGAGCCAACGTACACAAGTCACTACCACCCCAGTGTTTTTACCCAATTTTCACGGATCATTACTTTAAATGGATAAAACATGGAGCGTATTTATTTAACATCAGCCAAAACCTTGTGATTTCCAAGACGGATTGTTTTCGGAAGAACGGAGACAGAGGGAGAGTGAAGAGAGGTCAGATCGTTATTCAAATGACGACTGAATGTGGACAATAACAAAATCCTTGAGAGATGAAAGATGAATATTAACACGTGGGCTATAATGTTTGCACTCCACGTGAATGATGAAAATAAACAAGAAAATGAAGATATATTATAAGAAATCTGCGTTGTCAGTTCTGATATAAAGAAGAAGAAGCCAGGATACTTGGGTAAAGTATATTGTGGAAAAAATAGTTTTAATTGTAGCTAAAGGCAAAATGGCCGCCCAAATAAATGCTTAATATATTACTAACTGAAAAATGCATTCCACCTGTAACTCTCTATGTAACCAATAGAGGGAGTTTGATTGTTTCTGTTTTATTCCAAATTTGAAATGTACTGGTAAACATTTTGGTTAGAAAAGGCTGTTGAGAAACACTGTTGAGCGTGATGTCATAATGGTACAATGACATCATAGTATCACGGGACTGAGTCAGAAGCTTTTAGATAAAAGGGACAGAATTACATGTTAGTGCCAGAGTTTCCTGATAGCGTGAATGGATTTAAAAACAAACTCAAGTTCTTTTTTTTGGTGAGGAACAATGTTGCAAGATAGTTAAAAGAGCCAAATGTTGATTTAGCAAAATATAACTCCTTTAAGTCTTTGATTAACACATATCCCATTCACATCTTCATATCTTGTAGGTTTTTACTTGCACTGACTCTAAATTAAGCCACTGTTTGCATGGTTGTCCAGCTTTTGGACTGTCTCCCCTGGTGTTCCCCTGGCTGCAGCCTCCGTGGCCCTGGCCTTGTCCGACAGATTGAGTTTCACACACTTGGGTAGTGCCGCCCTGTCCTGCCCTGTCAGAGGTGATTTCACATAGAATCTATAATTTAATAGTGGAATAACAATAATTTTCCTCTACAATTTCTCTGTCAGTTACTTTCCGGCTCAAACTTGCTGCCGTCTCTTTGCTTTAATAAAAACGTGGACTGAACAGAGCAAGGCCAAGACAAACACGGTGAGTAACAGTTAGAAATCCACAACTATGTTTTCGCCTCGAATTTGTTTTTGCTGCCCTGTGCTCTTAAAAATGAAGTGATTTTAATGAATGTGTACTTTTTTGGCAAGAGCACCCACATTAACCATTTATGTGACTAAAAATAATTCCTTTTAGAACGAGAGTATACGGTAGTTGGAGAGAAGTCTGGTGTTTGCCTGAGCCAGTCTCATTTATCTAATTGACTAGATTGTGATGCTTCAACTTCACGTATTCGGCTTAAATGAGCTCTTTCCACGGGTTTTGTACAGAGTCTTTATAATGCTGAAGCCCTGACATATCTCCCGACACTATAATCGACTTCCTTTGTGAGAGAACGGACTGGAATATTGGCAAAGTTCTCAGACCCTCTTCTGCAAATGTTTCACGTCTGATGCTATAATCTGGTCAGGAAAATACTTTCAGTCATTAGCTCACTTACAGCAGTTTCCAAGATGACGTTACTTTTTGGCTGCAAGCATATTTGTGAAATACTGCATGGACAAAACATCCGTCGAGAATTTTTTTTTTTTAAATACTTTTTTGTTTTTGTTTCTGCCTTTAGAGTTTGCAAAGGAAATGATTACGTAACAACACAAAACAAAAAACGTCCGTCGAGATTGAAGCTGGGGTACATGACCACGACCATGACTAATTAGAAGGATTTGATAAAGATTTTTTTTGTACATAATATACAGTATCTTGCACTATAGAGATATTTTATTATTTTAACATGTTTGCACATGCACTTCCTGTCTTTTTGCACACCCTGAATGATCCATATCGATGCCACTGTGACACAATTTCTTCTCCATTGTGAGATCCATAAAGTTTATCTTATCTTAGTTACATTTTTTGAGGGTTGAAAGTTGTGTAGTCCAATTTTAATTGAAATCTGTTGCATAGGTTGTTGTCCAAATTGAAATGACCCCCACGGAGTAATACCGCTAATCTCCCCTGCACACAAAAAGGTGCAACCAAATAAAGTGCCTCTTCAGCGCTCCTCTATGCGCCTCATTTGCACTGGTCTGCAGTGACCGCTGCAGTGGCCGCTCGTCCCATTACTATGTACGTGTGCATGTGTGTCCTGAGTCAGCGCTGCACGTGTGTATCTATAATGCAGAGCTCCCTCCTGGTGCAGTAAAAAGGCCTCTGCAGTCAGTGATGGAGGAGAGTCTTTAGGAACAGCCCACAGGGAGATGCTATCAGTGTGTGCGGCTGAGCTTCATACACACACTGATTTTATCACCACGCACACGGGCACACAACCCCAGCACATTTACTTCGGTGGACAAGTTTCATAAGTTTGGGCCAAACACTTTCATTCATTTTCAACCACTTAACCTTTATATGTGACACTAACAAATATGCAGGTTTTGCCCCACACGGCACACCTTTAAGATGCCTCTATAAGTGAAGGAAATACACTCTCTTATCAAACTTAAACCATTATAACTTCACTTTACGACTGTTAAATACATTTACGGTATCTAAATTAGCTTGAATATACTTGGAAATTTGGTTTATTGTTCAAAAGTGTTTTAGT